GGAGGCTATCGAGCTTCTTCTTGGCCGCATCGGCGGCTTGTCGAGCCTCGTCGTTGGGGAACTCAGTCCCTAAACTCTTGACTAGGAGGCGGCTTAATACCCACACCTTGGCCGCCAGCACCAGTCTGTCGCCTGTTTTGATGCTCTTGTCCAGCTCTCCACGACCCCTCAGCAGCCTGCCGACTACTAACAGGCATCCGTCCAGCAACCTCTGCCTAGCAGCCTCAGCAATATCTGACTTGCGCTCCTTTTCAACAAACTTGGCCATGCCAGCAACCTTTGTCGACACCACCGCCCTGCCACACCGCCAGCCCATGTTACCAAGGAGCTCCTGGACCGCATCGTTGTCGTTGCGCATCTGCACAATGGTATCGGCCGTGCCCAGCAGGTCGCGATAAGATCCGCCTACCCGCGTGCGCAGGCGGCTCGCTTTGTCTTCGATCTCGACATGGAGGGCTTTGTGAATGGAGCGAATCTGGGGGAGTGTGTGGCTCGCAGAGAAGATCTGGTCGGAGGTGGTGAACTTGCTCGCGTCGGGAGCAGCCATTGCGGCCTGGTTGCGTGGTGGCTGCGAAGCTTGAGACTGAAGAGCTATTGTATGAATGGCATTGGAGGATATGACAGTCTGAAAGACGGCTATTGCCAGCTCAGGATTGTTATTGTAGCTTGGAGATTATCGATGGTTGTAGTTGCGAAAGTGTAACTGGACAAGTAATAGGTCGTGATTTAGTATGAAGGTGGGGCTGAAATGACAGCTTGGGTGGTGCTTAGATTAGCATCTTAACAACGCCTATTTACCATGAATATCAGAAGAACAAGTCCATAGCCACGCTCCATTATATCAATGATGTGCTATTTTATGGCATAGCATGATAAGAGGATGCTTCGTGAGTATTTAAATATGCAGATAGCCCATAACTGATGTCGAGAATTGTTTCAAATTCACTTTGCAATATATAAGTTACAAGTCGAGTTGGACAATGTGATGTGTATATTAATCGCAAGAAATATTCTACAGCTTCGTGCTCTTGATAACAGTGGCATTGATACCGCTGACTTCTCCCCGGTAACCTCCCTTGGGCTCGCCGCCCTGCCACACCGGTTTCATGCTCTTCAGCTTCTTCTGCTTGGCCTCGAACTGCTTTCTCCTCTTGACTCTGGGGTTTCGCACGTCCTTGCTTCTCCTGGGCGCCAGACCCTTGTTCTTCTGGATAGCATATGTAATCTTGCGCTTGCCATCCTCGCCAATTACCTCTGTTTCTACCACCCTGTCGGCCTTGCTTGCGGCGGCATAGGCGGCAAATCGAGCAGCCTTGTCGTCCTTCTTGGCCTTGGAACCATGAGCCACCATGTCGTAGTACTCGTCTTCATCGTCGCGAAGTGCATTGGCAGTCTTGGAGTCTTCTTCGTCGCTATCCTCGCCGAGGGCCGCGCCCAGCTTGGAATCCCTCTTTCCTCGCTTCTCGGCCTCAGCAAGGAGGCGAGCTTGACGGTCTCGAAGACGCTCGCGGTGGGGAATATCCATGTCACCACCGGCATCACGACCAGCACCGGCACGACGGTTGGCCTTTTGCACAATTTGGGATGTGTAAAACTTCAAGCTCTTCTTGCGCGCCGCCTTGTCAGCAGCCGCACGAGCATCCAAAGTTTCTTCTTCGCCGAAGTCTGAGCTGTCGTCGTCTTGGTCGCGCAGCGTCTTATCCTTGCTCTTTGCCTTGGATTTTGTGTTGATGGGCAGGTCATAAAGATCAGCTACAGTCTCCTCGATCGCCTTGGCCTTTGCCAGCTTCTTGGCCTTGCTTGCTGCAGAAGCCGCACTCTCCTTGGCCTTCTTGGCCTTCTTCTTAGTCTGTACGATTGATTCATATTCGTCCGCCTCGGGGATGGAATCAATGTCTTGCGCCAATGATGCATCGGCGGTGCTGAGTGATCTCATGTCCTTGACTCGCTCCCACGCCTCGCGGCATTGGACCAGGGTCTCCATCACATCGTGGTCACGAAGCTCAGCAGGATCAATTGTTTTCTGTGCTTTGGCGGCGTCTCGGGCCGGTGACGTTAGGATGGCCAGATAGCTAGCCAATGAGGCGACGTAGCAGCCAAGCACCCAGTATTTGATAGCCGCCAAAGACTTGCCGGTCGAAGCCTTGGCATCTGCCCTTAGAATCTCCAGCTGGGGCTGCAGCTCTTGGAAATCCTTGACGAGATAGTCAAACTCGGGATATCGAGCAGACAGCAGCTTCAATCGCTCCTCGGGACCCATGTCGTCGGTGATCTCGACCTCCTTGAGAACCTCGGTCACGGTTTCTGCGCTTTCTTGTTCTTCTTGCTCAGCGGCAAGCCACTCGTCTCCGTCAAAGATGAAATCCTCTTCTGCCATCTTGGACAGTTTCTTTTGCTGCAATCTCTTGGCCTCGGTTTCTTCCTCCAGAGCATCGGCCTCTGTCTCGATGTTGTCCGCATTGTAGTATTCTTTCTTGGATGCACCCCACCAGCCCTCCTCTTCGCCCTCCTCTCCTTCGGCTCCATTCTCTTCATCTTCTGAATCATCGTGCCCCGCGGCGGCCTTTCGTTTTGATTTGCTCGGACGGGGCTTCTTTTCTGAATCTGAGTCTTCGTATCCTAATACTTCTTCGTCTGAAAAGTCAATCTCTTCTTCGCCCTTTCTCCGGCGCTTCATGTTGGGCTCGTCGTCGAGCATGATTGTGTCTCGATTCATGAAGAATTCGTCTTCTGAGTTGGCCACATCTTCGTATGTGTTGACCTTGAGGCGAGCGTCTGCCGGGTCCAGCTCTTTTGGTCCGCTGAACTCGGCAGCGCGGGAAGCCTTTCTCTTTTTCGCCATGGTTGGAGATGTAAAGTTTTGTATTTGAAGGATTCAAAGACTCAATCCGCGTCTCTGGGATAGAGTCTGTGAAGCCTTGCTTAAAAAGCTGATCGTGGAGTGTCGCTGCGCCAGTCGATGGCCACGGCCGCTGGAACTTTTCGACGGGGCTCTGAAATTTTCCTGGCTGATAAGATAAGGATTTTCGAGTTCCTGGGACTACCAAGGTACGTACCTGCAAAGGTGCATCCACTGCGTTTCCACCGGAAATACGTGCGTCCGCCACCCTTTTAGTAGCCGCCCAAACCGCCGCCGCCGCCAGTACAACCTTGAACCCCCAAGCTGACTTGCAGGATAATGACACGGGATACTCCAGACTCCATACGGGGTACAAGGACTGCTTTCATCTAATCTGGGGAAATAAGAGTTGCTGCTAGACTATCGTGGAGGCGCTGATGCCAAATCGTCACATGTACCGTGCATTTTCTTGTATTAATACCACCCACCCAACCCCCCTCTCTGCTTTGCGAGAGTGATAGAGGCGAATCATGTAGACGAATCATGTTAACGGAAGACAGAATAAACTTGGAAGCTTGTTTCTATATCTATCCACTAGACATAGAGGGGGGCGATGTATAGATGGCGTGACACCGTGATAATAACGATACGACTTTATTGCCCGTATTTCCCGCAACCCTTTGATAGCAGCAGGAGTACATCTCGATGCTCCATCCCACACCAACATCAAGCAATGCCTGGAGAAGATGCAGCCATAACGGGAGATGCTTAGATCATCCCTCCACCAACAGCAGAGGCGCACACACCCAAAAGCCTCCCCCACCCCAAACAATGTTTGGCTGCCGCCCTCCTCAGCCTTTAATAGCGCCTGTGGCGCCCTTGTGACAGGCACGATTAGACTGCGTCTCTTGATCTCTCTTGATCTTGTGTCTCCCGCATGTGATGTGCTCCCTCCCTACAGGCACCAACTAAACATGAAAGCCAACCCCGGACTCCCGGAAACTTGTTATTGATCTGGGGTAATGGTGTTGCTACATGCTCGTACATCCAGCCAAGGCATGAAGCGCTCACTGCGAGCTGTATTCGTACCGCTACTCCCACTCACATGTTGCAGCATGTAGTCGTACTGTAGTGCTGTAGGCCCAGTCTCGAGCTACCGCTGCAAGGCTGCTGCTTGCCCGCAAATGCATGTCGGATGATGAAATCCAAGGCCCACTCAACTGAACCCTGAGCGTTTGTGGTCCAAGATGACGCACCCCCGATTCTTTGCCGAGCCAGTCGCAAGCACGGCCGTGCATCGTCCGAGTTGCGATAATGCGGCCCACGACCCTGCTTGCATGGCGGATTCCTCATGCCGAAGGCGGTACTGTACAAAGCCTTTTTCCATGTCTTGGGTTCAATGCAATACTACCTTGCAGGTACAGCAATGCCATAGACTACCACCTATCGTAGCAGAATATTGTTTGTGTTATCTGCGCCTATCTTCCTCCAACCGATGCATCAAGATCAACAGCCAAAAGAACCACTCCAGCATGGGTCCATGGCTGCCCAAAGACCCTCCGCCCATCAAACAGAAACCCAGCAATCAGTTCACCTGACGGCACTGATGGGGATGCATGTGGAATAGCTCAGCACCAGTGGTCGGCGCATGGTTGCTAGTCCGGCAGGCGAGGCGCTTGGCGACCCCAGAGCTGGAGCTAGAATAAATTACAGGATAGGCGCTGCATCCCCCGAGACGCGCCGATTTTAACGGTCAGCCTTGCCTTCAATCACGAGCATTATCAGCTGCATCATTTCCGTTTGTTTTGATGGCTTTTTGTTCCGTGGCTTCCTATAGGCGTCATTGATACCTGCTGTGCTCTTTGCCTTGTGCCAGCCCAGAAACCAGAAACAGAGAGACACAGAGCCTCGTACCCCCTTGCCGAGGGTACTCCGTCACTCCATCTCCGAACCAGGGCCTGATGACCAACCTACCTCTTACCTAGTGCATATCATATCATACCTACTACAGAACTCGTACTATTGCAGTGACCTTGATAGCCCACGCCCCCATCGAGGCTTACCGCATCCATGAGTCCGTTATAACTCCATCATTTCTCGTCTCCTCCTCCTTTACTGTACTTGTACTTGCTTTCCCATCTTTCGCATCAAACCCACCGCCATGGCGGATCGAGATGGCTACGGGTCGGCGTCGCAGCCCGCGTCCCCTCGTTTGTCTCGCCGTCCCTTTCCCATGCGCCGCCAGAACTCGGCAAATGAGCAGCCTGACGAACGCTCCCCACTGCTGCTAAACAATTCTCGATCGCGTATCCGAATCCACGGCGGGGCAGCCTCACCACGTCCCAATTTATCCCGCGATCAGAGCTACTCAGGAGGTATGTTCAGGCGGAAGAGGGAGAAGAAGAAAAAGATGCTCTTTTATCGAGGAGATTTCGAGGGTAGCATGCAGCTTCAAGTCGGCTAACAGCATCCCGTGATTTCACAGACAGCAGCCGCGGAACTCGACACCACAGTCGCCGCTCCTCTTGGAGCGCACGTCTCGTCCATGCCTTCTCCGAGCGGTCCATGTCAGAGTCCAAGGGCTCCATCTTCCCCGACGAGCGCGTGTGGTACGATCAGTTTACGAGCACCGACTGGGTGCACGATACAATCGCCGATTCCTACCGTGTGAGGGCGCTTCGGAGTAGGAAGGATTTTTGGGGCCGAGTCTTGACAACCATCGATGGTAGCCAGGGATGGATTCTCAGTGCTCTCTGTGGCTTCGTTATCGCCTTGATAGCGTATACAGTCGACGCGGCCGAATCAGTCTTTTTCGATTTCAAGGATGGGTATTGTTCGAGAGCGTGGTATTTTGACGAAAAGGTAGGTGCAACTCATATGAAGAGAGAGTGAGAGAAATGGGTCACGGAGCGTTTACTAACATCATATCCAGAGATGCTGCCCCGGTGGGCGCACCGAATGCACAGACTGGAAAACATGGTCTCAGGCACTGCATTATCATCCATTTGGGGAGAAGTGGACGGATTTCCTCATCTACGTCGGCTGCGTCGTTCTCTTCGCAGTTGCTTCGTGCTGGGTCGCCCTGTGGACAAAGACGGTGGTTCCCTCGGCCTACCGTTTGACAACCCTCGACGAAAACCTGGCCGCCGAGACTCCTCAGGCCGCCGACGAAGGTCCCGGTGACGATAGTGCCAGTCCCCGGCAGGTGGTCGAGAGGAAGCCTGAAAACCCGCCAATGGTCTACTACTCAGCCGCAGGCAGTGGTGTCGCCGAAGTCCGAGTCATCCTCAGCGGCTTCGTTCTTCACGGATTCCTTGGTCTGAGAACATTGATCTTGAAGATGCTGTCACTGATTCTGAGTGTCTCTTCGGGGCTGAGTATCGGCAAAGAGGGTCCGTTCGTCCACATGGCGACCTGCGTTGGCAATATTGCATGTCGTCTCTTTGCAAAGTACGATCGCAACGATGCCAAGAGGCGAGAGGTTCTTTCGGCTGCTGCAGCTGCTGGTGTGGCTGTTGCATTTGGAGCCCCCTTGGGAGGTGTTTTGTTTGGTCTGGAGGAGGTGTCATACTTTTTCCCAGCCAAGACCCTCTTCCGCACATTCTTTGCCTGCATCATCGCCGCGCTGTCCCTCAAATTCTTGAATCCATACGGCACGCACAAGATTGTCATGTTCGAGGTCCGCTACCTGGTTGATTGGGAGTATTTTGAGCTGGGATCCTTCATTTTCGTTGGTGTCGTCGGCGGTGCCATGGGGGCGCTCTTCATCAAGGCGTCCAAATACTGGGCACAAACGTTTCGCCGAATCAAGACCATCAAGAAATACCCCATGCTGGAGGTGTTCCTCGTCGCAGTTGTGACTGGCCTTATGAGCTATTGGAACCCCCTGACCAAGGTCTCTGTCGCAAAACTGCTCCTCAACCTGGCGTCTCCGTGTGACCGCACCAAGGGCGATGGACTTGGACTCTGCCCGAGATCGGTGGATGATATTCCTGAGATCTTGAGAATGTTAATCATTGCCTTTTTGATCAAGGGTTTCTTGACCGTTATCGCCTTTGGAATCGTAAGCTCCCTCATATCATTTTCTCTTCCCGTTGCTCCGAAATTATCCTGCTAATTCGCTCAACAGAAAGTCCCCGCCGGTATTTATATCCCATCTATGGTCGTCGGCGGCTTAATGGGACGGATTGTTGGTCACCTGGCACAGTGGCTGGTTCTTGTCACACCTGACTGGAGTGTCTGGGGTGGTTGCGCAACTGCATCGGACGGAACCTGTATCCAGCCCGGAGTTTATGGTCTAATTGCTGCCGGTGCAACCATGTGCGGTGTCACACGGCTGTCTGTGACGTTGGCTGTCATTCTGTTTGAGCTCACTGGCAGTCTCGACTATGTGCTGCCATTCTCCCTGTCGATTCTTGTGGCGAAATGGACAGCAGATGCCATTGAGCCAAGCAGTATTTATGTGAGTAAACCCGGAACGAGTGGAGGCGACTGATGAAGAGTGACGTGCTGACTCGAAGATGATAGGATCTCCTTACAAACATGAATGCTTACCCATTCTTGAACAACAAACACAAGCCCATCTTCACCGGCGACTTGACGGAGCTGGTGCGGCGTTTACGGAGAGAGAGGGTTATTGATATCACAAATTCACCAATGGTTCCTGCCTCGAGCCTCCGCACCAAGCTCGAACTGCTTCATCGACACGGTGAGCTCGACGGTGGATTGCCCATCCTGAGGGAAGATGTCCTTGTGGGCCTCATTCCGGCTCCAGACCTTCAGTTTGCGCTGGACCAGCTTCGAGATGAAGGCTCAAACCTCTGCTTGATGGATCAGATCCCCAGCATCGATGATGACGACGTTGGCAGCGAGCCCGATCCCACGGACTTTACGCAGTTCATCGATCCGGTACGTATTCGTTGATGACACAAAAGATGGAAATGTTTCTGATTTGTGCTAATGGCGTAAAGGCACCTGTTGCCTTAGATATCAGGTCGTCGATCGATCTGGCGTATGAGTGCTTTGTCAAGCTGGGTCTGCGGTACGTTTGCGTCTTGAGAGACGGCAAATATGCCGGCATGGTAAGTCGCAACCCGAAATCAAAATCTCTAGACGATGAAGTTCTAAACATGAGGGTACTGTAGATTCACAAAAAGACATTCGCCAAGTATACTCGAGAACTAGAAGAAGAGCAAGGCGGTCATTAAGAGGAATTATTGACGTGGACGTTGGAAATTGTATCAGTATAGAAAACAAGTTGTACATCTGAAGAGGAAAGAGGTGGATTTGTTGCTTTGCATGCATATTCATGGCGCATCTGGTGTGGCCGACATCATTCAAGTTGGCCAACCATGGGTTGTTTTTTTTGTTGTTTTTATTCTTTACAGAAAGCAAGCATGTCGACTTGCACTGCCCATTAGGCGGTATATTGCAATTTTTGGACGTGTCGATGTACACATCGATAGAACATCATTGGAGGTGGGAAACGCATTGTGATTGCGCAGCTACAGGGTTACAGGCCGAGCTGCAGGATTCTTTTTTGGCGACGAGATTGAAAGAAATTACATTATAGATGCTTCTTTTTAAACCGAGACATGACCGCATAGTAGAGCAATCCATTCTCTTTTGCAGCTATGATGTGAAGCGCGGGTCAGGTCAGTAATGCTTATGTTCCCATTGGCGTCGAGCAGGGCCGGAGCCGGGAGCCGGTGATGAGGACCGGAACCGGGACGGGCTGGCGAGCATTACGGGGTGCATGTACTTATACACCCCTTTGGGGGGAAAAAGAAGACAAAACATTTACTCAATGGCTACCGGCATTACTCAATTCCATTCAAATAATGACACGAAATATAAAAGAGGAAAGAGCCTGTTCTTCCTGTTCTAGACAATTTCGTAATAACTGCAACATTCAATACGGCGTGCTAATCATGCACGCTTTTACATTTTATTGCCTTATCTTGGATCCGATTACAACACGCGAATCGCGGCCCCACGTGGTTGTAATAGCCATACGGCAAAATGGCGTCAGGCCGCCATAAACTACTCGACTTGTACTGGCGCGCCCTTGACGCAGGACCAACTAAAACGTAAGACAAATGGCATGGTCAGGTGCGAAAGGGCGGCGTTGGAAGAGATTGGACAATTAACTGGGGTGAGGAAGGCCGAGGTCGGATGGATGGATTATGGAGATTTGAAACGCTGATATCGAGATATGAATGTTTGGATGGAGTCTTTCGGTGTACTTGGATTTAGAGCTGATGGAAATTGAATCGAGGCTTGGAGACTATTCAGAGCTAGTATGGGGATATGATCACAGGAACGAGAGTAGAATCGCGGCCAAACGATTACCCAAATAGATCGCCTGCCCGACTTGGCCAACTTGGCGGAACTGTTCACCACGGCCGGAGGAGCCAAGATGCTAAACAGCCAATGGGCGTCCACCCGGGATCCCGATTGCGGCTCCTTGACGGACCCCAAGCAAAGACAAACCCAGACCCTCTAAGCATTGATGTTGTTCTGCTGCTTGTAGCGGTTTAGTTTAGTTCAAACGCTGTTTCGGTTCCAATTGCAATCATCTCTCTCTTCCCCGCATCCCCCCCACATTGCACTGATAAGCCGCCGCCATCCGTCGATAAAAAGGGTCGAGGGGTCGCACCCAACCAAACAGTGTGAGAGACGGGTTGACGGAATCGTTTTGAAACCAAACCAAATTCCTTGTGTGTGTGACCATCTTTTTGAGAGACATCGGCTAGGTGCAAACAGGCCATACAAGTGAGAAGCCTCGCCAATTGGAGCTGCAACCGTCGCCCAATTGCACCTCACGTGGCTCTTCGAAGCGGGGAGACGGAAGCGAAGCTCTGTCTGTCATAGCTACGACACTGACAACTGACAACGACATACCACAGCAAACAAACAAACAAATTACATAAAAGCACATACGCAGCTCGCCCAAGATGCCTGCCCTCCGTGCTGCTCAGGCATTGCGTCCTGCCATTCGATCTTCTCTGCGCGTTTCCTCCTCCTCCTCCTCTTTCTTGAACCGCAGCCTTGCCGTCAGAATGGCTTCGTCCAAGGCCTTTGTCCAGGGCGAGCCCGATGCCCCCGTGCTCAAGGCCAGCATCCCCGGACCCCAGAGCTCCAAGAGGATCGCCGAGCTGAGCGAGGTGTTTGACACGCGCAGCATCAACATGATGACCGACTACACCAAGAGCGTGGGCAACTACATTGCCGACCCCGATGGCAACTACCTGCTCGACGTGTAAGTGCAATAATATGCCTACGCTCTCTCATTGCTTCAACTACTAATCAATGTCTTGAAAAACAGCTATGCTCAGATCGCCTCCATCCCCGTTGGCTACAACAATCCCGCCCTGGCAAAAGCCGCTTCCACGCCCGACATGGTCAACGCCATCATCAACCGCCCTGCCCTGGGCAACTTCCCCTCGCACGACTGGGCCGAGATCCTCAAGACGGGCATCCTCAAGGTGGCGCCCAAGGGCCTCAACAACGTCTTCACCGCCATGGCCGGCTCCGACGCCAACGAGACCGCCTTCAAGGCCGCCTTCATCTACCGCCGCCAGCAGGAGCGCGGCGGGCCCGACGTCGAGTTCACCCAGGAGGAGCTCGACTCCGCCATGAACAACCAGGCGCCCGGAGCGTCGTCTCTCTCCATCCTGTCCTTCAAGACCGCCTTCCACGGCCGCCTGTTTGGAACCCTGTCCACGACCCGCTCCAAGCCCATCCACAAGGTCGACATCCCCGCCTTCGACTGGCCCCAAGCATCTTTCCCCAAGCTCAAGTACCCGCTGGAGGACCACGCCGAGGAGAACGCAAAGATTGAGCAGGCCAGCCTCGACGAGGTCGAGAAGCTCATCAAGACGTGGCACATCCCCCCCGCGGCCGTCATCGTCGAGCCCATCCAGAGCGAGGGCGGCGACAACCACGCCACCCCCAACTTCTTCCGCGGCCTGCGCGCCCTAACCCGCAAGCACAACATCCTCCTCATCGTCGACGAGGTCCAGACGGGCGTCGGCGCCACGGGCAAGTTCTGGGCCCACGACCACTGGAACCTCCAGGACCCCCCGGACATGGTCACCTTCTCCAAAAAGGCCCAGACGGCCGGCTTCTACTACGGCAACCCGGAGCTGCGGCCCAACAAGCCCTACCGCCAGTTCAACACCTGGATGGGCGACCCGGCCCGCGCCCTGCTCTTCCGCGCCATCATCGGCGAGATTGAGCGCCTCGACCTCGTCAACCACACCGCCCGCGTCGGCGACTACCTCTTCACCAAGCTCGAGGGCCTGCAGCGCAAGTACCCGGAGCAGTTCCAGGACCTGCGCGGCAAGGGCCAGGGCACCTTTATCGCGTTTGACAACCCCAAGCGCGACCAGTTCTTGGCAAAGGCAAAGGAGTTTGGCATCAACATTGGCGGCAGCGGAGCCAGCGCCGTGCGTCTACGTCCCATGCTGACGTTCCAGGAGCACCACGTCGATATTCTGGTGGATGCTCTGGAGAAGATCGTCAAGGCTCTGTAAAGGGAGATGAAATACGATTGAAATAAAAAAAAAAATTGCGTTTTGACATATATTAAAGAAAAGTAATGTATTCTGTTATAGTTGCAATAACATGAACAAAATTGAAACATACAGAATTGAGAATCGCCTTTGATGGCTTTTTAAGAATGCTTTACAAAGAACTACCTAAGAGCGTGCATCTTGATTGTCAACCAAGTGTGCTAAAAGGAAATATACATCAACGTCTTCCAATGACACCTCAAACACGTCTGTACTAAACCAATCTCTCATCTCTCCATCCTGTAGATTTATATCTGTGGAATACTCAATATATAGCGACATATCAATCTCCCATCTCCTTCTCACTCACAATACCATCCATTCACCATACCAGCAACCAAAAAACCACAATCTAAATCAAACACAAACACAGACACCCAAAGTTCTAGTATCAAAAATAGATTAAACCCCCTATTTTTAGAAACACACTCACCTCCCGTTCGTTGCCAACGATTTCTGTCCAATGGCCAGCATCATCCCTTGCCAACGATTTCTATCCAATGGCCAAGTCCCCCCTTGCCTACGCTACTGCTCCAATCGACCACCCATGTTCAACCCAAGACACTCGAAACGCCTCTTTTTTTCCCGTGCAATCACAGCGCAGCAAATAATCCCATCACCCCTTGAGCAAATAGAGAGAGACACGAAAGCATTCTATTCGTCGCTATCCAGTAGAGACTACCGATCCGTATTCTGCGTGGTATACGTGTGCACATTCCAAAGGCGTAAAGTACTAACTGCAGTCGATACGTCGAGAATGGACAAAACTGCAGAGTACATGTACCTACTACCCCATCCTTACCCCCCAGGCGCCTCTATAATCAAAAAGATACCTACCAGCCAACCTCGTATTGCCCATCTAAGCCACATACCTGAATACTAGTAGTAATCATACAATCTTCAGATCCATCAGATACCAAAAAAAAAAAAAGATTTTGCATCGTCGGATTCCCTATGGTGCAGAAATGAAGGCTACCCGTGGTTGTGAAGAAGAAGAAAAAGGGGGCCAAGGTGCCGTTCAACGGCAAGCTCAGCCAAATCTATCCGTAACATGTAAAAAGGAATGAAAGCAAGTGCAAGATAGCAGATAGCCCACCCTATCATGAGATCATATCATTCATGATTGCCTAACTCATTTGCCAAGCCCAAATTCATCATGGTTCATTTAATCCATCCATGTAGATTCCAAATGTCAAAGCGGCCGACTTCTCAGGCCATGCAGCCACCAGACGCCGCTGGCATGCTTCATCCCCACACAGTAAAAGCAAAAGCAAGGAAAGGGAAGAAAGGCGGTAAACAACAAGATGCAGGTTAAAAAAGACAGAAAGCCGCAGAATGCAATAAAAAAGACAAGTTGGAGGGTATATAAAGTCACTCTGAAGGAAAGAAAGCTGAGAAGCTGCATCGAAAACATAAAACGTATCCTTGTGGGGCATCTCTCTGACGCCGTTGGCCGAGATGCTTGAAAATCGAAACCAGAACGTCGTGGCTCTTCTGCTAAGCCTTGATCTGAGATGGTGGTGCCGCAGATCCAACCGGCATGAAAGGTGACTGTCGTGGTTCCGGCTCCAGTGGGACTGGGCGAGGGGGTTGGATTTGCCCCGACTCGCGCACGCCTGTGGAGTCTGTCTCACTTGACGCTCGCTGCGGCGATGGAGTTAGACAGAGAATATGTAGGATCTGCGTCTTGCAACTTACTGGCCGATTACCATAGTCCAGAGACGATGGAGGCGTGGTAACAGGAGGTAGGTAGGGGCCAGGAGGAGGGGCAGGAGGAGAGGTAGAAACCGAAACTGCACCCATGGCCGTCCGTCTTTTCTTCCTACCTGGCGGCGAATCGAGAGGTGGTAGGGTATGGACCGAAGGAGGCGGCTGAGAGTTTTGAGCATCGTCCTGTCGTTGAGCTGCTGGAAGAATAGTTCGAGGCGTATTCGGACCGGGGGTGAGCTGAGCAGGCTTGGGGGCGATGGTGGCAAGTCGTGCCGGAGCGGCTGTCTTTCGGTCTATTCGCGACGGGCGTCCTCTCTTCTTTGGAACTTGAGTACTAGGGGCTTCGTACTGAACGGGTCGTCTATCTTCAACGCCATCCGCCAGCTGCCATGGGGACATATTGCCAGGGGACGTCGGCATGGCCCCAGGCGTTTGGCCGCCGGGGCTCGTTCTCGGCGCAATCTGTCTTGGCTGGTTCATACCGTTGCTGATCAAATGATCATTCTGAGACATTGAGGATCTATGACCTGGGGCTGTCGATAGGAGGTTCGCGACTTGCATGCACTGTTCTAAGTTGCGGCCTATGTAGAATTAGAAAAAATGGAATCCGTCACAGTAGAGATATATCGTCACCATACCTGTTGGTATTTGCATGGTCATCCACTTTGGGTCGAGCACATTGGACTCAACAAATCGTGCCAGTCTTTCGATATCAACAGTGCTGCATTTGATCATCTCTGCGAGAACAAACCGCTAGACGAAGACACTTGTGGTTAGATTTTGGCTTTCAACAGGGTTTCCAACGAATATGTGATCCAACATACCTTCTCCTCTAGGGAAAACGAAGAAGCCATGGTTTCTGATAAGGTGGGGGAAATGGTGTGGTGAACGTCAGAGAAGAGGAGAGCAAAGGAGAATAGAACGTGATGCCGACTCTCGTGCAAACATTGACGCTGCGGTAAGTATAGGGTTTGAAAGGACCGGCGAAAGAAAGAATATGTCAAAAGATACAAGTCCAGAAAGTAGCCGAGATGAGGGAGTTTATCGTCCAACTGCAACGCTGCGAGGCAGGGCGAGAGAGTGTCGTAGTACGGCTCTGATCAAGATAACCTGATTGTGGTGGTTGTGCAGCCACTCCTCCACGAGACCCCTCTCAGGCAGATCTCGCAGGGCCAACAGTTAGGACAAAAAAAAGTAGGCCAGAAACTAGTCGAGAAACAAGGCCTGGTCAAAAAAAGACAAGCCCTGCAGATGGGCGTTGCTCCCCCGGCAGGCAGTGGAGGAGGGACTGGATCCTCCGTTTTCCCTGTCCGTCAATGTCGTCTCCAGCCCACTATCGTGAAGAAGAAAAATGCACGACACCGGCTAGCAGGCGCGCGGCTTTTTCCAAGGGCCTCGTGGTTAATACGAGCGGGTTCTTGGGGGTCTCGAAGAGAAACAAAAACAAATGGAGAGGCGCGGGTTGTGCAGCGTCGATCCGCGACATGCAGTAGCACGCTTGTTGCAGGCAATGAAGCGAGCAGATGCAAAGAAAGACGAGAAGGGTGCAGATTGCCGGGATGGAGAAAAAGCACGGCCGGTTGCCAGATGTCAAGCCGTACGTAACGCACCCCCGGCGGTTTTTATGATGACCTGACCTGATGCGAGCCCGGGGGCCGAAGTGAATGTGTCGACAGTTGCAGCAAGAGGCGAAAGGAGAAAAGTTGGGAGAGAGAAGGAATCAAGGTCCAGTCCAGCCCGTCTCTCTTTTAAGAAGGGACGTAGACAAGAGAAAAGGTTGCCACGGTGGGCTGGGGGAAGCCACCACTTGTTGCGGGATGCTGATGAACCAGGACCTCTTTGGGGAAGGGAATAACGGATCCAGATCCAGATCCAGACCAGACCAGAGAGCAGAGAGCAGAGAGAGCCTGCGAGGCAGTTTGTCCAAGATCCGAGAGGCGAGGCGTTTGCAAGCGTAGCGTCCAACAGGCCGCGCTGCGCCGCACGTCCAAAGTAGGTACGCTGCGTTTGAAATGGAAGTGGACTATAGCCAACCTGGACGTGATCCTGTACCCGTCCGTCCTCGTAGGCGCGGTCAAAACGGTGTTGAGTCAGTCAGTACAGCAGCAACACGGTTGGTTGGCACCTCAGCAGTACTGTAGGTAGGTACTACTAAGTATGGAGATAAGCAAGCAGTGCAGCAGCCAAGCAGCAAGCAAGCAGCAGCTTCTCCACGGCCCGGATGATCGATGCTCGCCCTGGATCTGGGTTTGGTTTCCAGGTTGAGTGAGTTGCTCTGGTGCAAAGCCCAAAAAATACTACCCGCCCAGGGCCCCCCTGGCCTGTCTAGTGGTAAAAAATCGATAGAGGCGATTTGAGTGCTCGTGCTTGTGCTTGTGCTTGTACCGTCTGTACAGTAAAGCAAAAGAGGCACAAGTACAGTGACCACGAGCAAGAGCGTAAAGGAGCGCAACTCGCACACAAAAGCAGAGGCCGGCACGAAGTACGTGTACCGAGGGCCGTACCTCGTACTCCCGCCCGGCCAGAGCCACCATCTAGGAGGTACTTTGCACATCAAATGATATGCCCAGGCCTCGTAGCTATTCTATTTTAGCACCCGGCAAGGTCGAGTATGACGGCACCCTGCAGTGGCGATTTGACACAACGATCCAGAGGCCGCCGCACTAATGTAGGGAGGGCCGTCGACAGGCTGGCGGAGGGCGTCTGGGTGGCGTGTCTAGGTCTAGCCAGTTGCAGCCGTTGGCCAGTAAAGGTAAAGGCAATTCCCAGGTCAGGTCTGTCAGGTCTGCCGGGGAGCTGCAGCACATCGTGAGATGGAGCCGCGTCTGCATCCGGACCGTCTCAATCTGTGAGTGAGTGCTCGCGACGGAGCCTGGAGGGGCCCCTGTGGGCGAGCGAGCCGGGGTCTTGTGGAGGACGGATTTGACGCTATACGGACGGCGGAGCGCTTCAATTTCACGACCAGCCAGACTCAACGGAACCGAACTGAACTGAGCTCAACAGAGCTGCAGTTGCATTTGCACTTGCACTTGCACATGCGTCTGCCGCATCCACTGGCGCATCCACCACGGCCGGCCAATACTTGTACAGCTGAGCTGAGCTGTGATGCGATGCGATGCGGGAAAAAAACAACATAAACAAAAATAAACAACCCCCAGGCCAATACCTGTCCTAGCCTGGTCTGCTCATGCTTGTGCTTGTACTTGTGCTTGTACTTGTGCTTGTACTCGTGCTCTTGTGCTTGCTTGTATCTTCAAGGGTTCCTTTTCCGCAAGTGAGTGAGCATGGGCCATTTGCATGCCTTGACGGGCGCCTGTTTAGCCGGCGGGCGGGCCTTGCGGTGGCACGGGTACCAGACGAGACGGGCAGGGCCTCCAAAGCGGGATAGGCCCTTGTCTGCGATGCGGTTGCGGACAAGTACCTTGAGTAGTTGCACTTGGAGGTGGTGTACTTGTTGTGTACTCGCACCTGGACAAGGCAAGGTCCAGGATGGACCCAGGACTGGGTACTCGTACAGTATTGCCTCGCCTCAATCTCGAATCCATCCTTGGATCTCCATCGGCGCGGCTGGTGAGCTCTCGGCGTCTTCGCTCAGCCATCCACTTGATCCTTCACGGATCTCTCTCCAGGACTGAAAGACCCTCCCCCAACAACACCAACACCAGCACCAACGCCAACAACTGCCAGTAACAGCCGCAACCCGCATCGCATCGCAACGTAACGCTCTCACATCTCCATATCTCTCCATCTCTCTCTCTCTCTCTCTCTCTCTCTCTCTCTCTCTCTCTCTCTCCCATCCCGCCCATCGTCATCCAGCGTATGATAAGTCACTGCCTGGCCAGCATGACCAAGGTTTCATTCGTCCACCTGCGTGCGGTTGGGCGGGTCCTCTCGCACATACGCAGTCGTCCACGGCCGCCTATGTTTGGCCCGTCATACCAGGGCATGGCAACTTCGGTGAATGTCGTGGCTTTGGATCTGTCCTGACTCCATCCTGTGCAGTCTGAGGACCCATGGACTCTCGACTTGTCGCTCCTAGACCACCCTCATCCCATCGATCCCCCCCTCCAAGTCCTCCCTCCCTGATGTTGCTTGTGCTTGTTCTCCCTCCTCCTCTTTCCTCCGCTTGGTGGTCGGCGCAACCATCAGATCCCCGACGAATTAATCTAAACAGCGCGAACCACCTTGGTCAGTACCGCCAACTACCGAAGAGGCCCTTGAGTCTTGCTATCGATGGATCCCAGCAAGGCCCCGGGTGCTGGGCATGGCCACGGCGCCATCCGATTTGCTGCGCGCTACCACGCCTAGGCGATGCGACACACAGCCGACGCTCCAGACGCCGTCAAGCACCTTTGTCGAATGGGTGTGCCCATACCTGACGTGCAGCTGCATCGTGGCGGACCTTGTTGCGCTGAATCGGCCAATCCCACGCCAGCCATCGGCCGCCTGACTGTCTTGCTTTGCTTCCCGTCCCTCAGCACCAAAAGCGGCAAGCCTGCTTTTCGTCTTTGCTGTCTCTGGTCGCTCTCATTGTTGCGTCTTGGCTCTCGTGTCCTTCGTCCTGGTTCCCTGCCCCGGGTGGCTGCTGCTGCTGGCGGCTCTCATCATCTCTTGCCCGCCTGTCTGTCTGTATGTCTGTCTGACCCAACCTGAATGATCCTGACCAAAGGTGGGGGTGGCCTCTCAGGTGGCCGCATCGCACCAGATATGCATCACGGTGGCCATTCGCTCCGTCGCGGCGGGCGACAATCCTGTGCTTGCACCATAGTACATGATGCAAAGTAAGGCTCCGGGAAAGAGATTTGATAAAAACATGTCGTTTGATTGCCCGCGTGATGCGGCATGGCGTCGAGCTGACTGCAATTCGCCCATTGGCCGCGAATGCTCCGTACCAAAGCCAGAGCACATTGGATGGCCACAAGACCACTGGATGGCAGCGCACCAATCACGCCGCGCTCTGCGCTCTTGTCAGATGTCTCTGCCGCAGCGCAATCCACAAGTTCGTCACCAGTCACTGGCGAGACTCAACGCATGGCTGCACAGAAGGTCATGCTTGGACGGTGGCGGGCCCGTCCCGTTAGCCGCGCGATCCAGGCGGGCGAGGCATCGCGACCACATCTCGACGATTGCTTCATTTTTTTTTCTCTGCCGTACGCTCGACGACAACAAGACTACCTGGGCCCAACTATCGGTGTCCGCCTCTCTTATATAGGCTCGCTATTTGCAAGACGAACCGGTTCTTTTTGGAGGCCAATACCTCATGCATAATGAGCTGGCACCCACCAGACCCACTCATGTACAACACATCATAAAAAATTCTCTGCGCAGAGGCCGAACATGATGCTGGCCTTCGATGACTGCTTCTATTTTCCGGCTCGGACTCCCCTGGAATGATAGTTTATCATGCCCGCCTTCCAATTGCATTTTCGAGTTCAACATGGTCATACCACTTGCAATGCCCTGTCTTTCTGTTACGTCGCCACGTGGCTGCGGCATCAACCGCTTGCATGGTTAAATCTGGGGTTGACACTCTCTATGCAATTCGCTGGGTTTCAAAGTACTCTCTACCCAACGCAAACAGTCGTTGTCTATCGGCAACTCTGGCCTCTTCTCCCTTGCGTGCACGCCAACTATGACTTTGCGCCTGTTTCCAAACCTTCGTTCCAGAAGTCGGCGATCCCGATGTTTCCCAACTTGGGGTAAGCACTGTTCAAATGGCGGTCAAGATGGGATTCTGCGGTTGTTCTCCATACGTGGCCGACGGTTTCTTTTAGCCTTGACGCACGAGATGTCATTGTTTCCCGCCCGGCCGGTACAAAAATTCCCAAAGTTGGGAAAGCATGTCTTTTTAGCTGCAAGGCCAACAGGACCTAATGTAAGTGAACCAAGTCAATTCTAACTGATGCCCTGAGAGACTCTTTGATAGTTGAACACAAGGCTGAGGCTACGGCCAACCAACCAATGCTGCCGCACGCATCGCTTAGGAAGCAGTGCTTCTGACGACATCCCAACCTTGCCAACTCATCCGACACCCCCTTGCGAAAGGCGCTAAACAGCTTCCATGTTTGGCGCCGAATGTCTGAGCCTGAGATGCTATCATTGGCCCATGCAGTCTATGTCACAGCGTGGCTCGTACATTTTGCAGCTGAGCAACCCTTTCTAGAACTTCCCCTGCAGCCCTGCTCAATTCGCCAAAAAGAGCCTATACGGAGTGCAGTTGAATGGGCATCTAAGTCTCTCGATTAGCCAACGATGTGCTGCATATACACTCCGTGTAATATCCGTGAAATTAAGTGGCTGCCATCACAAGCCCCCAGCAATGCAACTCTCTCATCCTTCCAATTGGGTGTCTCCCAATTCAATTGCAGTTTGTAACGGAGCACTTGGTCGCGTGTTGAGTCGAGGCAGTGAATGCATTAATACTACAATTGATTTAACATCTTCATTCGAGAAATCCTTGATGAATGACAATCTGTACGCATTCCGAAGTCACATCAATTGAACTTCAAGACGTCATCGGCCATGTGTGGTCGATCACGTGATGGGTTCATGCAGGTACCTGCTCATCTGTAAACATCCCGGGCAATAGACGAGGGTCTTAGAAACAGGTGTAAGTTGCAGAATTGTATTGCACAAGTGTTCATTATTAAGAAGAGTTGCCAACGAAGATGAAAGATGTTTGACATGAATATCTAGATATATATAGTTACATCCAGGAGATCTACTAGCCTTACTAAATATAGGCGGATGTTGTGCATGTAGATGGATCAACGAGATGCATATGGATCTACAGCACAGGTAGGTAGATCTACTGGATGAACAGGTATGCTCGCAGAAAATATCGGCACTTGGAGAATCGATAATGATCATCTGTTAGCACGCGTTAGATGCTATTTATACATTTATTTGTTTTTAAGAAAAAATGCCAATTGGTAGCCGCCCATTTGACTATTATCAGCCCTTCCGCCCAACATCAACCGTCCTCATCTCTTCTCCATTCATTTTATCACTTTTTCCTCGCCTCTGTGCAGCTTACGAATATTTCACAATTATTTAATTAATCCGAAATACTTCTCGATTGTGGAAAAAAGTCTCGATGCTCTGGAGCACAGCCGTACCCAAGAAAGCGTGTCCAGGTACAGATGACGCAGAAGTAACTGGGGATATCGGCCATCGTGCAAATTCCCAGGCTACTTAAAACGAACTATTTCCGTATCTATATCTCTGATAAGAAATAAAGGTTCAATTTCACACACCAAATCTGCACATGTCTGAACGCTCGAACGATGCAACTGGCTACCTCTTACTATGCCCGTGCATACAGGGAGGATATAAGCTGAGCTGGGTGCGAGCAAAGATGATGAAGATATGCGAAGAGAATGGACGAATCTGAGCAGGTCATCTATCTTGTTTGTCGATATAGCTACACATGATGGCGAATAGTGATGCATTTTGCCAACAAGTCGCTCCAGTCTTATAGCGCATAATAACTCTTCGCACATCACTCTGGTACAGCCTCTCGTTATCAGATGCCAATCTGGCTGGCATGGATTCAGTAGAAGTTTTAGTCCATAAATACGTGATCTTTTAAGAGAGCACAGCTAATCTCATTTACATATCAGTTTGGTCTTGTGCAAGTGGCTGGGCATCACTCTCTTGCCGTTCGATCGACTGACAAGCAAGCTACCAAGTTTGACCAGTGCAAGAGCTTTCTCACCCTTCTTTTTTTCTCTCTTTCTCTCAATGAAGAGTTGCTCATTTTCCACATCAACGTCATGAGTATTTGAGCGGAGCTTCATCTAATCCTCTCCAAGGGTGCTTTGACCAAGTTCCATTTCTACCTATGCAAAGATTAGACACACCCAGTGACGACTATATCGGCTTCATAAGGCAATTTGGGGTGCAGAGCATGTCAAATACTCTCGATGATCATCCAAATGGATTAATGACTTGAATCGATAATTGGTACCCGACTGCATGCCCATGGAGAATAGAGGTCAGTACTACTATATTTCCTGCTCTCTAGCCTCAATGAAAGATGGCTGAAGGTCCCCGTATGGACATCTGTGCATCCAATTGATAGCGATAACAATGCAAAATAGAGGTGCCATTTATCTCCGGCTATCAGTCAAATGTACATATCTATGCATGTTCAAAATGAAATGAAATCTCAGATCTTCTCAAACATGTCTTGATCGACGTCTTCGGGTCGTCAATGAAGGTACATGAACATGTCTGCGGATTAACCAACGGACCGGACAACCAATGATGGGCAAGATTCGCTCTTGATCATCCGTCCAAGTGAACGCACTACCTTTTTAGGAAGTGGCTTGTTTCGCGGATGTGGTTCTCGGAGATATTTGAGAACCTTAACACCATTATATCCAGTCCTCTGCCATTGACAACTAGGTAGGTACATAAAGTAGATGACTTGTGTCGTCCCATCATTTTAGAATGATGAGTTATCTTCACATTGTTTGAGCAATTCGATGTGCATTGGAAAGGTTTTTGCAATCATCATTGCGCTCATGCCCTGAATCTGGGGCAATGACAATGTAACACTTTTTCCTTTTTTTCAGGGAATTACTAATACTAGTGTTCGTGAATGCCATGTAAATTTGAGGGAAGAGAATAAATAAATAGGCGATACGTCTCTTTTTATATAACATAAAATATAACATATAAAGTCTTATCAAATTTCAATATTAACCAATTAAAATTACCTAGAATCAACCCTCTCTAGGGTAGGTAGATGCGTCCCCGTTTAAAAAGCGTTAGTGCTGGAGCGCCTTCCTGGCCTTAGTCCCTGCCAGCGGCTGGGGAGAACGGCGTCCTTGGCTGCAAGTCCAGGTCCAAACCCGACCTCGAAAAGCTTCTTTTGTGTCTTCATTCAAACTCCCTCAGCCCTCGACCTCTGAAGCGAATCCTGATGCAGCCCGTCCCTTGATGCATTCGCTTGCCCGCCGTCCTCGCGTTTCTACCCAATCCCGCCCACTTCGCTTTCTACACGTGGTTCCCTGCCCTGCGCGTACCCAAGGGGACCGAGGAAAAAAAAAAGGCTGCTACCGCGACGCCCTTCTCTTCAGCCTCCCGCCCTTGAACTGAGCTCTTTTCCCTGTGCTGTCCCAGGAGCAACGTCGCCTGCCTTGCCTCTCCGCACCCGCGCTTCAGACCAGGACGTCAAATGGAGGATGACGAGAACACGACGACCAGAATGGAGAAAGTGAAGCTCGAGGATGCCGCCGACAGCGGCGCGCACTTGGAAAGCGCAGCGAGAGCCTCTACCTCAACCCCGAAGCTGCGGAGTAGCGAAGCCCCGTCCCCTGCCTCGCTGGATGGCACAAAGTCGCAGAGCGATAGCGTCGGAACCCCCAACTCGACGGCCAAGCCCGCGCGGTCGTCGCGCAAGTCGTCACAGAAGCCCACCGCTCGCGAGGTCCCCTTGTATACCCACCTCCCAGACGTTACCGACGAATCTTGCCAAACCTTTCAGGTCATCCCCGACTGTCTCTATGGATCCAAGCATCTGGGCTCGACCGACAATGACGCCCTCGACTGTGACTGCAGAGAAGAATGGCGTACGTCTAGAACTGCTGGCCCCCTTTCTTCCCCATATCGCCCTTGGATCTTCTTGATTATTACCAGCATTCTTCTTCCCTTTTGGCTATTTTTACTGACGGAAAGCAGGAGATGGCGAGAATTTTGCCTGTGGCGAGGATTCAGACTGCATCAATCGCGCGACCAAGATGGAATGTAGCGCTAATGCGGGAAACTGTGGTGGCGGTTGTCAAAACAGGCGGTTTCAACGTAAACAGTACGCCGACGTGACAGTCATCAAGACTGAAAAGAAGGGCTTTGGCCTTCGCTCCAATTCAGCTCTAGAACCCAACGATTTCATTTATGAGTATATCGGAGAGGTTATCAATGAGCCGACTTTTCGGCGACGGATGCTCCAGTACGACGAAGAAGGCATCAAGCACTTCTATTTCATGTCGCTTAACAAGAACGAGTTTGTGGACGCGACCAAAAAGGGAAACCTGGGTCGGTTCTGCAACCATTCATGCAGCCCCAATTGTTTTGTGGACAAGTGGGTGGTTGGTGACAAACTTCGCATGGGCATTTTTGCTTTGCGCAAGATTCGAGCAGGCGAGGAGCTCGTCTTCAACTACAATGTTGACCGCTACGGCGCAGAGCCTCAGCCATGCTACTGCGGAGAAGCAAACTGCGTCGGCTTCATTGGAGGAAAGACACAGACTGAGCGCGCTACCAAGCTGCCCACCGCTACTGTCGAGGCGCTGGGTATCGATGGCGCTGACAGTTGGGATACCCATGTCCCCAAGAAGCCCCGCAAGAAGCGTCCCGACGAGGATGATGAGGAGTATGTCAATAGCATACAGCCCAGAAGCTTGGATGAGGACGATGCTCGCAAGGTCATGGCCACGTTGATGCAATGCAAGGAGAAGTGGATTGCAGTCAAGTTGCTTGAGCGAATCCAACGCTGCGACGAGGAACGCGTCGTTCACTGTGTGATGCGCATGCACGCATACCAAATCCTGAAAACAACTCTCAACACATTTATCGATGATCGCAACGTGGTCATGCAAGTCTTGTCCATCTTGGACAAGTTTCCCCGGTTGACGAGAAACAAGATCCAAGACTCCAAAATTGAGGCGACAATCCAAAACCTGGCCGAATCCGAACATGAAGACGTGGCCTCTCAGTCCAAGAAGCTCCTCGACGAATGGAGTAAACTCGAAGTCGCCTACCGAATACGAAGGCGAAAAGTCGACCCCAACGCGCCGGCACAGAATATCATTGATGAACGAAGGGGGCAAGCCCGTGAAGAGGAGGCGGCAGCGGCAGCATCCCAGCCAACTCCCAAGACTGCGTCTCCACGTCCCATCGATGCCCCCAAGGGACCGCGAAGCAATGTGCCACAAAGGAACAACTCATTCTACAACAACAATGGCCATCGTCAGCGCAGACCGTTCCACAACTCCTTGCCTGCAGGATGGTTTACCGCCAAGGATGCGGGCGGTAACACGTATTTTTACAACAAGCAGGGCAAATCAACTTGGGAGCGGCCCACACAGCCAGCCGCGGAACAGACGCCAAAGGCTCCGTCCAAGGCTATACAAGAGCAGCTACTCATTCAAAGCATCATTGACAAGGTGACAAAGGAGGGCACACCTAAGCAGCCAGCTTCGCAGACTCCGGCGCCTGCTGAGGCGTCTCCAAAAGAGCCTAAGAAGGACAAATGGCGGTCTCTACCGGTAGAGAAGCAGATGAAAGTCTACGAGCACACGGTATGTTGTAATATCAAAACCCGAGCCCAGCAAGCACCATTTCCTCGCATCCCCATCTTCCATCTGGGCTGAGACTGACTTGGCAATTGCGTAGGTGTACCCCCCCGTAAAGCACGTATTGGACAAATTCCGACACAAGCTTCCCAAGGAAGAGCTAAAGAGGCTTGGAAAAGACGTCGCAAAGAAGCTTGTGGCATCTGATTACAAGAATAATCGCGTCAACGACCCTGCCGCGCCGCTTACCGAAAAGCAAGAGCGCAACATCAAGAAATACGTGAAAGACTTTTTGGATCGTGCAGTTGCCAAGTTTGAGGCACATCACAAAAGGAAGGCATCCGAGACTTCAAAGAAGGGCCCGGACACAGAGCAGGGTGCCAATGGGAAGCCAACCCCCGACGCGGACAAGGCTGGCGAGAGCCCAATCGACTCCCCCCCAGAGCCAGAAGCTGCCGCGGATGACATTGTTCTTAGTGATGTGGAAGATGACTCGCCCGATGCCCCTGATCGTAAACGAAAGCGTGATATTGACGCCGTGGAAGCTTCTGCAGAATCGCCTCTTGATGGCCCTGACATGAAGAGGCTAAAGGAGGATGGTGCAGACGGTGCCACTCCTCCACCCCCGCCTCCGCCTCCTCCAGAGAACCCTGGTGCAAATCGCACGGAGGCGGAACTGGCTTTGCTTAAACAAGAAGAGGAGCTGATGCGAGAGAATGAGGAGGCGCAGAGGCTCGACGATGAAGAGCAGGCAAGGAAGAAAGAGGCCGCCTCGCGGTCGAACCCAGATGGTCCGGCTGGGCAGCAAACATCTATGGACGAACATGGTAATGCCCGACAACAGGAGCTGTTGGGCCATTAAAAGTTACCAGCATCTTAATCAGGCTATCCTGGATTGCACATATTACAAATTAATGCACAAACCTCTGATTGCATGGGAGTTTAAAGGGTCACGATAGAATCTGCATTGTACCATACGGTTACTTTTCTTCTTCTTTTACCCCTTCTTTTTCACAACGTGGGGTATTTGTATATCATATCCCCCTCGGGTTTTATTTTCACCTATAATGGGAGCGGAGGAGATGGAATGTGCTTCATTTCCTCTCTCTTCCTCCTTCTTATTTGGCTTTCTATTACTTTTTATATCTACTCGTTTATGACTTTAGGAAGCAGCAAAAAAAGGAATCTCTTTTTAGTCCCACGTTTCTTTTCTTTTTGGGACAATGTAATTTGGGCTTGGTTTGGTTTGGCATACCGGGAAATTGGAGGTGGTGGAGGCTTAGGGAGGGGGCGGATTTTACTACGAAATGGAATGGATGTTTTTACAGACAATGAGGCGTCGTCGCCAACGAAGTTCACCACGGTGTCTGCGTAATCGGAGAGGAGGGGACGGGACAGGACAGGAGCAAGAAGGACGAATTTACCTCGATTTGAACAAGGGCTTCCACTTTTTCTTTGGAGGCTTGGGAGCGACTCGCTATATTTGATATACCTCGTTCTTACCTATCTCTGTTTCTTCCTTGAGATGATATCTGTGCTTTTGTGGCGTTTTAGGCTTGTGATTTGCGGCAGGGTATAGGGGATGTTTTTATTTGTTGGTGGGTTCAAAATGTTCTTTTGCATATGGCGTGCCTTGGCGCGGAAATGGGACGGAAATTTACAGGGGGAAAAGATGCTGCTGCCGTTGACGGGCTCACTTTTGGAATTTGGTTGTTTCTTTTTTTTTTTTTTGCATCCCGAGGTTGATTTGACGTGATCAACGGGGCCATGGAGTCTTGGATATACTTTTATTTATTTTTTAATTGGTACCGGAATAAGACGACGCGGGAAGATTTGCTGAGTCTGTGCTGAGATAACGTAATATTGAATTAACTTTAACTTTAGAGAATACAAATAAAGGTAGAGGCCATGTCCCGAAACAAAACGCCACCATGCCGCCCTTGTCCAAATGAAGATGCCGTGATTATCCTTATAAAACGCTGACCTTGGAGTGTCAATTATATGTACAGATATGTTGCCGCTTGTCCCATCACATAGCCCATTATATAACCAGGTGTTTGTATGCCGAGATGAAGTTTCGTGGTAGATGGATCGCATGATAAATTACTCATCATCTTCGTCGCTCGAGGAGTCGTCGCCAGATCGCTTCCGCTTCTTGCCAACCTGGCTCTGTATTTCCTCCTTCCTCATAAAGACGTAGCTCCTCGCCGGCCTGTCCTCGCCCTTCCAGCCAGAGCTCTCCTCCCCCTTCTTGTTCCTCACGACGCCAAACGTGCGAGCGTGGTGATAGCCCGGGTACGAGTCTGCCTGAAATCGGAAGCTGCGCTCGAGCTGGAGGCCGGCGTGGCGACCGAGGTCGCGGATGTTCCAGAGGGTGTAGGGCTCGCTCTCGAAGAGGGTGACGACGATGGAGCCGCCGCGGGCGAGCGGGGCGGCGGGCGAGGAGAGGGCGCGCTGGAAGAAGGAGACGAGCAGCTCCTGGTTGTAGCGGACCTGGCGGTTGACGTCTGTGGACTTGCCGCCGACGTGGGGGAAGTTGAAGATGATTCGGTCGTGGGGGACGCGGGCGACGGAGGGAGGGAGCTTTGTGGCGTCGACGTTGTAGACCAGCTTGTTGTTGACGATCTTGCGCTTCTTGGAATTGACAGCGTCGGAATTGTCGTCGTCCTCGTCGTATTCATCGTCTTCTTCGTCGTCGTCATCGCCGTCCGGTTGACCGTCTGGGTCGGCATCGGCCCCGGCGCCGTGACTGGGGGGATCCGGGCGGCGGTTGACGACGGCAATGTTGGTATCCACGGCGGGGTACTTTGCTAGCAGCTCGGCATGGTCCTTCTCCAGGACCGTCGCCGTGACATTTGTGCAGCCGTGATGCTCGATGATGGACGCGGCAAAGCTCAGGTCGCCCTCTCCCACCAGCAGGATGCGGTCGTTGGGGCTGAAGGGGATCACCGGCTCGTCGTGCTGCTGCTGGCGGTGCTTCTTGGCCGGCTTGGATTGGAGGGGCTTCTTCGATTGGCTCTTTTCCTTTTGCTGCGGACGCCCGGAAGGTCGCTGTGCCGCTTGTTGGCGCGCTAGCTTCCGTCTTTTTGCCATTGGACGGTTATTGGAAGCAGCGCAGCTTCAAGTGGTTGCAATTCGTGGGGGAGAATGCGATGTCGAATGATGCAAAGAAGCGGCATGGAAGGAAAAAAAAAAGCTGAGGTAGCTGAGGCGGAACCACTTTTAGGGCGTGTGCTCCCAAAGAGAGCCAAAAAAAAAAAAAAAAAGGGACCAGTTACATTAGTAGGTACCCTTGGTGCAAAGCACAGGGGAAGATCTCACGTGCAACTACGGGCGGGATGGCGACAGCGGATTGCGAGATTGGCCCAATCAGTGATAAGGACGCGTGCTTCATCCCCTTGTTGAAGGCGAACGATAAGGTCAGGACTCTGGCCTTCTCTATCTAGAAGCGAGTCAGAACCACCAAGACTATCAGAATACCGGCTGATATTTGATCGGTAGCCAGAACCACGGGTATGGTGATGCCCAAATCTGGGTCATGAGGTCCGAAAGGGGTGTGTGTTAGAAGAACGAAGCCGCCCAGCCTGAAGTTGTCATTGTCGAGCTTAAGTCCTGCACAATGATCCCGGACTCTCCAGATCTTCGACCTCGAACAGAAGAAGAAGCTCAAGCCCTGCATAATGAACGAGGATGTTCAGTTCTGGAAGTAGATTAGCGAATCCATTCTAGGTCTTATTACAACCAGTAGTATCTGCCACTGGGACGTCTATAAAGCCGCCTAGGATGCGCCCCTTAAGGTCTTTAAGCGTAACGCCAACCTCAATGTGCGTCAATCTGCTCTACCCGCCTGTATTCCCCCTCCCTTCTAAACTAACTTAAAGTGATAGGGCTGCTAAATTATTAACTACTGAGTTAACAGTGACGGAAAGTGGATGGTGGTTGTGGGCATCTCTTCTTAGCAGGGCCGAGTAGTTGGTGCTATGCAGCTCTACTCCAAAGACCGTGGCATTAGTCAGGCCATTGAAGGCCACGCTGTTGGCTTCGGCACCTTGAGATTGGAGAGATGGCTGTGATGATGATATGACGAGATGGAAGTCGATGTCGAACCTGGAGATGCTGACGATGCCTGTGTTCAAGAGCAAAAGGGTGGTGATGTTGTCAAATGCGCAGGAAGTCCTGCGAGAGCAGGTTAAAAAAAAAAAAAGAAAAAAAGGGGACCAGTTACTTTTGGTACAAAGGAAGATCTCACGTGCAACTACGGGCGGGATGGCGGCAGCGGATTGTGAGATTGGGCCAATCAGCGATAAGGCTTTCGGGGGGGTTGAGCCCAAATTAGGTGCCGCCCAGAGCCGCGCTAAAATCTGTTCAAGCCCGCTGTTTAACATGGACGATTGCGGAGCACTGCGCTACAGCGCTTCTGCAGATGACGGTAGATCGTGTGCAGCGGTGGTTTTTGACATCTGAGTTGTGAGGCGGGTCGATGCGGGATGCGAAAGGACATGAGAAAATGGGTAAAGGAAAATAAGTGACAAGTTAATTTATAGTAAAAGAAGGAGAATATCTGTCAATTATTGCTGGTTGTTATAGTGGTTGGCCATGGAAGTGGAAAAAAAAAGCAAACTGTTGAAGATCCATCAAGAGGTATTGAGGCATCAATTGCATCCATTAATTGCGGGCAGTTGTTTGTAGGGGACTAACACCACTGTGGATGGCACCGACTAACAGTGGCAGCAGCCCTGAGGGTCGTCATAGAAGGGGTCTGGTAGGCGGGCTAGTACGTACCTCTTTTTTATCGCGCCGTCACAATCCTAAAGAGGCAATTCGCTGGGTGGGGACAGGCAAGGAGAGGTCAGAAAAAGCATACTGTGCTCGTGGCCACAAGAATCACTGCAAAACAACGTCAATGAGACAGAGGGGGAGCAGCCTCAAACAAAGGGGGGGCATCGTGTCGTAAAAGGAAGTCGGCGTCTTTGTACTCAGAGAGAGAGAGAGAGAATGCGTGTGTGCTCTGCGATTCGATCCTATTGTCTTGGATCTTGTATGGGAATTTGGTGCCTCGCTTTCGGAAGCCTCATCACCGAGACGCAGCAGAAAGTGAGCTCAACGTGATTTTTCGCCAGGCACCTTGTTGCGCAATGCAGCTTTTAGGCTCTTTTTTTCGGGGCTTCACGGATGCCAGCGGTCCACCTCCCAAAAGAAGCTCAATGGGCAGTGACATGAAAGTGAAATCAGGCTCTGCCTTGCATATTGTGCCCAACGCACGCACAGCAGGCCCGCGAGCACGACGGGAGACGCGGACAGCGCCGGCACCTGGTGTCCCGACATGTGCATTGGTTTGCATTTTGCAGCTGCGCTATGGCGTGTTCTCATGAGATGGCAGCATCTAGCCATCAACCATCTACCCACGTAGCCACGACGTTGTTCGTTGTCGCGGCACCCCTGGAAACGATGGACCAGGGCTTATTCTTTTGAACATGTCCATCGTCACAAAGTTCAGCCTCATGTCAATAATGCAAGCCTGCAGCGTAAATCATCAAATGCTTTCCTCGTCTCTCGTGGCAGCCGCTTCTTCTGGCGTTACTCAAAAGTGAGCGCATGTTGAAGTTCTCGCAGCCGCGCTTCTCCACTCTGCGGTGAAGAGGAGTCTCGTCTCGTCTGGCCTGTCCCCTGCAAGTCACCGGTACCTGCTGCCACTCAAAGTCCCCTTCAAAGTCCCTTCCCCAGCAAGCCCACTCGAGCGCGGCAGCCGGAGATTCACCTGGTCCGCACCAACCAGAGGCGCGGGAATAAACAAAACCGGTCTAGAGGCGCTGCGTCCGACTGCGTGCAGTGGGCGATGTGCAATGTTCCCGGTACCACGGAGTGACCCTCCCCCCCCGTCCACTGCTGTAAAAGTACATACACGCACCAGCTAAGGTACGGTACACGCCTGGCGGTTGGGCCGGGGCCGGGGCCAAGGAAAAGGGATTGGCCGCACCTTTTCGTCTCGACAGCTGCCGCGTTTCTTGCACGCTTTCACCGTCAAAAATCTTCCCGGCACCTCGCCAGCGCATTTCATTTCATCTCACCAGCTGCTGCGTGCGAGTCTTATTATTATTCTTCTTATTGTCCTTGCTGCTCAATAGCTGCTGCCCCTTCCGTGCCTTGCCCATTGTCTGTGCTGCGCGGTGAGTGAGCCGCCTCGCCAGTCAGACGAAAAAGCCGGTGCTCTTCTGCCCAGCCTTTTTTTCTCGTCCGGCCTATTGCAGTAGACGCCTCAGTACAAAGTCAGCTTCTCTTCACTTTCACCCCCCCCAAAAGCGGCACTGCGGTTCCCCAGCCTTAGTGGCTGCTGCTATTGGTGTACGTACCTCGTGCACTTCACCAGCCGGACCTTTTTCTTTTCAAACGCTTCCATGTTTGTGGCTGCTCCAAACCATCAACACAACATCGTCAAAACTCGCATTCTCCCTCTTCTTCATCCATCTTGTCCTGCCTCATCCCCAACCCTTGCACCGCATTGCTGCACTTAGGTCTGCGTCTCTCTTCTTTTCGTCGTCGTCAAGCTTCTCCTTCGGCACCGCGGCGCGCGTGCTCTTTCGGCTTACTTGACACTCTTGGTTGGCTGGCCTGACCCCGGCTTTACAACTCACCAGCTGCGTTTTCGTTCTCTTCTCTTCCCAGACTCCAGGCCTTTTCTACGCCTCTCTCCTCATTTTCACACACTTAGCTGCCCTTCTAAACATCCCCTCGCCTCCCATCTTCATCCTCTCACACTCTCCCATCATCGCCAAGTCTCACCCACAACGCCACACTCCTTCTCTTCATACATGGTCGGGCTAGTCTCTCACCATGGCTGCTGAGAACGAGTCGCTCACACGGGAGCCTGCCACCCGTGGCCGCGGCAGAGGTGGGCGCGGTGGCCGTGCTGGCCGAGGTCGAGGCGGCGGTAGAGGCGCTTCCACGTTGTCTGGAGGCATTACCAAATCAACATATACCAAGACCGGCCGCGGTGGCACGCGGAGAGGTCGAGCCAAAAGCTTCGCAGACTCTCGCGTCCAGGCCGCCTATGAGCGCCAGAGAGATCTCAAGGCCACCTATCAGGCCGTGGCGCATGCCCTCAAGCCCGCCCTGCAGGAACTCGCCGACCGCACCATCGAGGAGATCCTGGCAAGGTCGGACTCACTTCGATTCTCCAGTGAACACCTGCCGGTCCTGCAAGAGCTTCACGATCGCCTCGAAGAGAAACTCAAGCTCTTTGACCGCCAGCTGGAAGCCAATCTAAAGCTTGCTGAAGGCACTTACGATGCCGAGCAGTATGTCCTAGAACAGGAATTCATAGTACGTCCATTTTCCTTTCATCCCTACCCACGCCGAGTTTTTTCCCCTTCGGCTTTGCTTTTTTTTTTTTTTTTTTACACCCATTCTTTCCGTGGCGGTACCCTAGCTGACAGTTCTCCGTCTTGCAGAATGGTCTTCAGGACATTGAAGAACAGTTTTACGACGGTCAAGGTAACCGTCTCCGCATTCTTGCTGCACTGGAATCAAGAGATCTCCCAATCGATGTAAGTATTTTGCTGTTCTATTAGTCATGGGATGCCCTGATCGGCACACCGTCCCCCCTTCCACCCTCCTAGCCTCTTTTAGCCTCCGCTCGAGGGTCATGGGTGCAGCTTTATCCAGACGCTTTTTACTGACGCGATACCACCACAGATCTCCGATGATCAGTATGAGTACAAAGTCATTACTGATCATCAACTCGACAATGATTTCGGCATCTATGAATGCTACAAGGATGGCCACTTGGTGCCTTATCCCTCCCGCGTCGAGGGTACCGAGATGTGGCACAAGGTGCGCGATGCTGAGGCTGCCGCCGCTGCCGTGACTACCACCACGACCTCTTCTGGCACTCGAGGAGGAAGAGGTGGCCGTGGCCGAGGCAGCAACAAGCGCCGTGCCCAAGACCAGCCGGATGGCCAGCCCACACCCAAGAAGACGACTCGCAGCAACTTTGATAGCCAGCTTCTGCCCGCCGCCCCAATTGCTCCCGCCAAGGGTCTCCTCGCAACTGAAATTGAGGCTCACATCGAAGGCGCTCCGGCCGAAGAGGACTCTGCTCCTGCCTCTCCCGAACCCGTCGTCAATCCCAATGGTGCCACTTCTACTGCCGTCGTCAAGTCCAACGGCAAGCAGTCAGCTCGCGAAAAGAGCCCACCTCTGCCCAAGAACATCTCGGAGCCTGACGAGTACGGCTGCCGCATGTACAACCAGAGACCGTCCATGAAAGAGAAGGGAATTAACAGCCGCCTTCTCGCTCCGCGGCTCTTCTGGTTTGATGACCATGACATTGGCTTCCGTGACAGCTCCAATGACTCTTCCAAAGGTCACACCCGCGCCAAGCGAGGTAAATACCTCGACACCCCCAACAGCAATGGCATGCACTTTGACTACTGGTGCAACGGCTATGACTACTCCAACACTCGTCCATCTGATTTCGACCAGGAGCTCGTCAAGAAGCATGGCCTCCACCCGAAATATGGCATCTTCTTGCCCAACAGCACAAACGAGCCGGAGCCTACCATGCCGTTTGTCATGCCCGGAAAGCCCGTGGTCTACATTGCCGAACCTTCTGGTCGCATCTCTCACGCTTCACGCTCATTCCAGAGGACGATTAACTATCGTCGTGTGGAGGATGCGCCTGTGAGAGTGAAGATGAATGCGGCTATGCGGCGCTTCTGCAAGATGGGCGACATCCCCTTGGAAGACATTGCCGTCACAGAATACGTGCACACCGACGAAGAACTTCGCGCCCGATCTCTAGGCACGGCAGCTCTGGAGCTCGAGTCTAAGCCCGAGGCCGTCGAGACCTCGCCCGAGACGGATGAGCAGGTCGCCACCGAGGAGGAATCTGCTGAGTCGTCTCAGGGTGGCCTTGCTGCCATGTCCGTTCTTACCTACGCGACTGCATTTGTGGAGGCGGAAGAGAACACGCGGGTTGTGGTGCCTGCACCAAAGCCTGCAAGATATGATGCCATTAGAGATGTCTTCACGGATTCCAAACCTGCTGGGGCACCTGCCGTTGAGACGAACAACAACCTCAACCTCAATTTCCTTGCTGAGCTGTGCAACGTCGAAACTCGTCTGCAGGAACCCGAGGGCAACACCATCAAGGCCCCGACTCCTCTCATGCCTGTGCCCATGCCCATGCCTGAGGTAGAATCCGATATGAGAACCCAACGCGAAGATTTGCTACCCGTTGCTCCTTTGAGCCATGCTCCCATCAGCAGCCAGCATGCCCCTATTGAGCCTGTTGGAGGATACATCCGAAATCCCCAGCCGCAGCGAGAGCTCCCGCCAGCGCAGCCAGTCGGCCCAGGTCATGTTGCCGTCTCTCACCCTCCTCACCACGCTGTACCAGAGCCAATTGCCTATCAGCAGCCTCCGCCCGAGCAGCCTATGGTTCATGCACCGCCGCCAAGGGCTATGGAGTATAAGCAGCATCCTGCACCTCCCCTTCCTCCACAAGCTCCTCCTGTCCAGGAACAGCACCAACCCTACTACTCTTCCTACGGGTATAACGTGCCGGAACCTAGAGACATGCATATGGGCTCTGGACGGCCGATCGAGCCAGTCTACGCAAGTAGCCGTATGGCAAACTATGGCCCCGAAGGCCCCGGTCCGGCGCCGGCTCCTGCACAAGCTGCTCCTGTGCCTCCTCCAGGCCCTAACACAGGATATCCCCGTACCTACTGGTCGTCCCAGCAGCCTGCTACTCAGGCGCCGCCGCCACCACCTCCTCAACAGCCGCTACAGCCACAGCCACAGCAGCATTATTCACAGGCTCCTCCTCCAAGGATGCCCTTCTCTCATAACCCAAATCCCGAAACACTCCCGCCTCAACCCCTCCCGCCCCTCCGACCACCTCGGGGCCGGGCTCAGCCTGTCCAGGATGACATGATGCGAGACCCTATGATGAGGCCAGCTGTTCATAGCATGAACAACTATTATAATCCTGCTCCGGCTCGATCTTACCACCATGGATACCCTGCTGCCGAACCCCTTGCTCCTATGCCATCAATCGGGCCGGAAAGAATCCTGCCCAACCCTCAGCAACAGCAATCCTACATGGGACCATCTGGTCCTGGCTACGCGCCTCAGATCCTGTCTCCAACTTTTGGAAACCCGCAGCCCATGTCCGGCCCTATGGCCCAAAGCCCCCCCGGGACGCCACAAGGGATGCACGGCTCTATGCATCGCCATCGATCCACACCTTCGGGGTCTTCTGATGCTGGATCTGGAAAGTATCGCAAACTACAGCCCGCCCCAGTCCCCGCTCATCGAGCATGGTCGAACAAGCCCGAGTTGAAAACCATTCCCTATGATCACAAGGAAACAGGCTCATTGGCTGCCCTTCCGAGCTCTGGTCCAACGCAAATTAGAGGATGGAATGTTAACCAACCTCGGAAGCGAAGCAAGGCTGATAAGCAGGACAGAGCAGACTCAGGAAATGACCGGGATGATTCCAGATAGAAACGGGAAACACCTGGTCAACCAGTGGCTCCAGGGGATTTTATTAACCATGAGGCTGCGGCTCCTCACCCCAACTGGTCTGTTCGATTTGCCGAGCCAATTACTCAATTGCCACCCCTATTTCCGCGCAATGCACCTCCTGTTCCACGACGGACAATGGCTCTTGAAATGGATCTCGATCAGCCCTTTACACTGCCTGATGAAGGTGCTGGCAATCCTACCGAGCTAGCCATCCCCCCTACAAATACAGCCCCTACTGAAGCCTCAGCTTCTCAGGATGGCACGACCTCGTCACGTCGTCTTCGCCCAAGGAAGGCAAAAACACCCGCAACCCCCAACATCACCGCTTCTACTCAATCAACTGCACCCCGCCGTCCTCGTGCTAAGAGCACAACATCTAAAAAACCAAGCCGAGCAGCATCAAAGAAGAAGGCTGCTCGAAGGGAGACTGCCCTGGCTACTACCTAAGCCGAACAGCAACTTGTTACCGAGACTCCAGCTGCCGCTCTTGACTCTACATCTCAGCCAGAGGCTGGAAGCAAATAAAGGATAATAGTCCCCGCCATGGACTTTCCAAGAAAATCACCCACTTTCGTCGGATGACGTATATATACACCACATCTGGTCCACCTTTCACCACGCTTGCGAGATTTATCGCCACGATTATACCCTTTCCTCATAGCAGTCATTGGACCAAACCGGACATGCAGGAACCAAAAAGAAGTCTGTTCAAAGAAGATATGGCAGACACGAAAAGTATTGAGATACCAAAAGCTACTTAATTCGGCATTTTGTCGGCGTTCAGAGCAGATATGAACTGAATCTTAGCTCTTCTTTTCAAACGATGCATTCCTATTCTTTGCACTTATGCTTCGGCAAGCCTCGTCTTGCATTCAATTTGCAATTTATTCTTCTTGTTTATGAGGGGCTCCTCCCCCATTTTCCCATTTGGCTTTTGAAACCACGGCTTCGACTGCTTTTTGGCGGATAGTAGCGACTTACTTATCCGTTTCGCTCTCGACTTTGATGAGGGTAGGAAACAACGGAAAGATTTACGACTTTTTTTATTTTTCACAGTTTTTTGATTTCCCGCTTTTCTGGTGTACCAATATGAGATCTCAGTTTCTTTCTTACCTTTTTCCATTTCTCTTTTTATAGTGTTTCCCATCGGTCAGTCTGGAAGAATAGGGAAAGTACCACTTGGAAGGACCGTTGTTTGTGGTCTGCTCGCGCCTTGGAAGGCAGAAGGTTTTGGAAGGGGAGAGGGTATAAAATCTGGGACACTGGTTGCTGGTAGCATACGGAAGGGAGGGGCACAACAAAAATTTGGGAGACTCTGATCATTAGATGCTACGACGACGGCTGTGATAGATGGGAGGAGGTGTTGGTATTATTTCTCTTTACTTTACGTTTTTATTTCTACCTGTGCATTGCATGAGAGGTAGCCTGCGACATGGACTCTCTGGTAGGAGAGATGGGATGATGGTTTCTTCTTCTTTTCCTTTTATAGGAGTTGAAGGAATAAATGATGAGAATTCTACAATGATGACCATTCTTATGTGACTTGATGAGTGATGATTCTGTGCTGTAAAATTTGCAAAGATTTCTTGAGGCACGATTTATGTGCCGACTACTATGAAAGTACACTCTTAACATACAATATGCCCAAATCCATTTGTTTTCTGTATCCTGTCCACCTCCCCTCAGTCAGTTTGGGGCTGAAATGGCGTCTTGTATATCGTAAATCTCGTCATCATTTATACTATGGAGTCCAAATGTCCTTTCTCCTTTGTGTTCCGCTGATGAATGCTTAATCTCAGGGTGCGGCCTGAGCTGGTGCGTCTGTTGCATCGCTGGCGCTTGTGGTAGCTGGAGGTGCGGACACGGGTTCACTTCCGACTGCTGATACAGGTACTTGGCCGGCATCGGGCTGAGGAATGGCTACGTGACCGGCCAGATCGGCGCCTGTAACAGCGGGAAGAATGCCCATGGGCATGCCGTGCAACTGGGCCAGGGCGGTCGGATCCAGCGGTGGCATGACCATGCTGGCGTCGAGGCCGAGGGGCATATCAGGAGGCATCATCATGCCCCCGTTGGGAGCCATGGGGTCGACGGGGCCGCCAAGGGAAAGTAGGTTTGCGCCGAGGATGCCCTCGGGGTGCAGGGGGTACATGAGGGCCTCCATGGTGGTGCCGTCGAAGATGACCATGTTTTGGATGGGCTGCTGCTTCTGGCCCAGCACGTTGATGACGTCTTGCGCCAGCTGGCCGCCGAGGATGGCCGTGACGGGGGCGATTTCGCTGCCCAGGTTTTGCAGGAAGCTGCGCAGGAACTCGGGCTTGAGCGTTTCGCTGGGGAGGTTTAGGGCCTTGTGCTTCTGCGTGGCGATCTGGGTGAAGAGCTTGAGGTCCTCGCGGTTGCCTGGTAGACGGCCGCCTTGGATCTGCATGAATTCCCACAGGGCGCGCAGACAGGAGAGCGTCGGGGAGACGCTTCTTAGACGGCGCTTGGACTTTGTGTACTCTTCTGGCAGGCTGGCGACGTCGCTGGCGAGGAACCAGGTGGAATAGAGCTCTCGTTTTGTGACGGACTCGATGACTTTGGGGCCTTCCTTCTTGGTCTTGACGTCGACGATGGACCTGGTGCGCGTCTCCTGCTTGGGCTCTGTGGCGACGTTTCCGAGGTCGCGCTCAATGACGTAGTCGTGTTCTATCAGATCGCTGAAGATGAAGCCGTACATGCCGTGTGTTCCTGCAGCGTAAAAGGCCTTGCCATTGAGGCGAGTAGCCGTGTTGATGAGATTGAATGAGTCGGGATCGAGATCCGTGGCGATGACGATGTCGAAGCCAGCGAAATAGCTGGGGCCTTTGGCCTTGACACCTTCTGCGTCGACGTGGATCTGGACACGGGGATTCAGCTTGCGCAGCGCGGCGCTAGCGGCCTCGGCGCGGTTCTGGCCAACGGGGTCCTCGACCTCGGAGAGGAGGAACTGCGCGCCCAGGTCGGCCTCTGTGACGAGGGCGTTGTCGAGCACGGTGAGGGAGCCGACGCCGGCGAGGACGAGGTTCTTGGCGATCTCGTTGGCGAGGGCTCTGATGGTGATGAGGAGGATGTTTGCGCTCTGGATCTTGGCCTGTGCGGCCATGCCCCAGAGGCGGATCTGCCGATCATAGAGGGCGATTTCATCTGGAGAGAGAAGATGTGTGTGTGAGATGAATGAGGCTTGTAACGAAACACTGAGAGAGGGGATGAGTTTTACCTGCTGTGATGGCCCTGTCGGGCATGGCGAGGCCGGCAGCGGGATTTCCGTTGTTGAACATTATGGGAGCCATGATGGAGGGATCTGTGATGGCCGTGGCGGCGAGGGAGCCGTCTGGCATGAAGCCTTGGGTGGACATGATCATGGCAGCCATGACATCGGGATTCATCGCAGAGGCGCCGCCGTTGGTGTCTAGTATGGGTGCTGCGCCGGCTTCACTGACGCCGTTATTCGGCTGTTGCTCCATTGGGACCGATTTTTGAAGGGAATGATGAGATGTGCTGTGAGAGGATGGAGATGGCTGGCTTAAGAGTTTTGAAGCTCGGAATGAAGGCGAGGCTGCGAAGTTCTAGTGGGATTTCAAGTGACAGTTTCCCAAGGTGAGTGATGCAGTTGAGTTTGGACTTAGGCCGTTAAATATCCCCCGTCAGCTCTGGCACTGGCGGTGTTCCAGAGACATGCATCCAATGCGATGCAGAGTGACTTTGGTGGTAGATGCAAAGAGCAGATTGGATATCAAAGCGGTTGAAGATGCGCGCAGCCTTGCGTGTACGTAGCCGTGCAGCGGTGATGCTGGGGGAGTGGCGCTACTAAGGGTACGGCGAGATTGTGCTAAAAGTGTACTGGGGTGGCGGCGCGATTTATTGCTGGACAACGGTAGCCTTTTAACAGTGGGTCGATGGAGAGTTGCCGTACAGGTACTCGATGTCTGGTAACCAACCAACCCAACTGGCCGAGTTGGGTTCAAGTTCCGTTGCTTCAGTGAGATATTAGATGCCGACTGTATGATTGTGCTTGAAAGGTTCTAGTTGAATTAATTTCATGTCATTGGTCTAATTCAGCACAACAAAATATGACTGGCATTGTCAGATCAGCCCGCAAGTCCCGGGAATCGGTCAACAGCTGTAATCAAGCATTTCTCCCGTTTCTCATAGTCATGGAATGGGGTTGGATCGGCTACCAGCTAACCGTCAAGCTAGAGTCTCCAATTTCTACGATGCAATGCCATGTCTCGTGAGAACCTTGACAGTAGAAAGTATCCGCACGGCTCCACCAGCTGAGGGGGAAGAGGACAAGTGCGTTGGTATGGTATGCAGGGTCGAATTAACTTGTCCAAGTACGAGTAACTGCATCTCCAGAGCTTCACAATAACGGATACAACACTTGTCGAGACGGCACTGCATAGCGGGGCTGGCTGTATAAGTCAAAAGACGCCATCACCGGCATCAACCAGTGTTATTGGCCCTAGATAGCTCTCATGCATCTTTACCTGCAATGTTGCACTGCTACTGCTGGAGCTCGCAATATCAATCCAATGTCTTCCATGCTCTGAACCTTGTCTGGTACTTGGCGGCTAAGGCAGATGGTACAGCCAGTTAGCGGCAGGACTAGCACTAAGCGACCCCGCGTTGGACTCGCCAACTCTGCCGTCCCCCAGCACGCGCGAGAACCTGAGAATTGATGACCTTCAATCTTACCTTAGTACGAGTACTCCTACCGATACTTCACGTTTAATCTCTTTGTCCTCTTTGTTTTGCCTCACTCGACCATGCGGATCTTCAGACCGTGACTGACTCGAGGAAACCAAGAGACTCGAATCCTTTGTCATCTCTGTTCCGTCAGATTGGGCTTCAGCTTCAGCATCGATTGGGTGAGTGAGCAGCTGAGGCCGGCCATTAGCCGTGTAGCCCTCTCAAGGCCAATAAGGCAGAGGCAAAAAATACACCCGAAAGAGACAATGAGCTGATCAGGCCGATGACTCTTCCATAGTGGCGCGTCTGCTCTTTATTAAAACATCCATATTACCTATCTTCTCTACCTCATTTCCCTTTGCACCCACGCATCCATCCATCAAATCCTTTGCCACTTCCCGTCACATCTCCTCTCGTCCAAAACTTAACCCCCAGCTACCCGCCCTGCTAGGGACCGTTCCTAGTCTCAGTGGCTGAATTCGATTTGCCGGCTGCCCATCATCTGCAGCCGTTTGGGTCACTTGAGCACCGCCCAACTCACGCCTCTGCCTCATAGTCGCATCGACAGCCAAACCAACCCCGGCAGCTCGCATCGACCAAGAGCCGCCCAACCATTCAACCGTCCTTGTCGCTGGGCCGGAGCCATCCTAATCCTCTGACCCTCTCAACCTCTCAACCTCACAGCAGCTGTCTTACGGCGACGTCATCGCCAGGGTCTGGGTAGACTCAAGTCGCTGTTCCGCCATGTCGTCGAGGTCGGGCTCGGGACAGAATCCCCAGCGGCCTCGAGACTCGCTGCAAGACTTCCCTCCGCTGTCTCCGCCATCGACGCTGTCCTCTCTGCGCACCCTCAACTCGCCGCGAGGCCGCGATGGCGCTGCGGCTCCCCGTTCGCCACCGCGATTTCAGTGGACTTCCACGGCCGCCCGCAGAGCCGAGCGGATTCGAAACCTCGACGAGCGTCTGGCGTCCCGCGCCGAAGAGAGAGAGCGCCATCCGGACTACGGTGCACGCTATTCGCTACGACGATTTCCTCGCATGCATGCTCATGCCACTGAGGGCCGAAGTTCCAACTTTGAGGAGCTGGACCGGTCCCTCGACGAGGCAAACTCCAATCTCAGAGCACTGCTCGATCTGACCCATTCCGCCCTCACTCACTCCTCTCTTACTTCACTCCCCCAGCCTCTCCGCTCGCATGATTCCCCAGAGGACAACCGCCGGAGTAAGCGCCGAAAGCTAGACGCGGACCGACTCGGCTCTGGGGGTGTCAAGGCCTTCCGATATGGCAGATATGGACAGGTAGAGCCGGGCCATTTGCGAATGGAGATTGTGAGCTGCGACGGCGGCATGTTCTCCAACCAGTCGTCGTACGCGGCCGAGAACATCCTCAAGGACGACAATTCAGTCTACTGCACCAAGGGGAACAGATGCAATATTATTCTGCAACACCAAGGCGCGACGGTATTCACACTGAAAGAGCTCATCATCAAGGCTCCATGCGCCACCAACTTTTCCCACCCGTACGTTCTGTTCGGCATCTGTCCCTTTGGTGGGTTTTAAATGGTTCATTGTTGCTAACTCGATTTCCACAGAGTCCGGGAGGGCATGATTTTCATCACCATGAACCAGGACGATATGCTGAATCGCACGGCTCAATATCAGATCCAATATGGCCCGACTTCGAGGCAGCGGTCACGAGCTGGAGAAGGGGACAGTGCATTGGTCCTGGAGCGAGAACCTCGCCATATAATTTCTATTCAGCACCATGACGACGGCACCACGAGTACCAGAACAAGGACCTCCTATGTATATCGGCCTGACGACGACGAAAATCATCTGCCCGAAATGCCTGAAGAATTTAGCAGGGAAATGTCCGACTTCCGCGTCACTACAGAGTGCAGCGATGAGGAAGACGACGACGACGATGGCTTTGACGGGCCACGATTCCATCGCACCCCCAACCGCATTGGCTCTCTTCCCTTTGAGAGTCCAGATTCTGACGCGGAGGATATCGTCATGCCTTTTAGCCCTCAGGACACTTCGGACGACCATCTTCTTCATCACACCCGTCGCCACAACATCATCCACAGGCAAAGGGACAGAAGTCACGATCATGCGCCCAGCTTCTCGCTCTCTGAGGCAATGGATGCGCATGCTACTGCCACCCAAGAAGCTGTCCGTGCGGTTGGCGGCGGTGGTTTACTTGCTCCTCACGCGCGGTTCTACATTGAGAAGAAGAAGAGCAAGTGCACCATCAAGTTCGATCCACCAGTCTCGGGTCGCTTCATCCTTTTGAAAATGTGGAGCTCGTCCCAGGACCCAGGGAGCAACATCGATGTTCAATCAGTCATCACTCGAGGCTTCGCTGGGCCACGGTACTTTCCTTCTGCTGAGCTGCGATGAGCACGGACAGGAATTAATGGGAAAAGGGGGCGAACAACTTGATGGACGTGCTCAAGCGGACATGCCGCTTTTTTTTCTCTCTTTTTTTTTTTTTTTGGTTAAGCGAACTATGCACTGTACGAGGACATTTCAGGCGCAGGGGTTTTGCAGGGTATATACGGGAATTTGCTTTTTTCTCTTGCCATTCTGTTAATTTCCCACTGAAGGCGTTTCTCTCAAAACATGATTTGGACGATGGAATGACTGTTTTGGAGGCGAAGAGGCGCTCGGGTGTTGTTGAAGGATATGATATGACATGGCGCTTCATCACGGTAAGGGTACTAAGTGGTACAACTATTTCAATGCTTTCATTTCGGAGTTGATCATCCGGCGCCCGAGGCGGAAGCCGTGGGTACTGGAGTCAGTTTTTTTCTTCTTGCTAAACTACCAAGGACGGATCTTTTTTACTACTGAGGAGGCAATAATCGAAGCTGGAGGGCTTTAGCACCTACTAGGTACCTAGTTGTTTGACGCTGTCCGGCCTTGGCATACGAATACGACTACCAACCTAATAATGGATGATTCAGTTTGCAATTACTCGCGAGCAATGGACAACTCATGATGGATTGCGTGCTGAAGATTCTAATTATCAGCCTACCGGTAAAACAATGTACGTGCGTAGCCTAACACGAGCCCCAATGAAACCATCCGAGCACCAGACCAGCGAACAACCTAAGCACCCGTCAGTGCATCCAAACTACATAACTCACAACGCACCGACAATCTAGTGTAACAAGGATTATCCGTACTTTTTCCTTTTCCTATCCTATGCCTCTGTGATCTGAATTATGCAATCGGGAGAAAAACAAGGCCCTTAGACCCCCGGTCTTTACAAGCATGAGCAAGAGTATTAGGAGGTGCGATCGGGTGGCAGACGGCGGTGGAGTATCCGGCGAGTAAAGCACCAATGAACCTGAAAAGAAGTATCAATAGTTGTATCCTTCGTAAAAGAATAAATAACGGTGTTCACTTACAAGTTGATGTGAAGCAGTATAAAAGCCGGCAATGTCTCCCTCCACGGATCCATGACCTCGAAAATGAAGCCGCCCCCAATCCCTCTCAGCGGTTTCTGAAAAGAGTGCGTCGCGACATCGTCATCAAACCCGCGAGGGAACTTGAGAATCCCAGTCGGCTTATCAGGCGTGCTCCATCCGATCCAAGTAATTGTCATGAGCGGAATCAGCGTGAAGAAGACCCCCCGAAAGACCCAGATGGGGTCGAGGGCGGAAGGTTTTGGTCTGAGGATGGATGTGAGGGCCATGAAGGAGGCCGTGAAGGTGCTGATGGATGCGCAGGCGGAGACGAAGAAGTAGAGGCCCCAGCGGGTGAAATCGCAGCCGCCGGATTGGCCGTAGGAGGAGTTTTTGCAGGGGCCGGTGAGGATGCGGGTGCGGGCGGCGATCCAGGCGGTTGTGGAGAGGAGGGTGAGGGTGAGGTTGAGGAGGGACCATATGGGGACGAGGTAGGCGAGGAGGGTGTTTGAGAAGGAGTGGAAGCGGATTGATGCTTGGGAGGCTTGTGATGCTTGGGATGTTTGTCTTGGTTTAACTCGAGGCATCACGGAGGTGAGGGTGGTGATGATGATGATGTTGTTGTTGTTGTTGTTGTAGAGGAGAATATGGGTTGGGTGTGGATATAAAAGAGTGTGTCTGTATGATTTGCTGTTGTAGTGGTTTGTATATCATGGGTGATCGTGATGGTATATTAACGAGAGAAGACTTGACGAGAATGACAATGATTGGAGAAGTTCTCGTTGTTGGATAGAGTGCTTGTATCAAAGTCGGCGAGAGGCGTAGATGTAAGTACAAGGAGTTTGATATTGAACAGGGTTTGATATAAACGATGACAGCCCGTACCTGCCTCAGAGAAGCCACGATATCAGAGTTGCGAGACGTCATTTTTGTGGAGAGGAAAGAATAAGTCTTCGGTTCCAACGGCATGGGTACAAATGACTGTTGATTCTTTATAAAAGACTGCTCTGATAAATGATGTAAGTGCTAGCGGACATATACAACCTAGAAGCTTCACAACTGAGACTCCCCACCCGAATCTATAGTGTATATATGTACGTGCTATCTGCATATTAGCAGTGCTTGATCATTTCTAGTATCTTTCATCATCTCAAGTTTCACATTGAATCATTACTGATAATTTGTAGCCATCATAGGGTTCTCCATATGTTGTTGTATGTAGTAGAGGATGCGTTGCTGTGGCGCCTGTTGTTTTCCCCGTCTGCAGCCAACGTACCTATCAATAGACTCTTAATATGACGTCTAGATTTATTATTAAGCAGCAATTAAATGCCAGCTTCAATTGGACTGACGAGCATCGTAGGAGTAAGTTTCCTTCACCCATCGAGGTCCCAGCCACTCTGCTTTGCAACGACATAGAAATCGAGAAGAGTAAGAGTGGCTGACAGAGCTGAGTGAGCCCGCTACACATGGTTCGACCCCAATGCAAGTTGAATCTTTAGCGACTTTTAGTGAACTTTAGTGAGCCCGACACACTGGCTGGCTGCTGCTCCGGACTGGCTGGAATCGCCGGCAGCTGAAGATGGTTGGATGGGCCCCCCACCACCCTCGGACTGGCACAGGCACACGATGGGCTCGAGATGCAGAACAAGGAACAAGGCACATCAGAAGCGCCTCACCTAGTTGGCCAGTGGTTCTTTATCTATACGGATACACGGAATACGGAGCACATATACTTTGGCGCGGATTCTCTTTGCATGCAGCGCAGCAAGGCCGCCACGTTGCGATGCCTGCTGTAGCTGTAATTGGCCTGCGGGAAACAGAGAACAGATCAAATGTGACTGCCCTGTCCCTGCTATCTATCACAATCTGTAACTTTCTTTTTTCCTTTCCCCTCACGTCCACGTTGCACATCCACATTGACTCTACTCTTGCATACCAGTGCTGTGCTATCCATCATTTTGTTTTTTTTTTGTCTCGCTTTGCCTTGCTTTCTCGCTGCTGACTGCATCCGCTTTACTTGCTTTGCTCGTTTCCTCGCTGCCTAGGCCAGGGACATTACATAGCTTCACCGACTTGCCATACCCAGAGCCCGCCTGCGTTGCGGATCCCCCGACCCAGCACAACCAGCGAGTGACAGACAGACAACGCACAAACCTGGGGAGCCCAAACTGCATGCTCCATCCCGCACGCTTCGTGCTCGCAGGTACGCCGAACTAGCTTCGCAAGGCTTGACATCTGATTGCAAGTCTAGCCTCGAGCTGCCCGTTTCAGTGGGCCGCCCAGAGCTGACGTCCGGTGTATCAGCATTCCAGCTGGGCCTCTCACATGCCGTCGCTCCCACGCATCTGAGACATACAGGTTTACCAAGTGCCTTAGACAGAGACATTCTCGCAGTCTCGCCTCAGCGAAACAGAAACAGACTCTGTTTTGGTCGCGAGGACAACGGACTCGTTGGGCTGACGGACAAGAGAAAAAGACAAGGAGCCCCCGGACGTCTTGACTGGAGTCTTGCTGCATGAGTCGAGTTGTGCGTGACCGCTACACCGTTCACAGCATCCTGTGCATGCGCTTGCAGCCGACCTGCAGCTCTGCTTGTACGTCTGCATAGGTTTGCATACCGCATACATTCAGGTACACGCTGCATCCGTTTGCACGCACACGTTGCTTCTGCTCGGTCGCTTTCCACTCTGAATTGCGCCCCGGTGGAGCCCGTCGTTGTCCAAAGAGCGAATAAGTCGCGGAAGCGGGATCGACGTCGAAACTTGCGCCGACTCTCGGATTCAAAGGGACCGCAGAAAAATCGGGGTCACGTTTCCTGGTTCCTTGAGGTTTTCATCATCCAGAGCTCCCCTAAACCCTTGACTAAAGCTTGTTTTTCTCTTCTCTGGTCGAGACGAGGAAAATAGAACATCTTCTTCTCAATCCAGCTCTTGCATCGAATCAAAGTTACAGCGAAAGAAACCAAAAAAAAAAACCCTTCCAACGAATAGAAACAAGGCCGCTGTGGCGTCTAGCATCGGTAGCGATCGCGAAATATACTGGGGGGGCTGGTTGCTGGTCTGGTCCAATATTCCGTCCACTTCTCCACTCCACTACTTTTCTACACCGCGCCAGACAAAGTGCAATGGGCAGCTCGACTGCAACCCCCGGCCAGGGGTATGAGCAGACTCAGACTCCTCCTCTCTCACCGAGCTTAAGCTTGGCCCTGGATTCCCCATCAACACCTCGTGCGACCCCGACGCCTCGTCTCAATCCTCGCCTCTCCGTCGACCGAAGAGACGCCCTGCTCAATGTGGGACCAGCTTCTCCTCCGAAACATCAATCTCCTCTCCGTCAATCTACTAGCATCTCCTATCAAGACAACAACGCTGGACGTCCCGACTTGCCGCCGTTTCTGAAGCCGAGGCACAATACCAAGCTTCCCAGAGGCCATTCGAGGTCGAGATCAGAATTCGCAACCACTACTAGCAACATTCCTTTAGCAGTTGGGCAAGCCCCCGAAACATCGTCAACGGTACCCTCAACGCCCTCTTCGCATCCTCAAGCCCCCAATTCGCCTCTTGCGACGCGTCGCACTTCATTTGGAGAAGTCGGTCAGGATAGACGCGCGTCGAATCAAAACGACTACAACAGGCCCAATACCGCCTCTTCGCCCGCCCACAACTCTGCTCTCTCCTTTATTACTTCCAGGATGCCGGCCATGAAGGTTCTCGCCCCTGCGCCCACCGTGGTGGCGCACAACGACGAGCTCCTCAACCTCAACATCGAGACCTCTCTCTTTCCCAAGGGCAGCCCCCCCGATGGACAGGCTTTCTCGCCCTCAGCCTTTATGAACCTGCAACAGACGGCGACCGGCCTGCTGAAGAAATTCCAAACCGCCTACCACCGCCAGAACTTGACGATCCAGGAGCTGATGGCTGAAAAGGAGGCGATGGATGACGAAAAGGCCGAAGCCGACACCAGAACACGGCATCTCAAGATGCAACTGGAGGGCATGGCTCAGAAGCTGGCCGACACTGAGAATGTGATGCAGGCGCTGATGGAAGAGCTGAATAAGGAGAAGAGGCTGAGGATGGAAGAGCGGGCAAACGCCAGAGACAAATTCCTGACGCCATCTGAAGGATCGATATCGGAAGACCTATGTGTCGAAGACGATCAACGCAAGCGAGGATGGAGGCGCAGCGGTGAGACCTCCAAGACCGATTTTAGCTTCGAGACGGATGAGGATAGCGTCGAAGCTGCCAGCATCTTCTCTCGACCTCGCAGCCCTACCAACACGGCGCTAAGCATCATATCCGATGTAGACAGTCCTGCGCCGCCCATCCCGCTCTCGAGGACATCGACCTTTGGAGGATCCGCAGCCCCTCGGCCACTCCGGAACTCTCAGCCGCCGCAAATGTCCACGTTCCAGAAGCTATTCAAGGGCATCTCTGGCGACCCCAACAAGGACATTAACGGGTGTCGCAATTGCCAGGGCCAAGACGCCAGCATCGCCTGGGACACGGTGGGCCTCTTGAAAGCCGAGAACAAGACTCTCAAGGAGAGGGTCGGCGATCTGGAAGCCGCCGTCGAAGAAGTCCTGGACGTTGTCAACGGCGTCGGGCAATAACACGACCTCTTGCATATCTGAGTTTTTGGCATGTCTGGGTGTTTTTTCACAAATAGCCGGTGTTATCAACAATGTTCTGGCATGAAATTTGGAGTCGGACCTTTTTTTTTTTTTATGATGACATATTTCTTTTTTTTTTTCTCGACTTTCTTTTTGTTAATCTCTTGATATTTTTTTTCTCCCCCTTTTTCCCTTCGTTCATCCTACGCGGTATACGGTAGAGGCATGTCAGCTGGGATGAGCTCTCAAAAAAAAGAGGGAGCTCCAGCTGCGGAGCATATCCCGGAAGCAAAGAATGAAAACTAGCGTTTATATGAGAGACGTAGAATTATGATAGGAAACATGATTGAATTCAAACATTGTTTATCTTTTTTTTTTTTTATTCAAAGAGGAGGGGGTTCATGCTTCAAGTGTACATAGTGATATCCATTGATGTGTTTGGGCAATCAAGCCCACTACAATTTGTTTCTTCGCATGGAAAAAGGAATGTCATCTTCTTGTGCAGCTAGGCATATACCTCACATTGTGTTGTTTTTTAGCATAGTTTCTTTCGCTACACCGTGTTCTAAATAGAGTTTATATTGATTTGTGTTGGATTCATTTTTGCCCGCCGCAAGACCAGGCCTGAGTTTTCTTCTCTTCTGAGAGATGTATATACATTTTCTCTCTCTTGCCCTCTCACACACAAGTCCCTCTTCTCAAAAAAACCCCTCCTCACACCTCCTGACTGCCCTCGCTCGCAAAAAAACGCTCTAGTGGTGCCCCTCGCCATGTCCCTCGCCGTGGTGTGCGTCGTTGAGGAAGAGGTACTCGTAGGCGCAGTATCCGGCGAATGCAACAGACGCAATTCCCAAGCCAGGGAAGCCGCTCCGGAATCGGTTCCATCTGGAAAAGGTGCCCTTGTATCGCCATGCCTCGCTGTGTGATGATATCCCCAGTTAGCTTTCACTCGTCCATGTTTTTGCCCTCTGGCACTTTCTCTCTCTCTTGCTTGACATTGGAGGAGTTTGCCAGAGGGGAAATAGAAAGGGCTAGACCAACGCTCTCTCCCAGGGGTCGTATCGGGGCTGGCCAGTGGCCTCTTTGAGGGCTCGCATGTTGAAGCCAGTGATGTTGGGCTTGGGCCCGTGGGCCGCTCGGAGTGCTCTGTCGGGGGGCGCAATGGTTAGCCAATCGGTAGATGCAAAAGCAGCATCAGCTGAAGAAAATCGTCGCCGTACCTTGTCGCCAGCATGATGTGATGCCAATTGAGGGTGCCTGCAATCTGATCTGATCTCGACACGCCGCTTGGATGGCTCGATTGGAAGTTCCGCAGCTGGCTCAAGATGCTGGCTGGGGCCGGAATAATGCGGTGGCCGAGAAAATGGTGGCTGCTGGGCGGCATGTGGTGCACGGGCCATCTCCGGCTATTAGGATGGGCTTTCGCTTCCGTCACCTCCTCCAGAACGAAACACCAGCGATCGTGTTCTTTTATCTTGATAAACATCTTCCCCTCTGCAACATCCACAGAGCGTTAATCAACCGCACGAGTATTTTATTACGGACTAATCAGCCACGTGTGCGCACAGGCAAAAGACGAAAAACGACCAAAAAAACAGAGAGCGAGAGAGAGTCAGCTGCAGGTGGAGGAAAGCCCTGTTCAGTACACTGCAATTATCTGTTACCCAACACTATTTGATATCAACCGCCCCGCGACGACGTCTGCTGTCTCGACCACAGCACCCGAGTCACGAGCCGAGCCGCTGAACCGAGAGCTGAGAGCCGCTGCCGCCTACTAAAGGCCATTGTTGCGCCCAGCCCCTCGTGCCCAATGCAAGCCCGAAGAGGCCGTGGAAATTCAAGATATTCCCCCCCTTCGTCACGTTAGAGACAGCCCGAGTCCACTCCGCAACAACAGCGCTCCAACAGCAATTTTCGACGACGCGGCGGCCGCCTTCGACGATACAACAGCTACCCGCCTCCCAATCCTCGGCAGGGCTACTACGCTGGCCCCGTCGACCCTGAACCCTTTCATCATCAGTATCCGCAACACACAGCACCTCATCTCATGCCACCCCAGCTCCGGGCCTTCGGCGGCGGGCCCGGCGTCGGCGCGCCTTTCCACCAGCCCGGCTTCCCCTCTCACGGCCAGCCACAGGGAGGGCCTCTGGGCAACCAGTATCTCAATGCCAATGCCCAGCTGAACCCCTTCACGCCGAACAACATCAACTCGTTCAACGCCGCAGCCCTCAATGGCGGCGCTGCCTTCCCCGACACGGGCTTTGGCAGCCAGAGCGCAAGGATGGGGTTTGCGCATGGGCCAGGGGCGACCCTCCAGCAGCCGCAGCATGGCGGCCAGGTGCAGCACAATGCCTTGATGGACCATCCCACACTGCGGACGCAGCCGACTAATAAGGGCCGGATACGCGAAGTCTGGAAACACAACCTCGAGGAGGAGATGGCCGTGCTAAGAGACATCATTGACAAGTACCCTTATGTAGCCATGGTGAGTCTTGTCTTGTTTGAGGCGTTGCGAGCCCATTGTTGCCATTGATGATGATTTTTGCCCTTTCTTCTTTTTTTCTTTATGGAGGATCAATCCCGCTGACCGAGTGGGGTGGTAACCGAAAAAAAGGACACGGAATTTCCTGGTGTTGTAGCGAGGCCCATGGGTGGTTTCAGAGGGAAGAGTGATTACCATTACCAGTGTCTACGGACCAACGTGGATATGCTCAAAGTCATCCAAATCGGCATCACGCTGTTCAACGAAGACGGCGAGACACCACCAGCACGACCGGGTCCTGAGCTGGGCCTCAGCGCGGCAGCCAGGCGGCATCTTAACGGGGGGCCGTTCCCTTACTCGTGGCAGTTCAACTTCAAATTCTCTCTAAAAGACGACATGTACAACGAGAAGTCGATCGAGTCTCTCCAGCAGGCCGGCATTGACTTTAACCTCCTGGAGCGCGACGGTATCGACCCTCACCAGTTCGCCTCTTTATTAATACCGTCGGGTCTGGTATGCTTCGATAACGTCCGATGGATATCCTTCCACGGTGGCTACGACTTTGGCTATCTCACAAAGCTGCTCATCTGCACACCCCTTCCAAACGATGAGGTGGACTTTGACCACAAGATGAAGCTGTATTTCCCCATGACATATGACGTGAAGCACCTGATGAAGTTCGCCATCAAGCTTCACAACAATGGGATGCTCACCCCCACCGACCCTGGCACCACTGAAATCCTGCAAAAGTTTGAGCACAAGTCGGGCCTGGAGAATATTGCGGAAACTCTCAAGGTTAAGCGCATCGGGTCTGCTCACCAGGCTGGCTCGGATTCCCTGCTCACCGGCAAGGTCTTCTTCCAGATGCGCGACAGAATATTCAACGGTGAGATTCCCGACGACCACCTCGGCAAGGTCTGGGGCCTGGGCATCCCCGACGTCGGCATACCCATGTCCATGATGGGCCAGGGCGGCGATCAGAACGGCAACACTCCCAGCACTCCCAACACGGGCAGCGCGCATCTCGCGACGACTCCGGCTCAGAGCCACAACACGAATGGCCTGCCCAATATGGGACCCATGACTCCCGGTGGAGGAGGCGGCGTTTTTGGTAATTTTGCATTTGGAGGGAACGGCAGATAGGGTCCTGCCCGGGAGCATATGTCATCCTATAATTGAATGATGACCCCTTTTTTTCTCTTTTCCCTTTGCTTTTTACATCCTATCGGTCCTATTTTTGGGTCTTTGTGTGCTTATAGCAGCTCTTTATATCTCCTTTTCACTCTCCAAGTCTTCTTCCCAAAAGCTTTTGACTTTCACTACTATACTATTGTAGCCCGGAAGACAAAAGGCAGGGGAAAGGATGAAGATGGGCAGAAAGTGGACAGAGGCGTTAGACAGGCTTACTTATCAACCCTTGCAAAACGGCTTTCGTTTTCATGTCTTGCCTCGCTACTTGTTTTTGCGTTTCTCCGCACCCCGCTTGTATTCTCTGGTTTTTACTCATCTTGATGTTAACACAGTTCGGAATGGGAACGGGGAAATGGAATTTTGGGGCGGGAGCAAACTGAAATGACAAAAAACGGGGTGGCGATGGGGAGTTTTTCTTCTTCTCTTTATGTTAAAAAAGGGGGAGGTTGTTCTCGATGATTGTGTAGTTGGAACTTGCAAGGGAGAGACAAAACAAAAAAGAATGGGAAGAGGCGAATGCTGTTACACAAAGAAACTAAACTAGCGAGGATTGAATTCGCGATATGGGAGGTGCTTGTTTGTGTGGTGGATGTATTGAGGGGAGCTTCGGTTTCGTTTTTCTTTTTTGTTCAAGGGATTGGGTTTAAGGAACATGGTATGCGTGTTCTGTGTATTGTATGGTACTTTTGGAGGGTCAAGGGAGGAAATTCAACGTTTTTTGCTTTTCTTGTCTGCCGCTTTTCTATTCATGGCCTACTACGATGACGAAGTGTTCTAGCTCAGTGAGACATGATGTGGCAAAAGAGGTGATTATTGAATGACTTGTCAAGATTACTCAAAAGGCATACTTTAAAGTAACACAACACCCTGGCTAAAGAACAGAAAAAAGTGAAAGAAGAAGGTGTACAATCCCGCAATAAAATGCCCATGCTGTGAATCTGAGAGTACCAACCAAAAACAAAAACCATTAAACCAACTAACCATTTCCTAATGCCCAAAACTATCATGCCATGTCAACAAAAAAGGGAGAGAAACGATAGTCTCCATATCCACCCACACAAAGTGAAAAAAAAAATAGCACCAAAAGAAGCACAGAAACTCAAGTGATAAACACCTTCTTGAGCAGCTCGTTAAAGAAAACGTCTCCAGTGATGGGATCCTTGACCATGCTAGGCGGCAAGCCCGACTTCCTAGCATAGTCATCCAGACGCTCTTTACCATACACCCTGCCATTTGGAAGCAAAAAGAGGTCATGTTCAACGTGGCTCTTCGTGTGATGCGCATAAGGCACATTCCGAGCCAAATCGTTGAGCTCAGTCGAGCAAATGGGACAAACGCCATGGCCTAGCGTAGAAGATCCCGTCTCATTGTAGGCGCCGTCTGGATTCGACGAGTGGCAGGCCGGTGTTTTGAGGGCCGACAGTCCCGAGGACAGGGCAACGTGCAGCAGCGGCACGGACGGCAAGGCAAGAAGACTGTTGTGGGCGGTGGTGAAGACGTCGGCGAGTTCGTTCCAGCGAGAGGCTTTGTACAGGTCGCTGTAGATGCCCGTTGTAGTGCCGTCTGGGGGAATGGCCAGAAGGCCGCATGCTTGCTTGACCTCCTTAGGGTACGTCTTCCAGTAGGGCATGAGGTACTTTCTGGCGTGGGCAATGGCCTCGTTGTCTGAATGTGTGCGGATGAGCTCAATGTATTGCTGCATTCGCAGCATGAATTCCAGCTTGCTCTACCAGGTTAGTTAGTATATGCATGTATCAACAAGAGAATCAAAACATGGTAGCACAGCACGACTCACATCCATCTTGCGCAGTTCCTTTTTATTCTCCGTACACCAAGCCAATGCCTCGACAACGCTCTGATTCAGCAACGCCTCCCGAATCCGACTCATGGCAACAAACGTCTCGACGTCGACCAGATTCTCCATGCCCTTCTCGCTAGCCAACTCCTTCGCACTATTGTTGTAGCCATGTCTCAAAAGGTAGTCTGTCAACAGTCGATCCAGCCGCTTCCTGCTCCAAGCCTCGTACTTGACGTCGTCGACACTCTGCATCGTGTACAGCTCATTAAGGTGCTGGATCCGCGCCGCCGTCTGCTCGTGCAAACGGGCTTCTTCCTCGGCACAGGCGCCGAGCTTGCGCTTGACGCCTCGCATACGACTGATCATGGAGTCTAGATTCTTGAGCACATCTTGTTGTGAGGCTTTCCCGGCGATGGCTGCGGTCGCTGATTCTTTGAGGAGGGACTTGAGCGACGAGGTGTCCTTCTCGATGGTGAAGTGTGCAGCGCGGAAGTTTTTGCGGAGAAGTTCGTGGGGGAGACGTAAGAGGGGTTGGTCCTAGGAGAGAGATGGATGCATCAGCAATCGGGGATTATTCAGAGGCAGAGGAAGCTTTGAGATGGGGAGCAGTGACTGTTGATGATGAGGATGAGCTTACCAAGAGCAGGTGGTCACTGTGTTTGATGCTGGAATTCTCGTGGTCCGCCATTTTGGAGGCCGCAGGTTCGGACGATAGCGGTGCAGTATGATATATTTTCTGTTTCCAATTCTTTCTTCTGGTTCCAGTGTCAAAATTGAGTGAGCGGCGGCCGGTTGGTGAAGAGGCAAGAAAGAAGATGAGCTGCAGGTTGGGAGAGGAAGCGAGAGCGGATGTCTGGGGGGGCTTATCGATACGCGGCAGTGATGCGATGTCACCACCAAATGGGGCTAGATTCAATAGTGCAGGGTAGCTCTGGGGAGGATTTGATGCACTTGGACATTCACTTGTTTAAGAGACACAGGCAAGCGGAGGACAGAAAAAGCGAGATTGCAAAATGAATGAGTGCATACATTCAGTAATGTAAGCACTCGACTGGCTCATTAAGTGGTGCTTTACAGGGAAATGCCCAGTATTTAACCAGCACCTAAATTTTACGATATAACTATGATGGCATTTACTAGAGAAAATAGTAATGAAATAGCAGTTACTAGAGAATTATAAATATAGTAGTAGTTACTGGAGAAATGTAGATATCGTAGTAAATATTAGCGAAATATAGCTATAGTAGCAGACACCTTAAAAGCTAGTGTATAATTTACCGCGTGGGTGTTCGAAATCTTCTCGGTCTCGGGTCTTCTGTCCTTCGCTTGGCAGGGTGGCGGAATCGATGATGCACTTATATATCCACTTGAACAAGAGAAACAGGTTGCTAAATACTCATTCTCAATTTGTTACTACTACTATCTAAACATTGCCATAAACTTGCAATCATAAACATATTACATCTAATCATACTCCATCTATCCATCTATCCACGATGGCAAAATACCCGTTTCACAAATCCCTTCACACGAGACCTTTTCCCTTGCCTAATAGTAGACTTCTCGCTGGGTGTCTCTAAGTCTTCCTTAACTTTAGCCTCGGCATTCTTCCGCTCAAGCTCTTTCTCCAGCTCTTTCTCCAGCTCCTTAATCCGCCTCGTCTGCTCATTGAAAAGCATCCTCAACACACTAGTCCTGAGCTCCATACGACTGGCCATGTACATCGGGCTATGGAATGCGAGGTGATCCAAGTCTTCCCAAGTATCGTGAATTTGCTCGGGAGTCAGACTGGGAAGCTGATACGTTTCCTCCCAGCTGAATTCCTGTAGATCCTCTTTTAGATCTACATCCTTAAACCACTTAACGACGTCCATGATTCCGTGGAAATCAACATTCCATTTGAGCAGCTTCTTTTTGTGCGGCGGGAGAACTCTGACCAGTTTTGTGAAGTTGTCCCTGATTTCCCTCGGGACGTCTGCAGTCCCGTACCTTTCCTCGAATAACTCCTCGATGGAATGGTACATTTCCAATGCTTCGGCGCGAGTACAAGTCAAGACTTTGCGCTTCGTGACCATGGGGACAGCCTGAGGCGCACGCAGGCCACGTTCGACATTTTTGTCATCGTTATTCCAGACCGTGTACTGTCCGTATGTGCCCTGGAAGAAATTCTCTTCTTCTTCTTTATCATCATCGTCTTCACCATCCCTTGGATCATGACGGTTTTTTTCATTTTGTTCCTCGTCTCCAGTATGTCGTTCGACTCCAGTATACTCGTCGTGTTCAGCATACTCCTTGACTTGAGTGTTTTTCCCGTCTTGAATGTCTTTTCCATCTTGGGTACACCCTTCGTCTTGAGTATACTCTGCGTCTCCAATATACTCTTCGTACTGAGTATACTCCTGATCTCTAGAGTACACCCCACGACGGACAGACTCTCTGACTGAAGGATGCTGCTGACGTTTCGCTCTTCGTATATGCTCCGTCAAAGTGTCTGGCGCCACCGGACAAGGGAATGGGTACGCGGCAAAATTAAACCGGCGGCAGGATCGTTGTGGAGCCATTGTTGCTTGTTGAATAGTAGACGATGAACACTGAATTGGCATGAAAGCTAGCCTCTGGATAATCCTCGTACTGATTGGTATTGGTACAAGCGTAGTGTGTTGTAAACAAGTATATTGTGAAAGTGTGCAATTATAGAAGAGAAGAAACAACAGGATAGAAGGCCGGGGGATATCCCATACTTATAGAAGAGCAAAACAAACCCAAAAAAGCCCCAAACAACTCGGAATCTTGCGATCAAAGACTTTAAAGATAACTGAACTATAAGACCGAAGACTATTGGGATATCCTATGCGCCACCACAACTTCAGACTTCGCCAGCGAGATTTAACTTCTCGAGCATAACTATAGGGAGTGGCGCCGTCTGCGAAACTCGGACCAGCAGCTTCTTTCTACCCCTGCAAGACGAGCCAAAGAGGTCAGATCCATGTGGTCTATCCTCAAAGAAAAGCTGATGCCGGGACGCTTACGGTCATTGCTGGAGGGAATTCTAAGGCAACTAAAGAGACCCAACCTGGTGGGAGAGGACGTCTTGCAAATACAGCGCATCGAACTGCGAGCCCCCGAAGACATCCCCCCCTCCTCGAGAACCCAGCATAACCACCGAGGGTGGGATATCATGAGCATAAGGTAACTATAAGTGTATCTATCTACATGTACCTTGGCATGTACACTACCGATACTTTCAACGATTCTATCAAACGTATAGCAGTCCTATTGAACCGTATCTCAGATGTAAAACCACACCGGTGATAAGTAGTAATACTAGAAACTGGAGGAATATAGAGATAGTAGAATATACTAGAACAAAGTCTTGATAGCAGTATAAAATGTCTAACCTAGTAGTGATAGTAGCAGATACAGCAGCAGTATACAGACAACACAAATCAAGTCAAACTGTAGCAAAACTTGGATAACAGAAAACAAAAAAGGGTCATATCTATCCAATACATTCTATACAAAAAATCAACAATAACCAAACCATAAGATAACCTTCCTCCCCTCCAACACTCAAATCCGGCGGCGCACAGGACGAACCTTTTTCTGAAAGGACCCCGGCCCCGGTGTTTTGACGGAGTAATCGCAAGTCGGACAATATGTCTGGTTGTTCGGAGTCTCAGGATACCAATCATTCCCATACGTCGCATTCAACGACACAGAGCCCACCACATCGCCGCTCTCCAGCCTAATCCACGTTTTCGCCTCCCAATTCTCGCGAAGAGTCCTGAGGTCCACGCTGACCTGTCGAGATCCGCGGATCCAATTGCCATAGCCTCCGTATCCGGAATGCTGTCCGAAGCAGAGGTTGACGCCTGTGCCCGCTACCGTCATCCCTGGGACGAGTTTATCCCATTTGTAACACCAGGTAGCGCCGTGATCATGTCCTGAAAAGACAGCCATGAGACCTGGAGTCGAAACAATGGCCTTCATAAAAGGAACATCTTGTCCACCATAGGTGCATGTCCCATCGTTGCGTCCATCAGCACACCATCCTTGTGCTTGTTGAGCAACTGGATAGTCGTCGTTAATACCAGGCTGGTAATTCCGATTAACGGTGTCTCGCCCAACCTCCGTCTGTAGAGCCTGTGAGGCCTCGGTCGGAATGTGAACGAACGCCAACGACGGTATGTTTCGTCCATGCTTGGCCACAAATCGCTGGTTCGTTTGCTCGAACCATCTCACGACGCTGATATCAACCCAGTCTGGCTGGCCGACCTGGCTCCCATCCGGATGGTGCTCCTGAAAGTAGAATCCGCCGCGGCTGTCAAAGAACCAGAGCAAAAGTTCAGGCGCGCACTCCAGCTCGTTGCACCCTGCGGCATAAACCGGTAGATAGTAGTTGGACACACCGGCATCTCGTCCTGGAACCATGCTGTTTGTTCGGGCGTTTGGCCAACGCTGCTCTCTCTCCAGGATGCCCTCGCCAGAGATGTTGAAGCTGTGATCATGATTCCCATATGTAGATGCCCATGTGAGGCGTCGTTCAATAAATGGCTGGACAATCTGGTCGATGTAAACAGTACTGTTTTCTAGGAACCCATTTTCTCCGGTGATGAGGTCACCGTTCAGGACGACAAGTCCGGGAGACTCTTTATCGAGCACCTTGTTGATGACTTCCACCGAGTTAATATCCTGCTGAGGGCCCCAAGTATCCCAAGCATCTATGAGGAGCATCATTAGTTAGCTGTCTTTGCATTCATGTCGTGTAGATCAACTCACTCTCGCCAAAATGTAAATCCTCAAAGATGGATATCTGAAAGGTCCCATTCCGAGTAAAACTCAGCGGTTTCGATAAAACCCCATCGTCTTGTCCAAGTTGAGCCTGTTTCGGCTCAGGAACTAGTCTCTTTGTCGGCATCGCCAACACAGGCGCAAATAATAGCAGCGAAGTAAGCATCATGATTCTCTGCTTGTTTGTTTGTTTGTTTGTTTATATCTTTTGGAAAATAGTTAACGAGACAGAGAAAGCGCCCAATGCTCTGCCTTTATATAAACAGATTCTAACAAAGTTTTGGGCTTGCCATGGAAACGTCCGTAGCCTTTTCCCATTCACAACAAAACAACGAACGGCAACCCTATTTATAATTCAGCCATGCCCATGGGGAACTTTCCGAAGCAGCCACCAAATGCTACAGTAGACGAGCAGGATCTACCACGGTGAAGAGGAGAAAGGAGAGCTGCTTTGGCTTGGCCTACAGAAAATGGGATCATCCGACCAAACGGAACAATGCCGCCGTCGTGAAGTGCCGCAAGTTCACATGAAAAGATAACGGCAGATGCAAAGAGATAGAGAAAGAGATTTAACATAGTTGAGTTGTGGTTACATTTCGGCGACATTGAACATCCAGTCTTGTTCAAGGAATGCGCAACGTGCGTCTTTTGTCTTGCGCGGAGGATCAGCAGGCTAAATCGTAACTGTCACGGGTTGGTCAGAATCACACTGTTAGAGAGGTACTTGCACTGAGGCTGCAGTTTGGGTGGTGGGACCAGGTACCTTTTCATCTTATTCAAGGTTGCATGGCTTTCTGTTGCCATGGCATCACTCATGATCTGAACCTTCATGTATAATTATAATGGTTTATAGTTTTTACTGTTTATGGCTCATATCTCCAAGGTTTACCGGCCAATGAAACCCAATCTGGGCTACTATTCTGGTCATTTGATCCAAAAGCTAATCATGCCAGCCAACTTCTATTATACATTGTACACATCAAATCCAATCTCGATACACAACCTACTCCTTCTTTGACTTTGTCTCCTTCTTCGCAGAATCAGCAATCTTCTTCGCCTTCTCCCCCTTCTCCTCAAGAACCTTCTGGATATCCCCCAGCGTCTCCTTCAGCAACTGCTCCCCTTCCTCCTTGTGCTCCTCCGCCACCCGTCCCATCTCCTCCAACTTGCTCAAGATCTCGCTGCCCTGCGGAATCTTGTCCATGTACTTGTTCAATGACCCCCATCCGCTCTCATCAGCCTTGTCACTCACTTTCTGCGCAGCTTGCTTGATGTAGCTCTCCAAGTCACCCACATCTCCCGACTTGGCCGCGTCACGCACCTTGCCGAACAACTCCCCAATGTTTCCCTTTTTCAAAGCATCCCCATTCTTCTCTAGCAGTTCCTTAATCTTGGGGCTCTTTTCAAGATACGGCTTGGCCTCTTCCAGACCCTTCTTCCACGCCTCGTCTCCCAGCTTCTGCACCTGCTTCACCTTCTCATCAATGAGCTCCCGCGCCTTTGCCAGGCTCGAGGCGCTGAATCCGCCGGCAAAAATGTCCTTGACCTGACGCCACGTCTCGTCCACCTGCTTCTTCGCCTCTGGGCCGTACTGCTCGCCCATCTGCTTCAGCTGATCAATGTTGCCCCCAAGCTTCTCCTTCAGCTGCGGATGATTATCCACAACATCCGAAAGCGCATCTCCAGCAAGACTGGCAATCTTGCTCGCCAAGTCCGCCAAGACTTCAAACGCCTGGGAAGCTGTTTCAAGGCTCAGGCCCGACTTGGAAATGTCCTGGAACTGCTTGTATGCATCATTGACCAGCTTATCCGCCTCGTCGCCGTGCTCCTTTCTCACAGTCTCCCAATCCTTGAACGCCGCATCCACGTAGCCGCGGCCCCCAGGTATCCAACCCACGTAAGAGTAGGCAAACTGCTTGATGGAATCGACTGCCTGTGACGCGCTGGGAGTGTTTTCCTGCAGCTTCTTGGCGGCTTCTTGGTACTTCTTCTCGGCTTCCTTCACCGTCTTATTCAACTTGCTTGCTGTTCGTCCAGCTGGAGTGAAGGAGTAAATGCCATAGAAGATTGCTGCTCCGGCCATGCCGCCCAAAACACCAGCTCCAAATGACCCATTGGAAGCTGCAGTGGTTGATGATGAGGAGGTAGACGAGGTTGACTGGAAGCGAATTTGGTGGCGTTTTGGGGCTCGCAGAGCTACTCTGCCCTGAGACAGTGATAGTCTGGCGGCTGATCTTGTGGAAATCATGTTGGAAATGTTGGATATGAGATGATGAAAGAGGTAGATGAATGAATTGGGTGTAGAAGAAGGAATTGAATGATGTGAGGTTGAAATTGAGTGATGAAGATGAATGGTATGTTTTGTCTACTAGGCAGCCCTTGATATATATGTATATTTTCACACGGCAATTCAATTGCTGATGTCAGTACGGAGCAGTAAATTTAATTTATGGCATCGTGACGCAATTATTAGACACAGATTCACCGTGCTCATCGAAACCAACAATGACGCTCTGGAATCATGACGTCAATCATACTCTTGGACTACGGCTCACATGGAAAATATCCACTCCATCGGCTCGGAACCTTCAGCTTGGCCTGAAACGGACAATTCCTGGGGCTGGGCTAAGGCTACCTTAATTAAATAGACGGGTATGCATATTCTAAGGTAATCTCGAGAGGCTATCAAATCTGGCATCTGATCTGCTCCCCTCCTTTCCCCCCTGTCGAATCGAATCTACCTCTACCTAATCCTATATTCACTGGTATTATCGCTAGCAATACTTGAGTGCCCATGATCCCGAGTCGCTGGCGCTCATCCTAGAAGGAAACAAAAACCCAATCTTCAGCAATAAAGGAAAGCTCCACGACCCTGTCGTTTTCAAACTGATAAACATCCCAAGCTTCATGCCCTTTGACGCGATGCAATCCCCCCCCCCAGCTATGCATGAAGTACCAAATGATGCAGCAACGCAGCAACGCCGTTGAAAAAAAAAAGAAAAAAAAATAATGCTCCCACGAGATCCACGCCGCGATCTATAGCCTAAACCGCGCGCCAAGTATATAAAAAGCCAAAGAGGGCGAGCCAGCCGCTCCAATCAGCTTAGCCCTTGCCTCATTAATGAATCCTGTGTGATTCTCATCTCATCTCATCTGTCTCTCCCAGCAAAAGTCCCAGTAGCCATCATTGCGCCGGCGATTGAGGCCGCATTAAAATAAAACTTTTTGCGAAAGCTGTGCCGATTAATCGTCGCGGAAAAACGTCCCTTGGAGCGGAGCAGTTGATGGGCCGGCATCCACCATGTGCATGTCTTGAGATGAATCGTCTCGGCTCAAGCCCGCCATTGTCACATCACCACCTCGGTAGTCAAACGCCATGGCACTCATTGGGCGGTCTGGATCATCTTCAAGAACGCGCTGTTGAAGCGAGAACGGGCGATCATAGAGCACATCTTCCGGAGGAGAGAAAGACCAGACCTGTTCCGGTATTAGTAATTAGCACTCTAGGTCAATTTCAACCCAGGCGTAAGCGTTAACTCACCTCCATGACCGTGCGGCCTTGCCTCAAAGCCAAAGCAACACACTTTTCCTCTTCAAAAGCAACCCGCCAAACCGCCTCGCCTTGAGCGATCAGTTCGCGCACAAGGTGGCCCGTCTTGAGATCCCAAATCTTGACTCTGCCGTCGCTTCCTCCGCTGACAACGCGTGTGTCGTCGAATTGCAAGCTCGTGACGCTGTTGTCATGAGCAGCAAGGCGATGGATGGGGCACATCTTCTCCAGAGACCACACTCTGACTGAGCCGTCAGAGCCTCCAGTCACCAGAGTATCACCTCGCATCTGCAGCTGTCCGACAAGAGACGTGTGGCCCTGAAGAATGGCAAGGCATTCTCTGTTGACAGTAAGAGACATTTGGTTAGTAATGAGTTTCTAGCTTAAAACGACGACTGATGTGACGAGCACAACTTACCCAGTTTTGGGGTCCCAGACTCTAACGTTAGTATCCAGACTCCCAGTCACCACCCTCTTGCCGTCAAACGCAATAGCATAGATCTGACTAAAATGTCCCTGCAGCGTTTGCAGGCATCGGCCCTCTGAAATGCTCCAAACTCTGGCAAACGTATCGTAGCTACCGGATACTACAATGTCGCCCTTGATCTCTAGGCACCGTACACTAGACTGGTGTCCAACCAGGACGTTCTTGCAGAGACCGGTGCGGATGTCCCAGATCCGCAGAGTGGTGTCTCGAGACCCGGAGATGGCGGTGTTAGCATCGGCCATCTTCAGGCATCGAACAGTCGATGTATGGCCTCGCAACGTATGTAGACAAGCGCTGTCACGAGGTTAGCGTCATAAGGAAAGTAGAGCGTGAAGCTGCCATTCGCAGTCTCAGACTTACCCAGTCTTCAAATCCCAGACGCGCACGTCTCTATCGCAGCCACCGCTGACCATGGTGTCTCCCCAAGGTACCATGGCCCAGACTCCCATGACATGGCCCTGCAAGGTCCTCTGCGAGTTGCCATCCGTGTCAAAGACGTGAATCTTTGCATTGTCGAGAGCGACAATGATGTATTTTGGCGTCAGATGCAAACTCGTAACCACGCCTCCTTCTTGTGTAATGTTGCGGGTGATGCTTGTGCCGCCGGACCGCCAAGCCGCCTCCACCAGATATCTCTGCTTAAAGTGAGACTTATATGAGCGTATCTTGGGCCTCCTGCTGTCATAGCTCATTGAACTTGAACCGTGTGAAGTGAAGGGGAGCGCCCCCGGGAAGCTGCTGGACATTTCGCTATCCATATCGACGGCATAGGCCGAGGACCTCGTCGTCATGATTGGGGCCGAGGGCGACACTTCTGACAAGCGGCGACCATAATCGTGTTTCTCGCAAAGGTTCTTCCACGTCATGTCGTCGCTCAACAGATCTCGCCACCTCTTAGACACTTGCGACGCTCGCGCAAGAACTTTGGGATCATCAATGAATGACAATATCTGAGAGAATGTCAGCGGGAGAGATCAAGGAGAAGAGGGAGAATGATGTATCTGCAAGCTGCAGGCTGCGAGTTCGTACCCGTAAACATAGCTCATCCGGAAGACTGGTAAATGGGTCCTTCTTCAGCAACGGGCTGACAAATTGGTGAACAAAGCTGAGCTGCTGGCTGGTACAGAGGTTCAACAAATCGGCCAAGATTCTCGTTCGTTGAGGACCGGAACAGTTCTGAAAGTGATGTCGAACTTTGGCGAGGAAGAAATCTTCATCATCGGCGGCATCGCTCCAATCCGGTTGGCAGTGCGCAGGTCCTGGAGACGCGGCTGGGGTTGGCGGATCAGGAGCCGATCCCGTCAACTGCTGATCAAAGTCGGCGGCCGGCGTGGGCATGCTCGGTGTTGGTGGCCCTCTCATCTGGCGCTGTTGCTTTTCGACTCGATTTAATAGCAAGTTGTTGGTGTTGAGCGTCAGCTCTTCGCTCAGCAGGCTCCCTCTCCTCTCGGAAAAGCTCATCGGTCTACCGTAGCCAGCCATGGTCGTATAGTTAAGCAAGAGGCGTCGCGTCGCAGTCGTCGCCCAGGGAAAATGGTCAAAAAGAGTAGTATGCTACCAAGTCGGAATCAAAACTGCAACAGGCTTGACTAAATAAGAGTAGGAAAGGAGGTTTCGGACGTGTAAGGCGAATGACGGAATGTATGGAGAAAGCAAAAAGAAGGCCCTGGCCTAGTCTAGCCTGACACCAGGCGAATGTCAGCTTATACGTGCTTGTACGTGGCTCGCAGGTGATGTCGGTGGGAATGAAGCGTGTTGGATAGGATTATTGGTTTGCTTGCTGTGTAAGCAGTGAAAGATGCATTACTGGCACCGCAAATCCAACGCCGTGCAATATTACCAATCGGATATTGAAAGGGGAAGAGTGTCAAGGGAACGCAGGGAATATTACACAACTAGTGCAAGTGATGGAAAACTGGCAGCAGAAGCAGAAGCAGAAGCACAACAAGAGCATACCGATAGTTTAGGACATGGGTCAGCCTCCTAATGTCTGCTGAGAGAAGCGGACCAGAAGGGTCCAAAGTCCAGAAGACCAAAAAACGAATGGAAGCCTGCCGGTGTACGAGTAGGTACAGTACGAGTGCTAGGGCGAATGAGAGCCCCGGGAGACGTGTCGCGCGTTGCTGGACTCCCTGATGATGCGGTCTGGATGACGGAGCAGTGCCGAACTATCGAAGGGATGATGAAATGGAGTGGTGGATGCGAGGTGTCGACCGCCTAAGAAAGGGATTGGGACAAGACAATCCCTGGTTCCTGATCTGCTCGGCAGGGCCCCCGTAGTGTCTTTTCGGGTTCGAGCAAGAGCCGGGGAGAGCGCGCAGCAGTTGGATTCTGGCGTCGGATCGGTCGGGGTTGGAAAGAGGCGAGGCTCTGGAGGCACGATTCGACCTGGTTGTCGTCGTCGATTGCTCAAGTTGAGGAAGAGCTGGAGGGAGGTGAGCGGGAGGGCGAAAGAGTTCCAGCGGGTGGGTGACTTCAATTACCTGAGACCGACCGACTTTGGGCGTCCCGGATGGTACAGGTACATTGAGCGTCGTCGTAGCGGGCGTACTGTACCTTGCGAGTGTGTGGCCAGGCGGTGGTGCGTTGCAGTGTACTGCAGTGTACCGCATTGTACACACACGTACCGGTACAAGGCACTCGAAGCGACTAATGTACCCGGAAGGTGAGGGTGGATCATCAGCATGACCATGGCGCCAAACCTGCTGGGCCGGTCTTAGCGGTTTGGGTACCGATCTGGCACATGCCCGCACATGCCCCCGCGCAAAAACGGGGGGAGGCACGGCACAAGATACGCTGCTCGCTAACACAGCGCAACGACCCATGCGCGTCAGGCGTTAGGGCGTTAGGGGCAGCACTGTGTCACTGTCACTGCGCTGCTGGACTGAGACGCAAGGCAGCACCAGCGGCTACTCAGCCGGATGCGGCGCCTGACTGGCCCAGCGCCCGGCAGGGGGACGCCCTGGAGGCCCTTGCAGCGCCAGAAACCTGAACACCGTTTTAACGTTACGGAGAACCCGATGGTGGACGGGCGGCTTCTCACTGAGGCTTCAATCTTTTCGTGTATCGGGTTCCACTGCGCCCCGTTCAATGTCTCAATGCCCGTCTTTTGATACTCCATCTTCTCCTCATCTGGCCTCTACGAGTGCATACACTCTCTGCTAGTTTAGTAGGTACTGTATGTGCAGGTGCATAGTATTGACGGTACATGTGCGTGCTCCTCTATGCAAAACGCTCGCATACCTCCATATGCACCTGGGCTGATTGTTGGTCACCAGACTTGCCCATTTTACCCCATACATACTCCAGGTCAAAGGTGCCAGACAATATATTGCTCTCGGCATTGCCTCCTCCTCCTCCCCTCTTCCTCAATTGCTCATTGCTCATTGCCGCTTCAACCGCCCGTGCCTTAACAGCTGTACAAGGCCAAACATGCGTGCTTGTGATGTGTATGCTCGTCACTGGCTGGCCACATGTATGCTTGCATAAGGCATACCTAAACGCTGCACATAGGGTATCTGAAAAGCATGCATGTAAGAGGTCAATGCTTCACACGGCCTCACGTAACAAAGCGAAATATTTGATGAAAAAAAGAGATATGAGACAGACGACACAACATTGATCATTAAACACTGTCAACTATCCACTTACGACAGAATGCCATCAATATTACAGTTTGGTACTACACAGTAAGGGCGCTGAGAATCAAGCATTGATGGCTGAATCTCGGCCGATTGTCTTATTCAAGGGGCAGGCCAGGCTTACTCTCCGTCTCCATTCCCACACCACCAACCACGGCCACCGGATGGAATGCTGACCATGTCGCCTTTGCGGAGCACCAGCCCGAGCCCTTTATTAGGATAGGATTGATAGGATAGGAAGCTCATCTCATCGGGGCATGCAACTCACTGGCGCAGCAAAAAGTACATACTCGTACATACATACATACCTTACATACCACTATTAGGCACATACAGACTGGCTACAGTACAGACACGCATCAGTGGCCTCATCTGACCACTGCGTCCTGCGTCCATGGCGGCCGAGGTTGCACAGGAGCGTACATCATGTACATGTGCCTAAAGCCTGTTGCTGAAGATTTCCAATGGTTTTGGTTAGGTTCATGTTGGTGTTGATCCGTTTCAAGTAGCACCCAATCCTAGTCCTACATGTATTATACGAGACACGAAGCTGCAGCTCGGAGTAAATCCTTCAGCAGGAGGGGCATTGGTGTTTTATTACTACATGTACCCAACTACTACTAAGTATTAGATGCCATACCAAGCCATATGTCCCTGGCCTGACAAATCCGATCGTCCATCTGCTACATGCCTACAAGTCCAGCAAGGCGGTGGCACCACGTACATGGGACTTGGACTCAGTTTCTCCATTTCAACGTGGCCTCGTTTCACTTGGGCATTCAATCCCAGCACGGAACCTGGAAAAAATAGTAAAAAATATTCGCCGCTAGATGTCCAGCATCAGCAATCGGCATCGGCACCAAAATGACCCCCATCAGGGACCCATCTTGGCCTAAAAAAAGTGTCCGTCCAGGCAGGGGTCCTTTCTTCATCCCAACTTGCAGCTGTTTCATATTCATGTCCACTCGGTCACAGAAATCATAAGAGATTGATTAATTTTTCCATCTTTTTCCACAATGTTACTTTGGCGGCGCGCGCGCGCATCGTGCAAAGACACGGATCTAAAAGATTGGACCCAATCCCTTTTACGCTACGTCATTTTGTCCGCTGGCCAATCCAGACGGGGGACCTGAGTTGTGTTACTGCATTGACCCCGTTGGGCATGAATCTGATGTTGAATGAGTGGGCTCATGGATAGAGTTGGCGTGTAATGCGTTGGCCACGTTTTTGCACGAGGACAGCTTCATATCATGGCGTGATTTGCCATGATCTGAGAATAGCTGCAAATTAATCCCATTACTTCAACAGATTGTAAACACAGCATATCAAGCATTGGATGCTCAATGGCACAGCTTACTACATCGACAAACATCCACGTCCCATCTTATTTGCTTTCATCTTTAATTGACCAAAATCACCAATGCTTTTTATCTTTGTCAGCTGTGCCAGACATCTATCGTACTCTATATAATTATATGCCGTGTTTGATCATCATCACAGCGACTAGATGTCTCGCTCTGCAAAGTGCAATTCTATAGCCATCCGCAAATCCGTCTACATCTGTGGTAGATCATCCCACAACAATACTCGCAGTAGTGCTGTCTTAATAAAAAAGAAAAAAGAGATAAAAGAGAAAAGGGGGTTAAAAGTAAAACAAACAAAAAACCAGAAACATCTCTTCTTTTTAATACCATCATCTTCCAGTCTCTAGTAGTATGTTATATTGGGCACAGCCATCTAATGGCCCATTTGAGCAAGAAGAGGAATCATCATGCCCGCAACAGTGGCTAACGTGTCTCGCATCTGAGGACCCTTGGATTTTCGCTGGTGTGCCGAGCTTCCATCCGAGTAGCCGTTCATCCCAGAGCTGTGGTCGTGGCTATGGACGCCGCTGTCTTCTTGCATGGCGTGCATGGCGACATATCTATCCATGGTTAGTCGACTCCTGACTGACTTAGCATCATTGACAACAAGACTTACAAAAATGTTCCTCCTGAGAATAGTAGTAACATGCCAGTCCACCACTGCCCCGAATATCCTTTCAAGTGGTCGCCACCAAGCAGTGTAATCATAAGCCAAGTTGTCAAGGCGCCCACAGGAGCAGCCAGACTAAAGATGACCAAATGACCTCGAGCTGCCCGTTTTGACAGGCCCTGCTTCAGCAAAACTGACGTTAGGCCAAACGCTGCGGGAGCTTTGTGAATCATAATGGCAATGAAAATGACAAAGCCCAGCCTGAGGTTGGATGAAGTCGCGGATGCTCCCATAGCGATGCCGTCAGCTGCGGCATGAATTACCAGCCCGGTGGTTGTTGCCAAACTGCGAGCTCTGCGAGGGCTTGGCGTAAGGGAGTTCAGGAAGCCGTCTGCTTCTTCGTCAATGGACGCCGTATCGCCTCCTCCAAGATCGTCCAGACTCATATGGTGAGTTTCCGGCGTAGACCGTAGGCTCTCAGTAGCGTGCCTAGGAAGTCTGTCGATGAGAAACATGAGAATGAAGCCTGAAATCATGGAGAAGCCTATTTCCAGCGTTGGTACGTCGTGGGCGTGCGGCTGCTCTGCGCCGGCACCACTGTCTTCGTGTTCCTCATGCTCGTCGTGTTCTGGGGTAGGTTCGGGTGATTCCTCTGGTATATCTTCATCATCTTGTCTTTTTGTAGCTCTATAAGTCTCCGTAACCTCGATTCGTGGTGAAATGCGGGCCAAGTCGTCGTGGATCGTGTCTCGTGCGACTGTCGTTCGCACAACGGGAAAAGCCTCGATGATATCGCGTGGCTCAACGCCAAGGGTCCATGGTGATCTGCGCACTAAACTCCGTGCTTTGTGAAGGTGCGAGGCTTCTGCGGGCGTTACAGCAGTTTCAACGCCCTCGGGTATGATGACTATAAGTGATGTGCCAACCAGCACTCCAACTCCAATGCTTGATATCAATCGAAGTTGTGATTGTGAAAGTGTCATCGATAACGGCAAGGCTCCGGCGAGAAATGAACTGTTTCACGAAGTCATACATCAGCCATATGTTTCCATATAATCGCAATCGTTGGGTAGTGGTGCAGCTTACGCCACTGCCATGACAATCTACACCGGCCACAGTTAGCATGATACGCGACCTGAAATCGATAGAGCAGACTTACGCATAGGCCAACAAGCAAGAGTAGGCCGCCCATGGTGAAGGTGAATAGCGAGCCGGCGCAAACTCAGCTTGTTCGTAGGAATAGGGGGGGTTGTGTTATCGCAGGCTCATCTGCGCGGCATGGCCTCCTCCTCCCAGACCAGCGCTCGCCTCTCTCTCTGCGGACGGAGAAGGGATTTAGCCGCCGAGATTCCAGAAGCAGCGCGTGCTAGACTAGACGAGACGAGACGCGAGGATTTACTCGTAGAGAGGTGATACCGCAGAGGCGACGTACGCAGAGGATGGATTTTCGGTTTGCGATTCTGTGCACAAGTCGATTGATTGGCCCAGATCAGCCAATTCGTGTCCTCAAACCCCCCGGTGATCAAAGCCACAGCGAGGCCCCACTTCCCTCAATGGCTTATATCCGCCTGGCTAGGCTTGCTAGGGTTCTGGCGATTAGGGAGATTGGCTTGGACCCGGCACTGGACATAGTTTACTACAGTATGTAGGTACCTTATTGAAAGTACTGCTCGTAATTGTCAGTTGCGGAGGTTTTGCAGACGAATCAGAATTGACATTGGGTAATGGGATTCGTGTTTTCGTGAATTCTTACAAATGCGCATGGCGCAGCTGAGATGGCGCATGTTGCAATTTGTTAGTGAGATTGGCTTCATCCTGTAGATGCCTGTACCTGAGTAGGCAGTAACGAGCAATCTAAAGAGCATCCATTGATTGGAATATCTGTACTACCACTGTAGGTGATTGATCAACTCAATTGTCTATATAATTTTCAAAATACTAATATCAGAATTGATAAATTTGAAGAAATGATTGAATAGGTCAACAACTTACAAGTCTCAATGCACCACTTTTCAAGTATGGACCTATGCATGTCTGCTGCTGTTTCAACCCCATCTGGTTCATGTGATATGATACTACACATTGACTCATATTAACACTTTGTCATCATCCTCATTGATTCATTACAAACCAGAACTCTCCAAGATGATCCTTCGGAATATCCGTTTACTGAGAATCTGGCATTTTGGCTTCCATCGAGCGGCTCCACAAACTGCGACGGACCTTGAGAGATACCCCACAGAACAAAAGATGACTCTTTGGAAGCTTAAAACTCGGCACAGCCTCGTGGTCAATGCGGATGCCCGACATTCCCCGATCGGTCGCTCCCCGAACCCCAGCCTCGGTAGCATGCAACTTGAATACTCTATCAACAAAGGATCAAATCGCAAGTAATTTTCTAACTGCTTATTGTCTATAAGCCACCAATGGGAATAACTCTGGATGCTTAAACAAGTCATTTGTGCGATTGGATCTCCATATCGTCAAAGCGCTAAGCCATTAGCACCCTTGCCCCATGGGTTGAACTATCAAGATTACGTGCCGGCTTTCTGATTAAGGCTTGCCCTTGTGACCACCTCTGGCGAATCTGGCTTTGACAAGTTTTGTTTTTTACGTTAAAATAGTATTCGTGACAGGAACACTAATTCGCCAGATCGCCGCTAACATCCTGCTGCTTGGTAATTGCTCCCCGGTGAGCAGAATCGGGTAATGTTGCAAGTACCCACGCTACTGTTCTAAATATCCGATTCACCGTCAACTTGAAAAGCAACACTTATGTCGGCTCTCGCGAATGATCCGATTGGATCCCGATGAACACCCGCCCCCGCTATCGTTCATTGTATTTATACGAGCAGAGTCCCGAGAAGGACCATCATTCCATCATTCAGTCTCTGAGACAGCATCTCCTGGCTACAATCTCACTTTAGCTACACGTTCCGTTGTTGCTGCCTTTCCAGCATGGCAACGTCCACCATCACCGAGACCCTTCACACTGCAGAAGAGATTCCGCTCAGTGTCTTGCAGCCAAAGGCAGTCCTCAAAGCCAGTCATGACTCCGACAAGCCATTTGTAGATGCGCCGATTCTCGAGCCGGCCATTGCAAGTGATGATTCTGCAGCTCCCGAGGACGCATTCGAGGCCAAGGTGAAGTGGAATTCGCCGCCGATCAACAGATATCGTGTCCTTGCTACCTTTTGGGCCTTTTTCGTCTTGGGCATGAACGATGGTTCCTATGGTGTAAGTCGATTGAAGCCTCAGTTGCCATGTGCGTTGCCACATTCAACTTGCTAACTACCTGTACCCTTGTAGGCTTTGGTTCCTCAGGTATGGCTTTCGCTGCCGGGCTCTCTTAATATTGATGAACAGTATTGACAAGTCCTTTAGCTGGAAGAATATTACCACTTAACCTACACAGTCGTTTCGCTCATCTTTCTGTCCCCGTTCGTTGGCTACACTTTGGCCGCATTGGTCAACAGCCCTCTCCATGTTCGTCTTGGCCAACGAGGTGTGAGCATGATAGCGCCGCTATTTCGTCTCGTCCCGTACCTCGTCATAACGTTTCATCCACCGTACCCGGTCCTCGTTGTGATGTATATCCTGGTTGGTTTCGGCAACGGCATTATTGACGCTGCCTGGAGCGCTTGGATCGGTAACATGGCAAACTCGCACGAAATATCTGGAGTCTTGCAGGCTTGCTACGCTCTGGGAGCGACGGTAGCCCCCTTGATTGCCACTTCCATCAGTTCGCATGGCCGTGGTGGTTGGTGGACTTTTTACTACATCATGGTATGAAGCTGATGCAAGATTGATCTATATGGATACATTTCTGACTATAATGCTTTGCAGGTCAGCGCCTCTGCACTTGAGTTGGGCGCCAGCACAACTACATTCTGGACCCAGACAGGCAAAGTCTACCTGAGCGAGAACCCACACCAAAAGGCCGGCGAGAATGCCACATCGGGACGAACACGAGAGGCGCTGAAGAACAAGCTGACCTGGTTCTTCTCTCTCTTCATCTTCTTATACGTCGGTACCGAGGTCTCTATCGGTGGCTGGATTGTCGTCTTCATGACCAAAGTTCGCAACGCTTCTCCGTTTGCCGGTAGTGCCACGGCGACGGGATTCTGGGGCGGCATGACGGTTGGGCGTCTGGTGTTAGGTTTCGTCACTTCTCGAGTTGGTGGTTTTCGAGCAATGCTCCTGTATCTTGGATTGGCCATTGCCATTGAGCTCGTCTTTTGGCTTGTTCCGAACATGGTTGTGACTGCTGTGGCATCTGCGTTGCTGGGCATGATTCTGGGTACGCCTCCTCTTTACTGTGACTATATACTCATACATACATGTATACTGACTTCACAATAGGACCCATGTACCCTACCGCAGTGGTCCTCATGACCAAAGTCTTGCCTCGCTCTCTCCACATCAGTGCCATTGGATTTGCGACCGCCATTGGAGGCTCTGGCTCAGCTGCTTTGCCGTTCGCGGTCGGTGCCATCGCACAAGCAAAGGGTGTCAAGACGCTACAGCCTATTGTCCTTGCCTCGTGTGTTGTGATGCTGATTGTGTGGCTGTTCCTGCAACAGCACCGACCAAAGGATAAGGAGGAGGGCGTCAGCATGGTCGTGTTCAAGCGGATAGGCGAGCGGGTCCGAAAGATGTTCAAGTAAGTCGAACAGGTTGATACTGCAAAAGGAAATGTTCACTGGCAAATGGTATCGGAAATCTGGTTGAAAATCGTATAGAATTTTGTTGTTTGATATTGTCTGCCTCTTATAGATGAGAGGAGCTATAAGTAGAGTGTTGGATGGTGATTGGAATACATGAAGGAGTACGTGGTATCTTTGGAGAAAGACGTCGTTCTATGCCTGTTAAGCTATCTTTTCTTTCTTTTTACATATTTTACTTATTATCAATCCTAAGAATCCTACTTTGGATATAAAATTCCCCTCAGAGCCTTTGCTTTTGGCGTGGAAATGATGTGTACGGCGTACATATGCCGGGTAACAAGATCGGGGTGGATGGCTTGTACCCCACATGCCCACTTTCCCACTAGGGGCGCTGCGGTGCCTGGCAGGTACATGTACCTTAGCTTCCATGCTGGCCTGGCTTCTGTCCCTTTCCAACATTGACGAAACAACATCTGAAGCAGCACAGCTTTGGTTAAGGTCAACCATGGCGCTCCAATCATGAGCCATGAACCACCGTCTCCTAAGAGGCGGCACATTCTTTCATCCATCAACCCGGAGCAGTCACCAGAGAGACATCGAAGAGAGAATCCACGGGCCGCTTCATCAAATGACGTCAAGCCAACAGTTGAAGATGGTTGTGACGATGCAAGCATGGACGCAACAAAGCCCAGACGGTCGCGGCTGAAGCTCAAGGGCGAGAAGAAGCGTCGCCGCTCTCGCAGTAACGAGCGAGACCACGAGTCCGGTCGCCATCGGCATCACCACCATCGCCACCGCCGGCGACGACACCGCTCTCCCACGCCACCGAATCCCCACGAGCCCCCGACTCTTGATCCAGACGCCGCCTTCCGAGAATCACTCTTTGATGCCATGGCTGATGACGAGGGTGCCGCTTATTGGGAAAGCGTCTATGGTCAGCCCATCCACGTCTACTCTGACGACAAGGTCGGACCAGCAGGCGAGCTTGAGAAAATGACGGAGGAGGAATACGCAGCCTATGTTCGGCAAAAGATGTGGGAGAAAACTAACGCCGGTCTCCTTGAAGAGAGAGAGCGGCGTGCAGAAGAGCGCAGGAAGAAGAAAGAAGAAGAGAGACAGAATCAAAAACTACACGAAGAAATGGATCGCAGTCGACGCCGAGCAGAAGAACGACGCCGGAGAAGACGCTGGGTCGATGGATGGGACGCGTATACGCAAGCTTGGTCCACGTGGGACGGAACTTTGGACACTCTCGCTTGGCCTGTGCTAAGTGGGCAGCGAAAGGATGTAAACGAAGAGACTGTTCGTGAGTTCTTTATTCACGGCATAGGTTTGGAGGATGTTGGAGAGAAAGAATTTGTTGCGAAGCTAAAGGAGGAACGAGTGCGTTGGCACCCCGACAAGATACAGCAAAAACTCGGCGTACAGAGTGGCAGCGACGTTATCAAAGATGTAACCGCCATCTTCCAGGTTGTGGACAGGCTTTGGGGACAAGCGATGAAGAAGCCTTGAGCCATGTTCTTCCCAGACACGATTTGCGACTTCGAAACCACCAGTCTTTGAGGCGAATAGCGACCGTCGCTTTCATCAAACAAGGCCGTGTGGCTCAATGGCAGAGCGTCTGACTACGATTAGTATATCAGGAGGTTGCAGGTTCGACCCCTGTCTCGGTCAAGCAAATTTTTTTTGCTCTTTTGCTCTTTTTTCTAAATGCTATTTCGTTAGGCGCCATTACGCCAAAGTGGATAAAGCTCACGGCGCTTTTTTAGAAATGGTGGGACAAGTCACATTATGGAGCAATTGCTTGCAAAAGCGGGCACTCAAAGGTGAATCAAGAAATGACAGTGTAGTAGATTCGCCGACTAATGCAGCCTCAGACCGTTATTCATAAAGACTCATCTCAACAAAGAGCCAAGATAATACAAAACAGCTAGGAAAAATGAAGAAAAAAAAAGAAAAGCTCTCAACCAAGGTGTGCGTGCCATGTGTGCTCTCGCGAACTTAGGGGTATTCCGTTATCCATCCTTTCCCATGTTTTCTGTTTCCATGCCTCCCAGATAGAAGTACACTCTAGTATATTCCACCCATTCCTCTCCTCTTCAGCAGGCTTGATTCTCTGATGATAGCATTCGCTACCTTACATGTTGGCCAGAACAGCAGCTCCGCCGATCAGGGCTCCCATTGCAATATAGGCAGTCTGGACAGGAGCAGCGTCGTGGGACTTTGTGGACGCGGCAGCGGCAGCCGAACTGGTCGCGCTGGCGAGGGAGGCGCTGAGCTTGGAGATGTCGGCGTTGACCGAGGAGGCTGCTTCGCCGGTGGCAGTGGCGGCAACGCTGCTGAGAGAGCTGAACTTGGAGCCGGCCTCGGAGGTCAGGCTGGCGATGACGCTGGAGGGTGCATCGTCGAAAATGGATTTAATGGCGCTGGCTGCGGCGCTGGCCTTTGATTCATTGGCGTCGACTTTGGACTGGACGTGGCTCGCGAAGGAAGAGGCCTCGCCAGCCTTTTCGGAGAGCCAGGTCTTAACGTCGCCGGCCTTTCCAGTGACCCAGGTAGAGATGTCGCCGATGAAGTCGCCCAGGTCAGGAGCGGGAGATGGGGCGGGAGAGGGAGCTGGGTTGGCCTGGAGATGTTGTTAGTTCGTGATGATTCTTGACGATGCTTATACGGGTTGAGTTTTGTGATTGTGAAGATGTGGAAATATGAGAGTATGTTGATTCGAATGAGCTAATAGAGAGAGAGGAGGATGGACGAGTCTGATCATACCTGAACAAGGGCGGCAACGGCGAGGACGGCAAAGCTGGAGAACTTCATGGTGAATGTGTAAAAGGAAGTTGTTGTTGATAGATTTAAAGTTTTCAGGAAATGATGTTCGGTACTGCAGGAGATGGATGGGTTGCAAGGATGAGATATCGAAGAGATCTGGCTAGTAGGCTTGTAATGTGGACAATGTGGAGAGCAAAAGGGAAAGTTCGAAACGACGGGGTGGGAAAGGCTGGAGATTTTATAACAAGTGCAGCGCAGCTGGAGGGTGTGCTGCGTTTGACAGCCCAGCCCTTTTTTGTAAGTAAACTTGTGAGACAAACAGAACCAAGGAAAAAAGCTGCCTGGGCTGCCTCACTGGGGTGTGGAGGGGAGGGATGTAACACAAGCACAGCAGCAGGTGGCTCAGATTTCGGGATGTACTTTGGTAGCCTTCTTTTTTTTTTTTTTTTGCCCATCACCAACAACCCAACGGGGCTTGGAGCAGTGGAGAGTCTGAGGGTTAGTATGTAGCTAAAAGTAGGGGGAGAAGGAAGAGAAAAGATGAGACATGGAATTTGGTGGATACCGGGATGCTACAGTACATCATGGATGGGAGGGTCTTGGTTTGGGCCGTTGTAAGCTTCTTTTTTTGGTGTACATGGATGGGAACGAGAACGATCTGGCCTCGAATCTGGCCTTTTTTCTTTTTGAGGATTGTAGATTTAAGCGAGCTGGATGTAGCTGGGCAGGGCTGGGAATGGAATCCTACGAGGGTTTGCGATTGGCGATGGAGAGCTGGGTTTGTGCTTCATGTGAGCGAGATGCAGTGCTGGTCTAACGCCAAGTCATACAGGATGTGAAGCTGCCATTGAGGGACTGGGACAAGTCATAGCCGTAGAAGCAAGAACCAGAATATGCTCTGTGCCGTGATGTGCTGTGTTTTCGTATGGCATCATGTCATACCTCACACCTTACGGCAGCCAACGAAGTTGACTAACATGAAAATAAGATCAATGGTCAATTAAGGGGCGATGCTACTGTAAACTGGTACCCAACTGGAGGGAAATCCCTGTCTGGTACAGTAATATATCGAGTGGTACGTATCGCGCAAGTACCGCGCCAAGATTTGGCTTGGGGCGGGACAAAGCGAAAAGAGCCAAGATTGAGAGCCAAGTTTCTGAGGGAGCGACGAGAGTACGTACTCTCGTTGCACCAGCCACCGCCACCCCGGTTTAAGAGGAATCCAATCGAGTAATAGTATCGCGATAGTTGGATTATACGAGGCATGCTGTACTATGAGATTATTTTTAATTCATTATTGTATTTTTGATAATTGTCTTGTTTGCTTGTTATCGGTATGCCCGCACCCGCCTTTGCCCCTTCGTCTAGACGTAGCATCCCCAAAGCGCCGTGTGCCAGCTCAGCAGCCGCCGTAGGATTCTGACGCAGGGCGGCTGGGCGGCTTTCCATGTCTCGGAGGTTTTTGCAAGTCTGGCATGATTGGAGAATGTCTGGCCACGGCCTGGGATGATTGGACAGAAAGTTTGGGTGTGGCAGGATTTCTTTTTTTTTTCTTCTCGCCTTTCCCGACGGGAGAAGGATTTCAGGAGGGTTTATGCTGTTGGTTCTATCTTCTTTTTCAGCATTGTTACAGAATAGATACCTACCAGCTGGAGGTTGCTGAAGTGGCCGGGTTTTGAATGCAAGGCCCGCGCTTAGTAGCCGTTTTGTTGTTTTGGGTGTTGAGCGACCATTACTCTTGTTTGTGTTGGGTGCTGTGTTTGCTACATGCCGTCTATCCGTTTCAAAAGCCGCTGCTCAGCCACACTTGATATGCTCGTAGCATTTCTTTCCTTGCTCTCGGCCTACCTTCTGTAAAGTACAGTACCTATTCTTCAGCTCAAGTTGAATTCGTTTTAAAAAGAACCCTGATTTAAAGCCCCAAGAGGCATATGAGTCTAGGTAATTACGTCACTGGTGGGCGTTTTATCGCGACAATGATGCCAAATTGCCTGCGCGGATCATAATCGTGTGGATCGTCCAGCTCACGGCCCCTGCAAGAACCCGGCTGTAGCAGGGGCCTGTAAACGCAAAAATGGGGTCATCATTAATATCTGGTCCTCAATGATGACTATGCTGTAGTAATAGTGTATCCGAAGTCTTGAGAAGGGCGCGATAGATGCAGAACAAGATCCCTTGGCGGGAATTTGAGAGACATATGCCTGTCATGGTGATGATGAGACTGAATCTGGGGCTCATGAGGCGTGTCTTGAGAGAGGCCGTTGAATGAGTGGCTAATTCACGCCCGTAGTACAAAGCGACTCTGTGCCAAGGAGCAATAACGGTCGACTTCAAGGCTTGTACTACCGCGGAAAAGTCCGTCAATTACATCCAAGATGGCATCAATGTCTCATAACTGCGCAATTCATACGTGAAGCATTGTGGCCGGGCATTCTTGTGCCACGACACGACACGGCATCCCGAACCGAGACATTTGCCTCGGAGCCAAGAAATCACATAATGCTGCGTCTTCACAGCCCCTACCCTCGCACGGGCACGCAGGATTGTTGCATCCCTTGTGGCAGCCGTGTTTGTATTCACCGCTCATATTCGAGAAGCCGTGTATGCCGTGGAATTCTACGAGGTGTGCCGTTTGTGTAGGTAGGTATTCTATATCAGTAACCGGTCAAGATTGATATTTGATGTAATTATTGATTTTCCCAATTCATTAATGCAGTACCTGTGCTAATAGTTTAGGCAGAATATCATCACGTCTAGCATGGTACTGCCCATTAAACTCATCGGCCTTGGCCGTGTCGATCAAACGGCCCTCATCAAACCCAAATGGCATTCCATGTCACATCTTGAACCAACCCCCGTATCTAAAACCACCTTCTCCTTCCAACTCTGTAATGATGAACCGCTCAATCTAGTACAATAGTGAACATCATCATCATCATGATCATCTACATCATCTCAACCCCTCCTCTGTAAATCAAGTCCTCACTCAATCCGAGACCCAACCATCTGACACATACACACTCTTGACACTCTATTATTCGATCGACATTAACAGCCCCCCCCCCCCCCACAAGAGTGTCATCCATGGATCGCATCATCCCTGTCGTACGTAATACCGGTACCTGCGCTGAAAGTACCTCTAAAAAGCTTCCGGCCCGCCCAAGAAATGCTCCGCAGCGGGCCATGCTGCGGCTACTTTAGTTTCTACATACGTGCCGCTCTTACTATCGTGAATTTTTGCTAAATTCTCAGCCACGCCTCGTCATTCTGTTACGCAGAAAATGGCTGCAAGACATCCTGAACGCGTGTACAATTCGCCTCGCATGCTCGTATGACTCGTTACACAAAAATTCCACCCCCATTTACACCATGTGTGCAGCAACAACAAGATAGAGAAAATAAGACGCTGCCGCTACCCGTAGTAAGTAAGCCATTGGCCGCGTAACTCGTCCCCTCATATTCCAAACATAACTCCAGTCTCCAAACGCCCCCAAGCAACACGCAATCAAACCTCCCTGTAAGGCGAGATGCCCTTTTTCAGCTCTGCCACAATCTCGGCAGCCTCATCAGCTCCTCGAGCCTCGAAATCGTAGCGTTTGCTCTCTGTGGCTTTGTAGACGACGAGCTATTTTTGGATGTCAGTGGTTAGACAGCAGATCTAAACGAGAGCGAGGCTGAGTGAGCCCGCCACGCAACAACTCCACACATTCTGCGGGAAGCCATCACGAAGAAGAGAAAAAGGGTAAGTGAAGAAAGATATCAGTCAGTAGCTTACCTTGACGTTGGTGGGATGCTTCCGAGGCACCTTGCATCCTATCACGTTGCTGAAATGCACCGTCGTCGTCTTGCCTCCGCCTTCTTGAACGGCCTTGCCTCCAGAGGCCGGCACAATGTGAATGTACTCGCCATCAATCACCAACACCCTTTCGCTCATTCCCACAATCCGCATCGGCTGCTTGCGCCAGACCGTGTACCTCTTGTAGTTGGCACTAGGAAGCTCGTCTGGCTGAATGACCTCGCGCGCCAACGGGTGCGAGCCAGTCGTGTAGCCCTTCTTGTGGCCCTTTCGCGGCGGCGGCCCGTCCATCATCGGCACCACCTTGGGCGACGAGGTTCCTGGTGAGCCCGTAATGGCCAGCGGCCCGTCCGTCGCAAACCGACGTCTGTAGAGCTCCAAATCCGTCACATTTCCTATCGACGACACCGGCCGATCCAGCATGACAAGTGCTCCCGATCCAGGCATCTTCAACACGTGGTTGGCCTTGTCGAGGTGTCTCTTGCGGCATACTAGATCCAACACTTCGGCGAAATAAGTATCAGTAGTGATGTCGAGTGTCACCATCTGACCGGCCGCCACGTCAGACGACATGATGTAGATCCGTAACAACTTCTGCTGGCCCCGCATCGCGTTTGACACAGTCGTGCGCGTTTGAGGGGCATCCGCCAAAAGTGCGTTTGGCCGGTAAGCCGTCGTCAATATCGGATTCGGGCGGGGATGCACAGACGATGGCGGAGATGACATGCCACTGGCATTGGCACTGATACCGGCGCTTGCGCTCTCGCTCTCTCTTCTCATAAGCGTTCCCTCTTCTGCAATGCTATCTTGAGAGGGCTGTGCGTCCTCTTCCTCGTCTTCCTGCGGTGTTAATCTCTGGTTGGCCTCGTACTCTGATTCTGTTGCAGCCACAATGGCAAACTCATCGTAGACTTTTGAGTTGGACCGCATTCGCCCGCCGCCCCTCATGTGGGCGTTATTGACGGTAGTGGCCGTTGTCAGAGGTTTTGTCCGGTCAAACGGCGGGAAATCGTCGTCCACATCGCCGCCTTCTTCCACCATTCTGAGCGTGTACCAGTTAATGTTGCGCTTCTTAGGAGCAATGGGAGGCTCTCTCTTTTCTTCGTTGTACTTATACAGGCCCAACCCTATCAAATCAGCTATGGTGACGGCTCTTTCCACTCCCTGGCCATTTTGCACTCTGGGCCGGATGAGCACTTCCAGAAACTTGTTAGGTGTCTTGGAAAATGCGGCGTAGATGCGGATAGTCATGGCTCCTTGCGTTCCCTCTCCATTTAGATGAGCAAACTTCTGAAAGGGCACGCTCGACTTGTACCGCTTGGCTTTGATTGCGGCAGAGAGCAGACTTTGAGGCTGAACGACACTGAGGGGTCGGATGGTGCTCATCGGTCGTGGAGGCGGTAATGCCTTGAAAACTGATGAAGGAGCAGGCGCTTGTGAGATGCGGATTGTAGACTGCCTGGTGAAATTCCTCGGAGGAGTGCCCACTACTTGTCGAGTAGGCGATGCGTTCATGGGGTTGTTCTCCACGACGTCGAGAATGGAGGCCTCGTCAATGCTTGCAACATACTCTCCCGACATGTCTGAGCCCTCGTCCGAGTCATCGTCGTCTTCTTCCTCTTCACGGAGTAGTGAAGGGTCACCGAGCTGCACACCTGGCGAAGGCTCTTCGTTGATCTTATCTTGCATCCTCATGGCTCTGGTTGCCGCTCGTGCTGCCTCCCTGTGCCTGTACGCGACTGGTACGTCAAACTCGTTTTCGGAGGACACTTCGCTGCTTGTCACCGTGTCTCGTCGTGGTCGCCCCGGCAAGATGTTGAGCGATGACTGGGAGCCCCGCCTGGGGGCTCGGGGAGATGTGTTCATGGGTTGAAGATGCGATGCCTGGCCAGGCGAGGATCCCGCGCGGTGTCGTACGGGCATCTTGGCAAACTTTATCTGCTGAGCGGCCCGATGTTCAGACTCATCCTCGCTCTCGTCGCTAAAATCGCTGCTGTCGTCCTCTTCCATCTGTTCGCGGCGCCTGCGCCTCTTGGTTGCTGCTCCCGGACCCATGGTGTCGGCGCCTCCGCCCGTAAGCAAACCGCCGTCTTCGAAGCCATCTTCCAGCGTCAGGCCAGCTTGCCGCGGCGCTTGGAAATACTCTGATGCGATGGCTGTGGGAATCGGCGGAGAATGTGTGCGTTTGACATGTGACGAGTTTGGCCGCCAGCCAGCTGACTTGAATGGCACGGTGTTGATGCTGCTGTCGTTGACGCTGATGAGCCGCTCGCCTACGCCGTCGGCGATTTCGTTGAGGTAGCCGGTGCGAAGCTGGTAGGTAACAAGCCTAAAACGATGGATCTGGTTAGCTTTGCGCATCTACAATGGTCGACGAACCATGTCCATCGTCTCATGGGACCTCCCGACTCACTCTTCTAGCTGGATGAGAGACATGGTGAAGGATGGTGGTTGAACCAAGCCGGCGAGGCGGTCGATGCTATATCGAGCTGGTGTCGCGTTGATGGGATTGAGTTTGATATCTAGTCATGTGCCATTGAGCGTTCACATGTTTGCCCAGCACAAACCGGGCTTGATGGGGAGCAAAGGGTGATAGAGAGACGTTGCTGGTGCGAGGTCGAGGTCGAGGTCGAGGGAAGCTTATCGTGGGGTAGGATTATCAGGACCCCTGCTTTAGCGCCTGAAGCACTTCACATGCGCTAAAGCGACATAACGAATAGCTGCCGTATCATGTATCCGCCACACGTCACTTTCATCGAGGCGCAACTTCGAGTTTTCTGCTTCTGCAACACTTTGATAGCCACGACTTGCAATCGCCTCCTCATAACCACACAACTCACCCTTCCATTCTAAGCTTCTCAACAACATAATGGGTCTAGTCGATTATTCCGAATCCGAATCGGAGCCCGAGGTTGACGCGCCCAAGCCCGCCGTCAAGGCTGCCCCGAAGAAACCTGCCTTCCAAAAAGTCGTCGATCGATCAAACCCGGGCAAAATCATCGTCAATCTCCCCCAAGCCGCCTCTTCCAACGACAAAGGCGCATCAAATGGCGATGGACCACCGGCAAAACGCGCGCGCACTGGTGCTGGTGGCGGGCTCTTTTCTGGCTTCAACTCGTTTCTGCCGCCGCCAAAGAACGCGGCAAAGGCGACGCTGAGCAAACCATCAAGTAGCCAAGCCCGCCCCATGGTCAATCTCAAAACCAGTGCCGAAAAGGGTTTCAGCCGTGATGAAGAGCCTTCAAACAGCTCTAGCAACGCAGATGCCGCGCCTGGAGGACTGAGCTTGCCACCTCCTAAACGATCAGCCGAACCATCAATACCGGACACGATGAAGCCTGCCGAGGAAGTCAAACTTGTGGGGAAGCCGTTGATGTTTAGGCCTCTCTCTGTTGCGCGGAATACAAAGAAGAAGCCTATAAAGAGCACGGCAGCTCAGGCGCCCGCAGCATCAACAGCGAAATCAGTAGCGTCAACTCAAGCTGCAACCTCGACAACTAGCACAGCACCAGAACCGGTTGCAGCTCCAGCGCCGCCTCCGAAAAAGACATCACTATTCTCAATACATGTGGAGGAGCCATCAGCTCCAGCATCGGTGTCAGCAGAAAGGGGGGCTTATGAACCTCTGTTTGAAACTGGAGAATCCGCCAATCCATATTCTATGAACGGGCCAGAAGACTATTCCCAGCAAATAAACAGTGGTCAGATGGCTACCACCGCAGCAGATACGAGGACAGAGTCGTTGGACAGCATCGCCGATGATTTGAATCTTTCCGCCGCAGCGAGACGAGAGCTGTTTGGAAGGGGAGGTCAAAACCAGACGGCACAGAAACTCATCAACTTCAACATGGATCAGGAATATCAACATAACGAAGAGCTCAGAGCCGCTGGCGAACAACAAACGCACAACCCAGTACGCGCTATAGCGAGCGGCAAACACAGTCTCCAGCAGTTGGTGCGGAACGTGTCCAACCAGCGGGAGGCCCTGGAGGAGAGCTTTGCAAAAGGCAGAAGCAACCGTCGGGAAGCTTCAAGCCGCTACGGCTGGTAATGAAAATTCCAACGGCATTTTGATTTGGAAACGTCAAATTTGTTCTTGTTAGCGACATGAAATCATTGAAGTGTATTTTGTTCCTCCCTAAATGTGTGTGCGAATCGCATTGCCAAAATACCCTCCCCCCTGAAAAAGAAAACGCCTATTCACCGCGCTTGCCCAAACGAAAGTAGAACTAATAGTATATAACATGAGATTTTTGAAGAGAAGATTTAAAAAAAAAGTTCATATGCCACGTCACTTTGGTGAGATAACTCCTGAGAAAAAGAAAAGGGGGTATCAGAAGGTTTCCACCGCAGCTGTTTTACCTATGTTCAGCCCGTTGCCGCCCATGAGGAAGCCCCATTCCCCGCGCGTCACGGGCGATATATCGTCGTATGCGTGAGGCGTCATGGGCCCTATGGCGGGTGAGGGGGCTTGCAAGTCCTGGTTGGTGGCTGGACTGAGCATCTGGTCGATTGTAAACCTGCTGTTCCACATGGATGCGTTAGATCGGTCAATAGGTCGTGCCGTGTGGACTTCCTCGTCGGGGTCGTTGGCCTTTACTACTATTGACTTTTCTTCATCTGCGGGTTCAGGTTTGGGTGTGAAGTCAGTCTGTAACTTCAGCGAGGGGCCGATTCTGCGAGGTGTCGGTGGCCGGGAGAGTTTGACGGCCGTCATGGCGACCTTGACGATGCCCTCGTCGAGGATCGTGCTCGAAGGGCTGATGGCGCCGTCCTCCCAGTCGTCGACGAATTTATTCTTAGGAGGAAGATGGAGAACAAAGGGTTGGGGCGGACGGTCCAGGGGCATGCCGGCGATGCCGCCAACAAGGTCCGGGCCGCCGTAAGCTCGCCGATACATGCGGTCGAGCTCGGTGATGGCGGTGTTGCTGACGCTGAGCCAGTCGTAGGACCGAAGGAGGTCCGCTCTGGTGACTTTTCTGCCGTTGCTGGCCAGGACGTAGCGGCGCAGCTCGTCGACGGCGTCTTCGAGGCGTAAGGCCGAGGATGTTTTGGAGTAGCTTGACAGCGCGCTCTTTATGCTATAGAGGCGGTCGAGGGTGAGTAGAGTCAGGCCGTCTGACGAGAAGAGGATTTCGTTTTGGACGACGGAGCTGTGGAAGAGCTGGGTGGTGAGATCGCGGGTGCTGGGGCTTGTGAAGGGGACAAGCCATCCGCTCCTGGAGACGAAGCTTTTGTTAATACATTTTCTTCTCTTCTCTCTCTCTCTTCCCCTCTCACACACTCTCTTTCGAATCTCTACTAAGATTGAGAACTGGGGAGCATGTATTGCGCTTACCCAACGCCAAATTTGTTCCCCGCCTTGATGAGGGTGCTCTTCAGAATCTTCTCTGTTCGCGGCGACACATCGCCTGAATGGAAGCAGCGGAGGCCAGTGCAATTGGGTGTCGGCGGCCCATTGCTATCGGTAGTCGTCAATGACGATGTCGTGGACGGCGTCATCGGGGGTGGCGACAAGGGCGTGGTGGGGGAGAGCGGCCACCGGAACCGAGGACTCGGCGATGGCTCGGTGATGGGAATGGGATACGAGATGGGCGGTACAGCGCTCCTAGGACTCGAGCCAACAACATGCTGCGAGGCGGATCGCATGAGATGCTTCAGAGCCACGACGGGGCTGGAGAATCCGAGCCTGCTGCTGCTGCTGGAGCTGCTGCCACCGGTGGGCAGAGGCGAGTCTGGGGTGCCGGGCATCGAGTGGGGGATTGGCGAGGGGATCGAGTTGAGCAGCTGGTAGTCTCGCTTGACGATGATGAGGGTCAGGTGGACGGCTTTTTTCGCTAGTTTGTTGGAGGTGTACTCGAGCACGGGGACGAGATGAGGCGCGATGTGGTGGGCGTCGAGAACGGACGGGCCGGCCTCGAGGGGGGAGGAGATGCGGTCCTTGAGCGGCGCCATGGTCTGGATCTCATTGAAGGGATCACACAAAAGAGGTTATTGCAAAAGGAGAGTGAGTCAGAGAGAGACAGAGAGAAAGTCGTCGCCCCAGAAATGCCTCTTCCCGGCTTCTTCGACGGTTGGTCATGCCCCTCCTCCAAGGTGAAGAAGAATTTCTGGCTCGATGCTACTGCTGCTGCTTCTGCTGCCGCCGCCGTCCGGGACCCGACGTCGTGGAGAGCAGAGAAGAAGCGGAGCCGGAGACGGACGGCCGGCGCTCTCAAGATATTTCAATCTTTTGGGGGTAACAAAGTTACCAACAGTCAGCAGTCAACAACAAAGAATAACACAGGCAGGGCCCGCAATGTCACCTGAAGAAGAGCCCCAGAAGTCAAATCAGCGGAGCCTTGCCCCTGCGTCGAGTTATTTTTGACAATAGAAACCGTTGCTTTTTTGCTTTGTTCGAAGAAGTGGAAATACCAACAACGCTAGGCCGGCCCATGCAGCAAGCCCGGCGCCTAACCGGGGGATGGAGGGGGGGGATACACACAAGACGCCTGCTGCTAAGCTTTATATGGAGCAAGGGTAGGGGAAGAGATGCATATTCACACACGTTGTTGCCGGGGGCATGGGAACATGTGGCCGGCCCTGGATCGAGAGAGAGAGAGAGTTTCCACTTACATGGACGCCATGCAGAGGGAAATGGAATTGTGAAACTCGCCCTGTTAGGCGGCCCCGCTGCGGGAGGACAGGTTGGGAACCATTCGGAAAAGCCTGTCCAGCTTGTTGACGAGTGAGGCAAAACATGTTTGTGTGTTGTCGGTCACGTCACGATGAAAAGGCTGACAGGATTCGGGGGGGAGGGTTTCACAATGAGAGCCTCAGACGTCAAGTGTCCTACCAACAGAGAGAGAGTCCTACAGTACAAGGCAGCAGCCGTGGCAAAGACAAACAAGTGATGAGCAACACAACCAGACGATTCCTCATGGCCTGGGGTTATTTTCTGCAATGCTCTTGTTTTGGGTCTCTCGTCACACCCCTGTCACCGCTAAGATTCGATATTGATGGTGGGGAGCGGCGTCTGATTCGTCGGTCGCGTCACAGGCCGGCGGCTAAACAAGGTTGGGGTCTATTTTTAAAGACGGGATTCTGGATGGTGATTGGTCGGACGAGTCTTTGTCGATGCGCTGGGAAACCTTGTATCGAACAATCTGCATGATTTGCTTAGCGTTGGTGTTTCCGAGAGTTGGTTGGGATTGTGATGCGATGGGCAAGGGGGGAAAAGAGAGTGCGGGTTTTTTCTAGAATGGGGTTAGGTGATGTGATATGGGAGAAACTGGTGGGACAATAACAATGAGGAAACTGGTGATGCTATTTTTAATGTTTCTGCATGGAACGGGAAATGCATTGCGACGTTGGTTTCGGAGTTGATGGTTATGGGGGGTCTTGTTTCGGGCCCCCCCTTTTGCTTGTCATTTCTTTCCATGTGGGAGAAGGAGAGGAAGAAGCTGAAGTTGGATCTAGTGGGGATATGGCGGGGTGGTTTTTTTTTTTCTTTCTCTCCTTAGGATTGATGTGTTGTCCCTGCATAAGGAGGAAGGCTAGATTCGATCGCTGGGATTGTTGTTGGTGGTTTTGATGCGGCTGAAAAGGTAGCGTGTGATTGAGATCGAAGAGGGTGTGCAGGTGGTTGATGGTGAGTGGATTGTATTGTGACGAGTGACGCTGTGGCTGGATATGGTGTTTCAGTTGATGCTGTTTGCCGATGATATATTGGCTTTGGATAGGTAGATGCTGGAATCTGTTTTGATGAATGTCTGCATTCTTTATTGGAATCATGTTAATTAGTTGCCACTTCACTTTTGCTACAATGTGTGGGAAGAAGTTGTTTTTAGCATCATATCAATTAAAGACTATCGTGTACTCAACTATCCAACCAAAACTCGCTCACGCCAAAACTCGCGTCAGTGTAAACACACAAAGGAAATCTATGGTATCCACCCAATTAGAACATCCTAGAGGTAACAGTTGAAAGCTTTCTCACAAGCCTGTGGGAAAACTTTTTAGTAGAGGTCCTTGTAGGTAGCCTTGATCATGTCGGCGCCCTTCTCGCCAACCATGTAGACCGAGTTCTGGATTCGGCAGTCGGGGATGACGGGCATGATGGAGGCGTCAATGACACGCAGGTTCTTGACTCCGTGGACCTTGAGGGCCGGGTCGACGACACCCTGCTCAATGTTCTTGGAGAGACGGGCACTGCCGCAAGGGTGGAAGGCGGTCTGGCATCGGTCGAGGACGACCCTGCGCATCTCCTCGTCGTTGTCGAGGGGCATGTCCCAGGGGTACTCGTCGACAACGAGGTCCTTGAAGCCCTCGCCCTTGGTCAGGAGGTCGTAGCTGAAGCGGATACCCTCGCGCATGGCGATGATGTCGAGCTCGCTCTCGAAGAAGTTGAGGTTGATGTTGGGGTTGTCCAGGTAGTTGTTGCTGGCCAGGGTGACTTCACCAGGCTTGGAGATGGGTCGCACCAGGTCGACGACGACGGTGGTGTGAGCACCGACCTTGGGGACGGGGTAGTGCCACTGGAAGGCGCTTCCGAAGATGGAGACAAAGTCCAGCTCGAAGTGAGGCTGGCCGTCGGGGCAGAGAGGATCCTTTCCACCGTTGGCCTTGACGGCGGCGCTGTAGACGGGGTCCTTGGCAAGGTACTTGTCGATACGGGGGAAGCCGACCATCTCGAGGAAGCCAGAGCCAACAGGGCCGGAGAAGTCCTTGTCGTAGGCGGCGTGGGCCTGGACATTGGCCTGGTTCTTGCGGAGAATGGTGTTGTCCATGCCGTACTCGTCCTTGACCTTGAGGACGAAGGGCACAGCCGGGTGGTCAATCAGGTTCTGGCCGACGTGGCGGGAGTCGACAATGCACTCAATGTTGTGCTTGGCCAGCTCGCGAGCGGGACCGATACCGCTGAGCATGAGCAGCTGAGGGCTTCCGTAGACACCCTGAGACAGGATGACTTCGCGGTCGGCGTAGAAGCTGAGCTCCTTGCCGTCGGCGCCGACAACGGTGACACCCCTGCAGGTGCGGTCGGCGTAGTCGATGAGGAGCTTCTTGGAGTGCACCTCGGTGAGGACAGTGATGTTGGGCTTGTTCTTGAGGAAGAGGAAGCTGCCGTTTCGCTGGCCCTTGTAGATGGTGTCGGCGCAGTGGTACAGACCAATCATCTCACCATCGTAGATGTTCTCAGTCAGGGGCTCGCCCATGGAGGTCCAGGCCTTGGTGAGGGCATCACGGAAGGGAGCCATCTCAGGGAGGAGCTCGGCGTGGGAGACGTTGATGGGACCGCCAGAGCCAATCTTGGCCAGCTCAGGGTCGTAGAGGCCCTCGTCGTCGTGGTAGGTGACACTCTTGCGCAGGTAAGGGACAAGAGGATCCCAAGTCCACTCCTCGCCACCGTACTCAGCCCACATATCAAAGGTAGGCTTGCATCCGGGGATCCAAGTGAAGTAGTTGAGAGAAGAGCTGCCACCGAGGATCTTGCCACGGGTGTTGGGCTTCTCGATACGCTCGTAGTCGTCACGCTTGACAATGGTGGTCTTGTAGGCCCAGTCATGCTTGCTGCCACGGAGGTTCATGGCGTTGGAGGGGGTCATGATCTCCTTCAGCTGGTCGGGGTTGGCAACACCGGCCTCGACGATGAGGATGCGGACATTGGGGTTCTCAGCGAGACGACCGGCAACGGTGTTACCGGCAGTGCCGCCACCGACGACGATGAAGTCGAAGCGGTCACCAGAGTTGATGGGGGTAGTGGAAGGCATGATGAAGATGTTGTTGATGTTATTGTTTGATTGGATTGATTAGGTGTTGAGAGTTGGTTTGTGTGAGGTGGTTTGATACTGAGCAGCTATGTAGATGCTGTATGTAAGATGTTGTATTGAAAGATGTTTTTGAAAGATGAAATTAGATGTTGATGCTTGATTGTTGGATTGATTGCTTTGATGTGTTGATTGTGTTGATGCTGTTGTGAGTGATGAATCCCAAAACCAATGCCGTCCACCACCTCCCTCTTATATCCTTCATCCCTCACAGCTTCACATCTCCAACCATCGTCATCGCCTCTACATAGTACAAACCTCGGGTCTTCGGCATTCCACTAAACCGCATCAGATACGCCATCTGCATCTCCTACGCGAGCCTGCCGGGCGTCGCCATGCAAGATCTAATGCAGCTGAAAATCCACCCACTCTAGATGACGATGCTCGCACTATCGGGTAGTGAGTGTAAGAGAGTGTAAGCCCAAAGAAAAAAGAAGCCGAACTTTGTTTTCTTCGGGTACAGCGCAAGAGGCCCCACCATGGCGAGGCTGAGCCGCCCGTTTCTCGGCATCAAGCCACAGCCGGGCTTCAGCTGCTCATTGGCAGATAATCCCAAATCTACGTCATCCCCTGCAATCCCGCGTCTCCCATTGGTGCATTATCCCTGTCAGGCTCGCGGTGGCTCGCTGCGGTTCGGCGTCGCTGTCGGTGGGGCCCTCCGGAGATTTCTCGTCGTCCAATCAGCGTCCCCCTTTTCTTCGGCTGCTGTGGCTGCAGCAACGCCTCCGATTGGTCGTGAAAAATGCCTCCTATTTTTTGGTGAATTTTTCTTGGAGTGTCACTGTGTACAGTAGCTGGCGTGTATGCCGAACTTCCGAGTTAGAGCCTTCCGGCGAGATTTGCAGCAGGTTTTTGGTTTTTGCAATACTTTTATTCGTCCATCTTAATTTGAGCTGCATAAGGCTGATGGCTAGCCAAAAGAACGATGTCACGAAGCTAGAGATGCTGGGTTGTGAAGTCTATCACGGAGATGTCAAGACACGCTGATTGGAGACTCATGTCAAGACTCCTCTCCTAAAAGCTAAGCTATCTAACAAGTACATACAAGACGGGCAAGCGAAGCACTTGCAGGGCTTGATACTTCCATCCTCGTACTAACTACCTGATACTGCTCCGTAGCTGTCTTTCTATTGGCTCCGGCTCTGCTGGCTCAAGTCCCGATTGTGGACCGAGACGGCTCGGCCCCACTCTTACAACCGAAAAGTTTGCGACGGTTGGAACTCGGAATCGGGAATCGGGAGTCAAGTGTCATGCACAACTACGACATAGACAGACTCGAGTATACTCAATCGGGTCTATAGCTTAGCTACAACGTGTTGGTGTGAAGCGAATACATGTCATTGTCATTGCCGAAGTAAGAACGAGCAGGACGTAACGTAGATAAAACTAGCAAAACAGAAATCAAGTATATCAGTCTATTCATCCCCGAGGCTCATTGCACATCAATTCATCTTCCTTCCATCTGTGTCACTCTCCTACCTCCTGAGACTTACAGAGACTTAGTCTATATCGCCACTCTCATAATCTCAATACTCCATCAACATGACTTCCTTTTACACCGGCGCCGAGGGTATGCCTATCTCTCCTCATTTCCACCCAATAACATCAAAGACTCTACTGTTTAGCCATCCAATTGTTTCGACTAACACCATGTCTTCCCAGGTTGCCCCTACCCCAATCCTTCCACAAGTGTGCAAGTCCGCAACCCCTCAGGTGGTGTTGGAGGCCTTGTGTTGCTTCAAGATACCCAGTTGATTGAGACGCTGGCTCACTTTAACCGCGAAAGAATTCCCGAACGGTACGAAAAGATACTCCAACGTAACATCAATCTCGTAATCTCAAGTACACAGTGACTAACATTATACTTTCTATCTCAGTGTTGTTCATGCCAAGGCTGCTGGGTAAGCCCGTTCTCACTTATACGCAGATATACAAGCAATCAAGTCAACTAACAGTCTAAACAATCAGTGCTTATGGTGAATTCGAGTGTACACATGACTGCACCGACATCACTTCCGCCAGCTTCCTCAACACCATTGGAAAGAAATCAGACGTACTCCTCCGTATCTCAACTGTTGGCCCCGAGCGAGGCTCCGCCGATACCACTCGCGATGTCCACGGTTGGGGCATGAAGATCTACACTGACGAAGGAAACCAAGACTTTGTCTGCAACAACATTGTGCGTCGTTAGAGTGACAACTGGTTGATTTAGTTTGTCTGCTAATGCATCCTATAGCCCGTCTTCTTCGTTCGAGACCCCATCAAGTTCCCTTCGCTTAACCGCTCTCACAAACGCCACCCCCAAACAAACTTGGCTGACTCGGATATGGTACGTAATTTGTTCTATCTAGACTGCTTCTTAGAGGCCAAAGAGGATATGCTAACGTGGATATCTCGCTTAGTTCTGGGAGTAAGTAAACTTTTCAAATCAAACCAACAGCATAGTGTTCTCCTCAGATGAAACAAGAAACGCCCGTCTAACGTGATGCTACCTACAGCTTCCACCTCGGCAACCCCGAAGGTATCCACGCCCTCATGCACCTGTTCAACGACCGAGGCACTCCAGCTTCTCTGCGTAACATCAACGCCTACAGTGGCCACACATACAAGTTCACCAAGGAGGTAAGATGAGAATTTCCTTCCTACTTCAGACTAGGCCTAGACGCAGCAAAAGATGCTAATCCAGCCGCCTTTTTTCAAAAACAACAGGACGGCAGCTTCAAGTACATCAAGCTCCACCTCAAGGCCCAAGATGGTGTCAAGAACTTCACCGCCGCAACCGCCACCAAGGTTGCGGGCGAGAACCCGGATTTCCTCACCCAGGACCTCTTCGAGGCCATCGAGCAGGGCAACTTCCCCAAGTGGGACGTCTTCGTGCAGGTCATGGACCCCAAGGAGGCCGAGACGTACAAGTGGAACATTTTCGACATGACCAAGGTCTGGCCTCACAAGGACTTCCCGCTTCGCCAGATTGGCCGTCTGACGATGAACCGTAATGTGAGCTTACCCCTCATTTTTTGCCTTGTTTCTTTCTTCCTCGCTTGGTTGGTTTTTCGAAAAAGAGGAGTTTTATCCTAACCTTCGCTATGCTTAGCCTCAAAACTACTTTACCGATATCGAGCAGGCTGCCTTTTCGCCATCCACCATGGTGCCCGGCATTGCCCCGTCTGCTGATCCCAGTATGTTTACAAACCAAACTCCGTCGGTCCTTTTTTTCAGCTGCTAATCAAATGCCTCCTCTTTCAAAACAGTCCTGCAGGCTCGCATGTTTGCCTACCCCGATGCTGCCCGATACCGTCTCGGTGTTAACTACCAACAACTGCCGACAAACCGCAGCAAAGCGCCCGTTTACACGCCCTACCAGCGCGATGGCTTCATGAACTTCACAGACAACTACGGGGCCGACCCGAACTACGTCAACTCGTCGCTCAAGCCCACAACTTTCAAGGCCGCCGGCAAGATTAACTCCACCATCACTGAGCACGAGAAGTGGGTTGGCGAAGTCAGCAGCTTCACGAGCGAGATCACTCCTGTGGATTTTGAGCAGGCTACAGCCCTGTGGCACGTCCTTGGCACCCAGGAGGGCCACCAGGACCGGTTCATTAACAACCTTGCCGGCCATCTGTCCGGAGCCAAGAGCGCTCAGATCCGAAGCAGGGTCTATGGTGAGTTACTGAAACAATATTTTCCCCTGTTGACGCAGATTTTTGAGTACTAATGGGTGTGTCGGTAGAATATTTCTCGTATGTGGACAAGGATCTTGGAGCTCGCCTCCGGGAGGTCACTGAGGCCAAGGTCGCCGCGTAAATTGCCAGGGATAGGATGGACATGGGCTGTAATTGATTCATAGATACCTAGGAATGGCAAAAGATAATCGGGACCTTGTATTTCTCCTGTGAGTCGGGATGTAACGGTCAGCATACGTGAAAATAAGAGCAACATAATCAGCATAATCAGCATAATCAACGTCCCAATGTCCCCATACGTGTTCACTTTTTCAACATCAACTAGATGTACTAGCTTGTTCACTGGCTTCTTCGGCTGACGCGGCGCATTTCTGGTTTAAACCTGCCCGTGCTCCACAAAATTATGGTTGATTTCTCTTAAAAATATCCATGATAAGAATCTTCTGTATGGTGGGGAACACCAGGGCCTATGAGGTCTCTCTCTCTTACACTTCCTGAGTCAACGTACTCCTAGGTAGTCTAAGAGACCCCCCTTGAGATTCCCCCGGCTCTGTTTGCCGAGTTCGCCTTTCTTGGGGCTCCAATACAAAGTCCTAAGCTTCTCTTGACAGCTGCCAATCTGTATCGTCGTGTACCAATTCCAGATCTTGGTGTAGTAGCATAGGACTATCCATGTAATGGTAGCTATAAACACTCCAGAGGCTCTCCAGGGGTGTTTACAGATCCAAACAATGTAGTTTCTATGTTTTCGCCGGACAAGACAACGTCTCGCGGAATGTGGGGGATTTGAGGCCTCACTTACAAGATGCCGGAGGCAAGGAAAGACACGTAAATGAGGAGAATACTACTCCATTTTTGCAATTGTCTCCTCTTGAGCTGCCCCAAAAGTTTCTTGCAGCGCTAGTAGGTCACAGGTAAGACGTGAGACTTTTACACGAGATTTTGAGGCGCGATTCCGTGCTCGCCCTGTTTGTAGTATTCAGTTCTTGGATAGCTACGTCTACTCCATACAGCTGCAACACATTAGCATTCCCACATGCCAACCGTTCTTCGGCAGTAGCACCTGTGGGGGGAAGCCGCATCAACCGAGTCATTCATCCCACAGGGACACCGGGAATGTTCGCCAGGCACCCCTTGTAAGCGATCTAGATACTTGTTGATGTACCTATCGGCCGAGCGGTGGCGGATTTTGAAATGATCCCACGACTAGCGATCCATCTCATTGCCACTTTGGCTGAGAGACGGGGTAGTTTGTGTCCGCGGACAGACTCGGAGGCCCCTGGGCGCGATGGAAGTGGTCGCGTCAGGGGGGGTTGTGTATGGTGTTCCGGCGGACCCCTGTTTTCGTCAGATACTATTGGATCGTGAACCAACAATTTTCCCGCACTCTCACAGCATGGACATCAAGGATAGAATGCAAGAAACACGAGCCGGGCAGACGTCATAGGCGCGCGCGGGGGTTACGGACGCATTCCTACATTTGTTGGGAGAACTTCCTGAACCACCCTCGCGACGAGAAGCACTCGGCACGCTCTTCCGTGAGAAGCATTAGCACCACGATTGATTGCTAAGACCAGCATTACGGCTGCCACGTCAGTGCGGGGGATGAATATGGTGGGCGACTGAGTGGAATAATTGGAAGAGAGAGATGGTCCTTGATGCACGTCTTGAGCACGTTGTTGCGATAGGATTGCGAGGAAATCAGGCTGATTTAACCCACTGCTGTTGGGCAGCGTCGAATTTAACTGCAGCTATCTTTTCTAGTATCTGGTACAATTGCTGCCCTCTTCTTGTCTCTGGTACTATCTCTCGCTCCCTTCTCATATCTGCTACTACCGTTCCCCCCTCTTCTCATATCTGCTACACACACCATTTGTCTTCAAGCCAACCATCGACATTCACCACGCGAGGACGGCGATTCAGCAGTTCCCAATTGCCTGACAGACCAGACATCGCTGCCAGCCGTACGTTGGCCCATTGTATATCAATCATCAGCCTCATCTTGACTGCGTCTTCTGCCGGCAAATTGAGGTTGAATACTTGCCCAGTCTGGAGACGGTAGGAGCTAGATTTTTGTGATTCCTTAATAGGATCATCGTCTTGCTCTGTTATCTGAAGCATTTCCTGGATCATATCGCGGTCTGGCTGAGCACCATCTTGTGGACTAATATCATGACCCCTAGGCATCCAATAAAACTGTAGTTGAATGGTGTGATAACCCATTCGACGAGAAAAAGGGATAATGCATAAGCATTTAAGGCCAATGAGACATTTCTTCCACCAATCTCGAAGAGTGGGATGTAGGCAAAGCATATTCCAGGCTTTGTCAGAGCAACCAAGTTCCGAATCAAGAAGCCCAATCATCTGAGCATGACTCTCTTTACCCAGGAGTCTGGTTAGATGAGAGAATTGCTCACGATAATATGCAAGGCCTGCTTGGGTTGCGTTGATTTCGAATGGCACAATGTGGCAGACTTCTGGGTAAGCCGCTCCGGTGAGAACACAGACTCCACCATCGCGGGCGATGCACTTGGCTCGTTCGTCTGCATTTTCGTCAATAGGTATCTCGCTGCCTGAAGACAAAGTGTGTGTGTCGTCGGGAGGTACTGTAGATGCGGTGCCTCTATCGATGATGGCGTCATCCGGCATAATGCCCAGAACCACTAGATTACAAGATTAGTACACAAGCAGACAGCAACCTGTGAGGCAAGCATTGAAATCAAGGGAGTGCTTACTAAATAAAAGATAGTCCTCTAGTTTAATATAAGGTATGTAAGGAACCATCGGCGTGGCCCTGATGCCACGCAAATGTTCCATAGGTATCACTAGAAAATACACAAATTGTAAAGCCGTAAACTGGAAATCCCCGTCCTCGTCCCGTTGCGCCTTGCAGGGGGACTCGTCATAAGCCACTTGGATTACATCAATCAACTCCAGTCGTAGCTCGATTTCCTCCAAGCGGATGATTGGAGCAGCTTCTCTAAAGGATGGTCTTTTCTCTACCCACCGAAGGAGCCCTTGTTTGTCTTCAAGACTCTTACCCGGTGCGAGATACCTCTGAAAGACCACTCGAAGTTGGTAATCTACCAATAGGTGTGTGCTCATCTGGGCGATAGGAGAAAAGATAAGTAAGGGAGAATAAATCGAAGAAGTGTGGATAAGATGTTTTGCTTTTGTGAAGAATATAAGTCAAGTTTTTTGATTGGGGAATCTGGAGTTTGTGAAGAATATCAGTCAAACATTTTTGATTGGGGAGTCTAGAGATGTTATATATGTGTTCGATTTCTGCCTGTTATCTGGCATGAGGCGAAAAAGAGGAGTGATGAAAAGTTATTGAAAAGTAAAACGAAGCCATAATTACCTGATACTTGGAGTGAATTGTTCAAGTTGCGAAAAGCCATAGTACCTATATATTCGGAGTCTTCCTATTTTCACCGTAGAAGATTGCTATTTTCACTGTAGTGGCCCGTGCCAGTACTGAAATAAATGCGCACACACCACCAATCCCATCAACCATACCCAATTACAGTGCGGCGCCCTGGTGCACCACGTACATTTACTTTACACACCACATAAGACTGGGCATTGATTTCAATCTTGCCCTTCAGTCTTCGCTTATACATCAGGAAGATCGATATCATAATAAATTCCTTCCTCAGTGACGATCGCCTTAAACAGTCTCGTCTATGGCGAGGCTGGCCGCAGTAGCTGCCGCCGCCCTCGAGCCAGAGCTCGAGACCGAGACCAAGTCTAAGGCCGAGTCTACGGCCGAGGAAGTCATTGAAGTCATCCAAACCATCCAACCCAGCGCCAACGAGCTAAATAAACTAGTCAGCCCGTAAAAAGTGTTCACATTAAATTGGAAGGGCCGGAAATGCGATTTTTTAAAGGAATTAGCAGTAGTGTTGTAATATAATATTCTTTCCCAGTGTGCTATACAGGGCTTTAGTATACAGGCGTAGTAATTGCAAGTAAGGAGTAAACGTAGCTCGTAATGTAGAGTACTACGGTAAAAATGGCAATCTTCTACGGTGAAAATAGGAAGACTCTATATTCGCCTGTGGCTTGAAAGTATGGTGATTATCTCTCAGCTTCCTTAATAGATAAAGCTCCTATGGAGACTATGCTTTTTTCCAAAGTTGGGACATCGCAAAGTTAGAGTTTCACGGCTTTGATGTTAAGTACAATGGCTTCAATGGGGATATACTATTGAGAGGTACTAATTAAAGAGTTGAGGTATCTACCTAGAATAATGTCTTCGGCAACTGCCGGTGTATCTCAAAGCCCTCTACCGTAGAGTCATCTAGATGAGTCTAATTAAACATCCTCATTATCTAAAAAGTATACACAAGCCCATTAAGAAGCACCACAAATTTAACGCCCTCCACCATATTCATCTGAATGACTCTTATTAAACATCCTCATTATCTAATAACAATATACACAATCTCATTAATACAAAGCACCACGAACCAAACAATACAATCCCCGTTCCAGGGTATCTCCGAAAGCAGTAAAAGTCAGCGAGCTACCTCCCCGCTGACAATCCCCCAACCCCCGATTGGCCGCACGAATCTCGGAATCCCTTCGGATCTCCCAGAACTGGATCCGTTGACGTCAGAGACAACTTGCCCAGCATCTGAAATCTCACTTCCCATCTTCAGCTTTCCCATCCCAAAGAGAAAAAGCACATGCAAAGCTAAACTACATAGTGAAAAAAAGTAGGCTAATCCCAATCTATAATTCACTGCTCATAGAACATCTTTAGCTTCGAAATCACACCATGAGCTTTTTCCCTTTTGTAAATAAATAAGCAAAACCACCTCATTTCTTCTTCGTCTGTCCCCCTTTTCTAATTGAGGTATGGACGCGATAGTCAATCGCATTGCTACCAGTGCCGTGCAGCTTCGAAGCCAGAGACTCGTCCGATTTGATTGCGGTCAGAGTTGTCATCGCTTGTTTGTAGCTCAATCTCAGCCTCAGTCTCGATTCCGTCAACTAAGACCCCGCTCGTCCCTCTCAGCATCACGACTTCACCCATATAAATCCTCCTCAGCCGCCCTCTTTCACTCATCAACACCATCCTTGAAAAACACAGCTAAATCCAGCACCATGAGCATCCCCCAGGCCGTCCAAAACCCCCTCACAAAGGCCGCCACCTTCCTCGTCCTCACAATCAACTCCTCCTCCCCCTCCGCCATTCAAACCGTCCGCTCCGTCCTCTCCAGCGTCCAGGACCTCTCCAAAAACGTCTCCCTGCGCGATCTCAACTCCCAATTCTCCTGCTCCGTCGGCATCGGCTCCGACGCCTGGGACCTTTTAACTGACGGCATTTCCGGCCTCCGCCGCCCCAAGGAGCTGCGGCCCTTCCGTGAGATTGCCGGCGCCCGCCATACCGCCGTGTCCACCCCCGGCGACCTGCTCTTCCACATCCGCTCCGACCGCCGCGACATCTGCTTCGAGTTTGAGCGCCAGCTTCTTCTCAAACTCGGCGACGCTGCGACGGTAGTGGACGACACGCAGGGCTTCCGCTACTTCGACGCCCGCGACCTGCTGGGCTTCGTCGACGGCACCGCCAACCCCGTCGGCCCCTCCGTCCCGGACGCCGTTCTTATCGCCGACGAGGACTCCGATTGCGCGGGAGGCAGCTACGTCGTCGTGCAAAAGTACGTCCACGACATGAGCGGCTGGACCGGCCTCTCAACCGAAACCCAAGAGGCCATCATCGGCCGCACCAAAATCGACAACATGGAGCTCGACGACCAGCCCGACGGCCACCAGCAGGCGCACAAGACGCTGGCCACAATCGAGGACGAGGACGGCAACGAGCACAGCATCCTGCGCGACAACATGCCCTTTGGATCGCCGGGAGCCGGCGTCTTCGGCACGTATTTCATCGGCTACTCGCGCCGCCTGTGGGTGATTGAGAAGATGCTGGAGCGCATGTTTATTGGCGATCCTCCTGGAAAGCACGATCGTATTCTCGACTTTTCTACGGCTCTGACGGGAACTACCTTTTATACGCCGCCGGCCTGGGTCTTGGACCGGCTCGGAGACTGAGGTGTTGTTGTTAAGCTGAGGTTGTATAGTAGGAAGTTGATAACAAGACGTTAGATGGCATGCACTTCAAATCACGTGCATATGTATATACTTACATCAACTGTACATGTCACATTGACATGGTTCATGTAAATCAAAGTGACATTACCCAGAGGTGGCTTTACACTGCACATTCAGACACGTCTGTCATGTCGGCCTAGTCTCGGCATCTTTCGGGGAGACACAAGCAAATGACACTACAGCTCACACCAAAAGTGACGCGGTGATCCTCTGCAAGAAGACCAACAAGACAGAGAATGGGAAAAGGAAAAATAAAGAGGAAATCAGTGGTATAACATTGCTTCATACCAGTCTATTCAGTCCTTGCCGCGATTAACAAACAAACCCTTCTCCTTGCCCTAGTTCGTGATTTCGTAATTGCTATCTCATAGTGAGCTGGGATTTCCCTGCGCCTTTCGCCCCAATGCTATGCCCAAATCCTTCACCATGGTCTTACAGAACCTGCTCACCCATGCGCTTCTATATCGGCCTGTTGTTGTTTCAGGCGACGGCGGTTTCCTGATTAGTCCGTCCGGGTAAGGAAAAACGACATAGGGAGGAAGGTGTATGATGAGACCGGCAGTAAAATAAAAGAGGAAAGGAAATAAAAACAAGACCAAGAAAAAAAACAGTATCGAACTGTAAACATCAACCTGGACCCCATAAACTCCACACTTGCCTTCTCTATCGAAATCAAGCAAGTTTGTCAAACTACCCTTCTGTCGGAAGTAGTATACGCCTCATATAGCGTTTGCATCATCCGGCTCCCCAATTTGCTGAACTCCGAGGTCTGGCGGGCAATCCACCGGATCTGATGAGATACAAGAACCCTCCCAGTCTAGAATATGTGAAAGCAAGGTTAGCAACAGGGGTCGCTAAATCTTTTGAAGCGCAGCCGGCGGATGCGCAACTGGTGGATGGCAAGCAGCATACCGGAACCATCATCCTCTACTTCTTCATCAACAACAAGCCTCCTCAAGGAACCTACGACTTCTGTGTAGATGGCATTAGGATAGAACAACTATCTTTGTGAGTAGTCAAGGAGTATATACATACCGTTTTGGAGCATTCTGAAATCGGCACCATTGTCGTCACTATCCGGGTTTTCGCTGAAATAAGCGCCGCATTTACTGACTACTCGCACCACAGCGCTCGCAGTCTCACGTCCAATGAGTATGCGACGCCTAATATGTGCATCGCGGAGGTAGAGCAGGCACGCTATCCCCAGCCTTTGAATAACATCTCTTACGGCCTCTCGTCCATCGTGCATTGTTGTGTCTTCTCCAGAGACCTCGGGCGCTAAGCTGAAGAGCTCTGTATCCAGAAAGTGCTCGGTATTGTACCTCAGCTCGCTGTCTGGGATTACAAGAAGATGAGGTACCCAATCTGGCAAAGTTTCGAGGCTATTGGCTGCCGTGATTTGAGCCATGGAACCGTCTTTTCTCTTCAAATGTAACGATGTCTGAAAGTGCTCCAGAAACGCCATGCCTTCAGTGCTATGTAGGCTCTGCGCCTGAGCGGCTATATGCCGTGTGAGGGTCTGGCCGTGGTTAGCAGACAGAGTGTTTTCCAGATAAGCGCTGGCGCCTCGCAGGAATGGATCCAACGGCTCCGTCGTCGATTCTCCTTGAAGCTTTCTCCGTAGCGTGTTAAATACCCTGAGATCCATTTGGGTCGACACTGCTGTTAAGCGGCCCAAGATGTTGTGGGTAGCCTCACGCGCTTGATCAATGGCGAGGAGCTTTTCGACGAAAATGCTCGACAGCTGACGCTCGGGGTGGTCGTGAATGATGTGGACTTCATCCGACGTCCAGGGAAACGGTGGCTCGCGGAAGGCCAGTCGTTCTTCTGGCGCGTCGACAATGTACTGCGCGCCTAGTGTAGGCTCAAGCTGCGATAAAAGGTAGCTAATGAGCTTTAGGATCGATGCATATGGCGGTGGACGGTTGGAAGGTCGCCGATAGATGCTGTGCAACATTTTTGCGTAGTTGGGTTGCAGGTCCATGGACGCATCGGCTGCAATAATGCGCAACAGCTTGACTAAAAAGTCGTTCCCCAACATATAAGCAACCTCCCGTGGCCCGAGCATGGCAAACTGGAGCATCATGCCAAAGACTTCATCCCAAGAGCGTATATGGAACTGAAAGTATCGCCAAAGACGGTCGAACGCGGCCATTACCTCTTCTAAGACGTATGATTTCGGAGGAGACTCTCCGCGGCCTGAAGAGTTGGATGCAGACTCGCTCCCATCATCATCCTGTACCGTAGCTGGTCGATCGTAAATATGCGGTGTCTCAGTGGCGATTTTACCCAATACAATAGCCATTGTGGAACCAGTAAAGGCACGGACGTTGGCGTCTGGATTTCGTTGCACCAAGCCCCTAAAGGCCTCGTGATGGACATGGAAGTAATTGAAAAACGAAAAGGCGCAGGCTCCGCAATCGACTACGGCTGAGCGGATCATGGCCGCGAATGAATCAAAACTTGGTGTGCCTTCGACTCGAGTAACCAGTTGGTCAAAGTGGCCAAGAGCCATCTCCATTGCTAGGGTTTTTAATGCGTGAGGCGGTACGGTTGTTGGGCCATTATCTGAACTTTGGGGCTGAGGCTGATCTGGGCTGGGAGACGATGCATATTCGAGAAATTTTGCGTGCCTGAAACAATGCTGCACAAATTCTACGTGGCTGGGATCATACAGGCAGTGTCGCTTGAGCAGCACCGTATTGTCATCGAGAATATGTTGCTTCAGGGGGGTGTCGGTGTCAATGTGCAAAGGGGTTATGGCCTCCTGAATATACGGTATGGCTTGCTCTGCAAGGAGGGATGAAGAGCGTTGGTAGAACAACATGTAGGCGCTGTAGGTCTTGTCAAAGCTTGAGCCACCGGAATCAAGGCTCATTTGCTGGCCTGCGCTACCCCCAAAGGCGCTGGCCGCCATTTGACGCGGGTCCCATGGCGTTACGACATCGTCATTGAATTCTACCCAGCTGGGACGGTCCACCGTCGATGCCCGCTCTCGGATATAAGAGTAGTAGTGCCCTGATTCTGCCGTGCCCGCATGAATAAGGATGCCCACTAGCTCAAACATATCCTCTTGCTGATCCGTATCCGTTGGGTTACTGAGGTGGTCGATTGTATATGGCCTCATATCGATTGTCGAGGGGAACGAGAAGTAGTCATTGACTTTACTCCGTTGCTGCGTACGAAGATTAAAGTCGAATCGCTTAAGGTGGAATATCAAGTTATCTGGTACTTCTTTCAAGCATGCCCTGTAAAGACGCTCCATCAGTAAATTGCCTAATCAAGTTATTCCTTTTCTTCTTCTTTATCAAGACTGACCTCTTCACAGCATCGACGTGTCGGTCGCAAGAGGAGCACTTGTACTTGTTATCTGGAGAATCGCCCTTCGTCAGCCAAAGGGTCTTGATTAAAGCAACACATGAATGATATGAGTGCGGTTCACTTACCACCTTCCAAGACCTCTCCACGCACATAAGCCTGTAGGCTTTCCTGCAGTGTGCTCTTCCCATGTATATCGCACTGTATGGCAGAAAATGGTTCGAGCCGTTCAGATACATGCTCACACTCTTGCGACTTGACTTGCTGGACAAGCTGCCCGCCGTAGATTGACCGCAGCGCTTTCTTCTCGTCATCTGTCATACCCTGGGACTCTAACCGGTCGAAAAACAAGCTGTAAAACTCTTCCACGTCCATTTGGTTGTGAATGTCAATTAGGACGTCATCATAAGTTTTGATAGAGCCGACTAATAGACCAGGGTCGACACAGCGGCGGTAACTATCTTGCAAAAAGCCGAATATCTTTTGCGTATGAAATAGCAACTGCTGAGAATCATCGGAATCGTCAATTTTGAATTCGAGTATGAATCGACGGAATGCTGTGTTCATAAAGAGCTGAGTGAGTAAAGAATTCAAATAGCACGTGTTTGAGAGATTCCGCAAGCCCACATAGCCGTGCATTCTGATGGCCTTGTTGCGATCAAACTGGTATGATAGATCGTAGATATAGGGATCAATGCCATCTTCTTCATCCAAATAGTATGGGACAAGATCATTGAGGCACTGTAGCAACGAGCTGAACCTGGACCGGTTTTCCTTGATCAATGTGAAAATTGCTTCATACAGTTTTGCTCGCGTATCGGTTCTCAGCAGCACCCTTTGTACGGGCTGTGCTGGATGAATTCGCCGCTGTGGGAAGAGGTGCATATGAAACAGGGTCTCAGCAAGATCATCTGGTAATGTCGCAGAAGCAGGCAGCGTGCTATCTATTTGCAGACATCGGAGAAGAAGAGTCAACAGACCATCTGCCACAAAATCCTGCGAATCTGGTTGATCGAGTCGTTCCTTCGAGGTGTGGCTGAGCAGCAGCTCACAGACCTGCCCAGCGAAGAGCGGAGTATTGACCTCGCAAGGTATGGCCTGGGCGCCTCTGCAAAAGAGGTAATCAAGCCCATCAAAGAACTCCTGGCATTGGTGATGAGAACCAACTGCTTCCAAGAGAAGGTTTGAAGCAACCAACCAAAAGTATTGCATCAGGGGAGACGGCGGCCTAGCATCTTCCGGGAAGGCATTTATAGCGGCTTCTTCCATTTCCACTGCCTTTCTCATCATACCGACAACATGCCTCCTTACCGCTGAGCGGGAATCAAACAGAATCAACCTATGGAGGATGCTCTTAAACGAAGGAAGATTCACAAGGTCGTTCATAAAGACGCTGTGCATCAGACACAGTTGCAGTATGGAGGAGAGCGTGGTGTCGATTAAAGACAGCGAGGACTCCCCTTCCCCACCATTCACTGCGTCGGTCAAGATGTCGACAAGGCGACTTGGATTTGGATACGCAACTTCGTAATCGGTAGGCGATGTTGCCAGTGCCCGTGCGCTCCGTAAGAGCTGCACAAAAGTATGCATTAAAGCTCCCATAATCTCAATCTGCAACGCAGGATTCATCTGATCCAGAAGGCTCTCATCTGACATTGCCTGTGCGATCAAGGTGGAAGACGTTCTTAGAATCTCTTTGTAGGAGACTCGGGAGACTCCACGATCCTTGTCCCATCCAACTTCGTCGCTATTAGATTCCGCCAAGCGAACTGATTCAATGTATTTGGAAAACGCTTGGACGGCATATAGACATTTGTAAGGCTGGCCTTGGGGGAAAAGATCCGTGTACACGGTTGTTGGGCTCTCAAACAAGTCGATGATGTGACGGTCGGTGTGGAGCTTGACTAGGAGGCTGTACATTTCCTTTGCGATCTTATCTTCCATACCTAGGTGGCTCCAGAGCTCCGAAAAGTGAGACATGACCTGAATCTCGAGTGGTGATGCAAAAGGCGGGACTTGACTCGAGCTTGAAAGATCATTTTCCTCGCGTCTTACTAATATCATGCCTTCCTCAACGTGTAGCCTTTCTAGAGACGTACGCATCTGCTGCGCCAGGGGGAGGAATTGTCGCCCTTTGTAAAACGCACGATAATTATCGAAGCCGGTCTCGAACTTCAAGTTAGATAACAGATGAGCTGCCGTGTTCAGCTTTCCAATGCGCAATGATTTTATTTCCGTTGCCTGGCCACCGTCAAAAGACTGGTACTTGAGCGTTGTGAGATCCCCTTCAGCTTGGCATGGCGTCTCGTAAAAGATTGATCGGAAATCGGGAGCACACATGGTGGGTTTCGTATAATGAAACTCCAAAAAGACCCGGAGAAGCTGCAAAGTTCTGGTGAAGATACGCTCCTGCTCTTGCACCTCCTCTTCGGTTGCGACAATTACCATTGGTTCATCTTCGCCGCTCGAGGTTCCATCACTCGATGCTTTAATTTTCCTTGCAGAGTCATTCAACTGGACCAAGCAGCGGTCGACAAAAGCTGATTGAACGCGACGGGCTCGATTAAAGGGATATGCCGTAATGACTGGACTTTTAATGTAGACACCAACGGTCAAAGTGCCAATTGCCTCCTCTGCAAGCGCCGCATGGTCGGTGCCCATAACAAATCTCCAGAGTTGTTCAATGCCGTTTTCCTCTAGAAACGTATCGTCGTCAAGGTCACAGTCGACATCAACATTATTAACTGCTGCGAGGACCATTTTCTTGACACAGAGGAGCATTCCTCGGCCAAAACAGGAAGAGGGGAGATTGGGCAAATATTGAGAGAAACAGAGCTGCAGAAACGGATTTTTGGATACCTTCCCAGGGCCAATATCTATGAAGATATCCCAGCCTGAATTTCTATCGTCATCACAAAGACAAGCTGGTCCGACGAGCAGATCCCAAAGCTTTTTCCCCAACTCTTCGGATATTGCGTCTGGTCGGAGGCGAATGAGATTGGCAATGAATTCTTTTCGTGGCAGGTTGAAGCGTCCGAAGACCACCGAAGGGACACCGACAGTCCGCGCCAGCTTAATAGCGTGCTCCAATTCTTCCACCAGCAATCGTACAAGATCATGCTCTTGAATGAGAACGTTCATTTCGTCAGCCATATTTGGGCGAATGGCCATTGATAAACAGCATAAGCTGCCCAGTGTGGTGGGTGACTTGTCCGCAATATCTTTGACACAGCTTGAGTATAATTCTTGACGCCCTTGGCTATCTGGACCAAATTGCAAAAGGACCCTGAACCTATCCATAAGCGTTGATTGCGCTTCAAGGGTGAACGACTGAGAGGCGGGTGAACAAAAGAACGCCTGTCTTAGCAATCTCAAACAGAGGTCATAGGGAAGAAAACCGAGCGTTATTCCCTCCGCTCTGCATCGCAATGTTAGTTCCGTGTGTAGGGTCTCCCAGACGGCCCTGATTGCCTGGCTGAATTCTTTGGGCGGAAGAGCTTGGAGCTTCTCATAGATCGAGATGATTGCAGGATAGTCGAGAAGATTTGCGATTGAGTTTGTCATCTTAGCAACAGCTTTCGCTACGCGGGGATCCTGACTTTCCGTAATTCCCTGCCACAAAAGATCGAGATGCGACTTCTGGTACATTTTAGTAACAACCAAATATCCAATGATGTTGGAGCTCTCAGTAATAAGTTCCGGATGACAGGTTGGGCCGAGAATGTAATCTACCAGATTTGTTTGGAGAAGGATATGGCCCAGGTGGTCGGTGTAACGGCGGTTTGGGACAGCACTTTGAAGGCCGTGTCGTTTCCAAGCAGTGACGAGGTCAGAACACATGGTAGAAACGGAATTGACCCGTAGCTGCATCTGGCCAGATCGAATCAGCTTCTCAAGGATGCCCACTTTCCACCCCCATACAATGGCATCAATAACTAGCGGTCCTTCAAGGTCCGGATACTTTGCCTTGTACTCGTTGAGCATTGTGATATTTCCCTCGTCATCACATAGAAGACAAAGTTTGAGCAAATCCGCCAATGCGGCGATTTGTACAGGAACCCCATCACTGCTCAGAGTTCCCACATGCTTTTCAATGATTGCGAGTAATAGCGTCGAAAAATCTCCCCAAATGCTGTAGACATGGATCAGATCTGACCTGGCAGCGGCCTCATCCAGTGTGCTTCGGCGCGAAGTTCGATAAGACTCATTCAGACAGTCTGTGAGAATTTGAATTATGGGCGTAAGAATATTGACCAGTCTCGGTAATGCTTGTACGATTTCGATGAGGCGCGTTGCAAAGACGCAAAGAGACTTGATGACCCCTCTAGCAAAGTCATGCAGTTGTCGTGTGAAATATGCAACTAAATTTGGTCTGCCCAACAAAGCAACATTAGGCGAGCCAGGATCGTTGCCGACTCCGAGGTTGTTGCGCTGCGCCAACTGATGGAACTGTCGAAGATAGTCCAGAGAAATCAATGGCGGGGCTTCGGAACTAGTTTGCAAAGCATCGATTTGCCAGTCGCGGACTGTATGGAAATCGACGATTACAAACTGCGCCGTGAGCGCAACAAAAGAGTGGGACAGCGTCAATGCCAATCTCTGTAGGATTGGCAGCCTCGGAGGGGCTGAAGGGGAGAGGCTGGGTAATGTCAGCTGGTTGGTCTCAAATATTTGTATCCTGATGACATACTTTTTGTTTATAATAAGAGCGCAGAGACCCAGGAACGATTGCCAAAAGGCTCTGTTGTTGTAAGCCGACTCACAGATGACTTCCGGGTCTCTGGCCTTTGCGAACTCGACAAATAGGTCTAACCACACCCGGAGTTGCTCACAGATGCCCATTTCTTGCTCTATGGGTGGCTCTACAAAATTGATTAGCTTCTCGAGGCCAGAGATGAGGATATTGCCAAAAACTTACGTTCGGATAGGAATTGACGTAGACGGTTCACAGTCTCTGGTAGAGTATCTGAATCAAGGTAAGGAAACTGCATGGTAGGGTCTACAGGAGGAGGAGGATTGCTAGCATCGAGGGGGCTGAATGTGTCGGCGGCCAGTTCGATCCCTGCCTGGTCTGGCATCTCATGATCGGCAGGGAACAGCTCTTCAATAGGCGGGCTGAGGGAGGCGCGCCAGCCTGTGGGCGGAGTTCGTGGACCGCCATCGGTATTTGTGGTTACATCAGGCTCAGCTTCCTCGACGCTCTTCTTGGCCTTGTCCTCTTCTGGGGTTGCTTCTCGAAATGTTGATGGAGAGACGTAGCGCACGGGGGCAGTAGGGGAATATCGCATACGGGTAGGAGATGCTGATGATGCTCTCGACGGCGGGTTTCTAAGATTAATAGTAGTGACTCGGCTCGACGTCGGGGGGTCGGGAGGAATGGTCGGGGAGTCGACATTCTGAGGCGGGGTGCGAGGCTGTTTGGATTCCTGGCTGGGCTGGACGGTGCCGTCAAGGGAAGGGATGGTGTTGACCGTGGTGTAGAATGGGCTCGAGCCCGAGTCGGACAGGTAGACGCCTGTCTCGACCGATGCAGATGGCGAGCCCGAGCCCGAGCCCGAGGCAGACGTGCGCCGGCGCTTGCGGGAAGAGACGTCGCTGTCGTCGAAGGGATTCGGCCGGGTCGAGCTTGGCTCAGGAGAGGCCTTGGGCCCCGGAAACTCGGACGTCGCTGGAGCCAAACCCATCTGGCCGGTGTGCGGGATCGATGCAGCACGAAGCCTGGAAGTCCAAAGACGTCACGGCGACGCGAGGGCCGTCTGGGCGGCAGCTACAGAAAATTAACATGTGTGAGAGGATGAGTGCGGCGAGATTGAGATAAGCATGAGCATCGGGGCCGTGACTGTGACTGTGACAGGGATGAGAGAGGCTGCAGCTATGCACCGTAGATGGAGATGGAGGACAAGCAATCTGGAGAGCCAGACCGATGCATCAACCCCAATATCAATCCCGGAAGAAAAAAATAGTGGTTGCAACTCGCGATCAAGCCAAATCGGCATTGGAGGGACGCGGTGCTTGTGTGGAACTAAGGCGAGGGGTAGCTATCAACTGAGGTAATGCTGTGGTGGGGAGGGCCAAAGAGGGAAATCGGTGAGCTTAGCAGCACATCAGGTATGCGGCTACTAAGGTGCCATCCATGGATGGTTTGCCTTACCTGGGGCGGGTGTTAGCGCAGTACCTGCGGCGGTAACTGCCAGTGGATCAGGCGCCGACAGGTACCTGATTCGGATATATTCGTATGGGTATTACTGGGTCAGTACTGGGGAGAGGTAGAGAGAAAAGCAGAATGCGCTGGTGCCTGAGCGGTCGTGATGGGTGTGTAAAGTAATGTGTAAAGTAATGCGTGCAGCAGTAGGGATGAGGTGAGGGCACGAGAAACTATGGGTGCTTGTAACTTGTGAGGCAGTAGGTAAAGTTGTGAATGGCGGAGCCTCGACGGATTATATAGAGAGGGCAGGGGAAAGGAAAAGGCACCTTCGATCAGCCAGTCCGTCGGGCGCAAAATCCAGCAGTGCTTTGGGCTGCGTTTCTGCGCTCCGGCTGCGACTGATGCCATTAACTTTGCAAATGCCTGAATGCGCCACGGTGAGTGCCTGCCTTGTCCCTTGCAGCCGTGTCCAGCGTGTGCGAGCTATATAACCAGTATATAACCAGTACCTGAAGGCAACATTAACTTGTACAATTCTCGCCTCGTTCCCATTAGCATTGGGAGTATCTACGGGGCTGCTCGACAAGATACCAGGTACAATGTGAAAAGAAGAAGAACCCTTAGGTATCTCCTTTAATCACTCACCAGGCTTAAATTTTTCCTGCTTTGTAAAATACATGATACCTCCTATTCACAGCTGACCTCTGCACGTTTTCTGCTGCTAATAACTCATAGGCAAGTTGTGCAATGGAACGGTTTTCGACTTTGATACTCTACTATACGAACCAACGTTCCCACCTACAAGTAGGTATGGGTAGGTAATTCGTGAATTGCCTTGTGACAGTTATCTGAAATGTACACATCAACCAATTGGAAAATTGGCCGCAAATATCTGGTACATGTAGCTACCTAGTACTATGCTGATTTTACAGAAATCAATGTGTAAGTTTGATATAAATCGGTTTTCGAGCGCCACAGTGTTTTCTCTTTGTCAATTAACTCTCGTTGGAGAGTTTTCCGCGCCATTTCGAGGTGACTGAGAAAACCTCACACTGTATATCTTGCACTGTGTATCTGGAGCCTAGAGGTACGTACCTTAGTGATTCGAGAATTTCCAGTGCCAGACCCGTGGTGACTGGACAGCCATTTCCATACTCTCATCCCCGTATAGGCGCTCTCAAAGCTCAATTAGTTTTTCTTGCCGTTTAGGTCTGATTCACCGTTCTTTGATTTGATAACCTGCTTGACACTTGCCCATTACCCAGTCATGGCTGCGCCCTCAGCGAAAAAACGGCTTGTCCACCACCTTGACACGCCCTTCTCTACCTCATTATGGTACGTCCTCTTCAACTCTACTGGAAGTACCTATCTAGTAGTAGGTTGAGCATAGAACTGGTGACGTAGCTAATTACAATAGGCCCGAAATCTCAATTGATGACCAAGACTCAATCTTGGAGCTCCTTTGCCAGTATGTCATTCCGCCTCACTTATGTCATTGCAAACTGCGATGTCTCGTTGTGGCTCTGAAGTTGACATCATACTGATAAACGACACCAAAAGCCTTTTGAGCCCTATAGGGCAGCACCGCCGAATCCACACAAAAACTTCCAAAGGAAAGCGGGCAGCCAAAAGGGAAAAAAGAGCCAAGTCCAAGGTAGACGAGGTACCAAACTCAGTCAAGATACCGACTCCGCCCAGTCCAGAGCTCAGTGCAAGCGTGGACGTTGGCTTCAATTCAATTACTCAAAATCTCGGATTGCATACATCACCTCTTGATGAGTCAGATAAGTCTCACAAGGACTATTCCATGATTTTTGTCGCTAGGGGAAGCCAGTCACAAGCGTTCAACCAGCACTTCCCACAGCTGGTCGCGGCCGCGTCTCGAAATCTACCCGACAAAGAGAAGATACGGCTCGTCGGGTTTTCCAAGCCATGTTCCGAGAAAATCGGCAGCGTACTTGGTATACCGAGAGCCTCGTCGGTGGCTGTGTCTCGACATTCGCCGGGAGCGGACGCTCTGTTTGCTGTCGTGCAGAATCTTGTGGCCCCAGTCGACTCGCCTTGGCTTAATGAGACGCCTAGCATCACCTACAAGCCAACCCAAATTGGCTCTGTGGAAACAACTATTGGAACGAAGCGGGAGAAATGATTCGAAAAGGTGTCGTGTTGTTATTGGGCAAGGCATCAAAAGCAGCCCTTGGGAATGCAGGAGCATAGTAGCGAAATTTATACCATAGAGAATCGAGTTGAGTGGGCGATATTCATAGGTACTACCTATATATTAATACCAAAACTACTTCTAATCAAGTACGAAGCCAGAAATTTACAATTTCAATGCTGCAGGTGGTGAAGAGAAGCAACAGAATCAGTTTGATGCTTCTAAGGCACCCTGCATACACTAATACTATGAGCACGCTGCACTCTCGCTCTGTATTCCTTATCCTATGCGCTGAGGTTACCTAAAACTGCCCTCTGTTTGGCCTATATGCAACACTGAGATCCAATTGCCTATCAGCTGCCCAGTGCTCTGTTGACTTTCACGTGCACGCATAAAGGGCAGCTGCCATCACTCCTCACTCCTCAACTTCACCCTCGCCTTCACTTTCTCACTTCTTCAACTGCTTTGTCTATTCCATCACCTCAGAAATCATCTGGATCAGCCCATCACAGGAAATGAGCGGCTTTGGTGATGACGAGAAGCTAAGGGCAGCAAGAGAGCTTGCCCAAAGCTTCTCTAAATCCAAACCCGCAAAGAAAAAGAACGTGGGTGGTGGTAGCTATGGCCCTCGTCCAGTCATCTACGTGCCCCAGCATCACCAACCGACACCATTGATTCGACATCATCCAGTTACCAGACCAGCTATCCAGAATTTTCCCCCTTCCAACAGCTCAATCCCACCTCCCAGCAAGAGAAACTACTCTGCTACCACCTCTTTCTCCACTGGAAGAGCAGGAAAATCTGTCATTGGGACTTCAGGCCTGGAATTTCTCAAGGCGTCGGGTGCCAAGGCGCGAGGTAAGCAAATACAATCCCATCAGCTTAATAACAGGTGGCTGACTTCTTTCAGACACTGCGCAGCCTCAATCGAGCCCAGTCTCTATCGCCAGTGAAGCAACCAGCACTATCAAACAAACCGAGAAGATCAGTACCATCAACCAAACCGAGAAGATCAGCACTATTAAGCAGACCGAGAAGCTCAACACTATCCAGCAAAATGAGAAGATTAGCAATGGTACTTCGACAAATGCTCATCTTCCCACTATGCCTCCTCAAGCATCAGAAAATGCTCCTTTTGGAAACATCCTTGATGCCTTTTTATCCATTGTAGCCAAAAAGCCAAGTCTGGGCCAGGAAATTGACACGTTGACCAAAATCTTGCCCAAGGCGTTGGATCTCAATGCTACTGAATCAACGCCTTCAGTTGCTCCGCCAAGCAAAGGTCATTCCGTCGGCGATACTCCAGTCAATGATAACAATGTGCCTCAGGGATCTGTTGGAGCCAATCAAGATCGAGCCTCAGCTCATTCGCCCTCAAACAAGGTCTCTTCCGCCGCCACAGCCGTCGTCTCGAATACTGGTAAGGCCCAGGGACAGACTGTCAGCACAAATGGAGTGTCGAAAGTCTCTGTTACAGTGACAAAGGGATTAGCAGCCTCGTCGTGGGCATGAAGTATAACTATAGGAGCCAACTATTTCTTTCAGGTCGCCTACGATTTTTGACTTTCCGCAGATCTATCTGGCCATTGTTGCCAGCGACCAACATACCATAGGTGGACAAAAGTGCTATCAGTTTACTAGTCATAAACCATTGCTTGCTCATATGGGCTCTGGACAGGGTCGGTCAATTTGAAATGACTTATTATCTTGACACTTTTATACTAGAATGCAGTGATGTAAACCGATGCCTTATCCAATTTTCCCATCTAAATCAGCGCTCCCCTGCTCATCTTTAATTGCATGTTGTATTAAGATGATGTAGGCAAACTCTTCTCAAACAACTTCAAACCTTCTCTAACCTTTGGCGAAAAGTGCTTCTTCAAAAGCTCGCCCTCCCACACTGTCGCAGCAAAAGGATTGCTGCCCTCGACTGTATCGCTCAGGGCGTTGTGGCGCCCATCTCCCTTACGCTCCTCAGTGTTCCACAAGCTGGCAATCTTCTTGCCGTGAGTGTTCGCCACGTCGTTGAGCAGGCCGAGGGTAGCCTGGCAGGACTTGTCGGGCAGTTGCAGCGCGGCGGTCATGAGCTGTTTGCTGAAGGCGGCTAGCTTGAGAGGCGGCACGGAGCGGATGTTCCATGCGGGGAGAAGGATTGCGGTGAGGGAGCGGAGGAGTAGAACGGTTGTGGTTTGGACGTTGATCTTGGAGACGTTTGATGTGGAGTTGGTCATCTTGGTGAGCTCGAGATCGGGGTGGATCGAGAGGTTGAGGAGGGAGGTGAAGAGGTGGGTAGTGAAGAAGGTGAGGTCGAGATGGAGAGTGTTGCGCGAGTTGTGGGCATCTTGGCCCTCGAGGAGGGCGAAAGCGGTGACGGTGCAGAGAAGAGCTTCGCGCGTCAGGTTTCTCATGGAGACACTGTCGTCGTCCTCGTGTTCGGCGGCGAGGTCAGCATCAACATCGTCGTCGGCGTGTCGGATCAGATCCTTGAGCGCCTCAAGCAAGTCACCAAAGAAATCCTGGTTGATAAGATGAGCGTATTTAGCCAGACCCTCGAGCACGGCACCCATCAGATGGGGAGCACGCATTTTCAGGATGCGGAAGTACGTGGCAAACACGAGCTTGAGAGTCTCGGACTGCATCTTCTCTCGTTCCTCGTGGTCTACCAATGCGTCCGCGGCAGCCATGTCCTTCTCCAGAGACTTTTGCTCCTTCATGGCCTTTCTCATTCGCTTTGTTCGGAATTCTCGCTTGCCCTTCTTCACTTTAGCGGCCTCGGGGCGCTCAACCGTGTCTTGTGATGCCTTGCCGGCGAACTCGGAGAGCAGGCGAAGGCTGAGGAAGAGGTTGAGAACACTTTCGTTGACCTCGTAATCTCGGGCTTTCATCATCTTTGAGAGTAATGAAACTGCTTCCATTGTTGGCTTGCCATCCTCATCCTCACGGAACAATGTCTCCAGCGCCTGGAGACACTTGACCGAATTGTTATCAATCTTCTTCCGACTCAGCTTGTTTACCAAGATCCTCAGTAATTCGGAGCGGAAGTTGAAATGCGGAACTGCAGCTATCAAGGTGCAGGCGCATGTGATGGCAATGCCAGAAACACTCTGTCCTCCTCTCATCGCAGGTGTTTGATCTTTGGCGCACCTAGCCAATTCCTTGACAAAGTTTTGATAGCCAGACACCAGCGCCTGTTCATACTGGCGCATTGTGCGAACTTCTTTGGACACCTTCTCCGTCGGACCATCTTCAGTCTGGGGCCGTATGCGATATCCAGGGATGATGTCTTTGTAAACCGACATTTGCGTCATGAGGGCCAGCATCTGAATGGCGGGGATCTTGGACTCGCCAATCGTAGCCAGGGTCTTGAGCGAACCGACATGTTCTTCTGGGTTTTCATTCAGAGCCGTGGCCAGTTTGGCCAGCTCTTCCTGCGCTTCTCGGATCTGCTGAGCCTCGGAGACGGTGGGCGCCTCTTCTTCCACCTCCTCGGGCTCTGACTCGATGTCGTCCTCTCGGCCCTCTAGCCATTCCGTGTCGCTCTCGACAGATACCAAGTCGTCCTCCTTCTCAATCTCCCGAAGGACCTCCAGGCGGCCGTCGGCGGTCTTAATTGGTAGCTTGGTGCTTTCTTTGCTGGCTTTTTTGCTCTTGCGACGACGAGTCTCGTAGCTGTCTTCAAGATCCCAATTGGCGGCCTGTTTGAAGAAATCCTTCTGAGCCTTTCTGGATGCTGTGGCTTGCGCCTCGTCATCTGAGGCATCGTGGGCCAGTTTTCTCCTCTTGGTACCGTTGGTCGTCATTTTCGCTGTTGGATTTCCAGGTTATGGGAAGTCGAACCGGAGCGAGATGAAGTTTGTTCAACGATAGACACCAGCCTCACGATAAGAGATTCTTGTCTCAAAACTTTTTTTTCGAGCCAATTTTGTTAATACATGAACCCTGGCAGTATGTATAGTAGCGCTAGACCCATCTTTTCTCGCAGCTTAGCCAATTACGGACCATTTTTGAGATCCTTATCTTATCTTTATCTAATCGCATAGGCGTGAACATAGCAAAAAAAGTTACATGCCGCTAAAATTTTCTGACAACTTAATGTGTCAGGCCTTGGATTTTACCACCAACCATTTCTCCAACACCGATCTTTCATCACCGACTGTCAAAACATTGTCACGATGGGTTTCTCAAAGCCTCCCGTGCAGGCGCTCAAAGTAGCCAACAAGGTGAAGCGCAAGGAATTGTTTATCGCCCACAAGAAGGCGAGCAACAAAGAACGTCACGAGGAGCGACATCGCCGCCGAAGAGAAGAGAACCGCGATCCCGAGCTCAAGGCCGCTCGTCTTGCCAAGAATGTCCCGCGAACATTGGAACACAAGCGAGTCTGGGACGATGTAGATGATGACAGCCTTGGAGCTGTGGTGGATCTTGAGCAATTGAAGAGGAGACGCATCGAGCAGGCCGAAGCTGAAGAGCGAGCGGCAATCGAGGCAGTAGAGAAGATGAAAGAGGATGATGACGACGACAACGACAGTATGCTGGATTCTGACGAAGACGAAGATGAAGAGGCCCGAGAGGCTAGACTAGAGAGGCAACGGGAGAAGCGAGCTCAGAGAGTCCCCAGCATTGCGCCGTCAACAACGAGCACGAACCTCGACCTCACGCCCATCTCACTAGCTCTCAAGTTCCCCTCTCTCTTCAACGACGAACCTCCTCCCGAACCCAAGATTCTCGTTACCACGTCCCTCAACTCCACCCTTCACGACGAGGCGCATATGCTCTGCACACTTTTCCCGAATTCCAGATACATCCCGCGATCATCCCACCGCTACGGATACAAATACTCTCTCCGCGAAATCTGCAAATTCTCCGCCAGCAAGGACTACACTGCGGTCGTCCTTATGAAGGAAGACCTCAAAAAGCCCACGGGCCTTTCCATCGTTCACCTGCCCAAGGGCCCGACGTTCCACTTCACAATATCCAATTGGATAGAGGGCAAGAAGCTTCCCGGCCACGGCAACCCTACAAACCACTACCCCGAGTTGATGCTCAACAACTTCAAGACGCCGCTGGGTCTTCTCACTGCGAAGCTCTTCCAGACCATGTTTCCCCCGCGCCCAGAGTTCGAGGGACGACAGGTTGTCGCGCTACATAACCAGCGAGATTTCATCTTCGTAAGACGCTTCAGATACGCCTTCCGTGATAAGCGCGCAACAGAGAAGAGCGTTGTCGATGCTGAGGGCAAAGCGCTCGAGGGTGTCGAGAGCATTCGCGCTGGATTGCAGGAGCTGGGCCCACGGTTCACGCTGAAGCTGAGGCGTGTTGATAAGGGTATCGGACGAGCTGGAAGCGAAGGCGAGGACGCTACTCAATGGGAGTGGAAATCCAAGATGGAGAAGGACAGGAAGCGTTTCAATTTGTAATTCATTTATGGCATTGAGAACAAGACTACTAATTTTACGTTCACCATGTTGACATTTTCTTGACAACAAGATGTGCCCTTGGGATAGTTCGCTAAATACGTCCATCGACATATGCATGCCATACCCTCTCTGGTCTACGTTGACTTCCATCACTTTTCACCTACGGGCCCAATTTGAGATCTATTTGCTTTCATCTTCTTGTGCTTTGACATGATGATCGAGTATCTACTCGGTTAGCCTTCAATAGCATTACGGGTGTGTGGTAGGACTTACGAAGTGATGCCTGCAACTGCTATCACAACTCCAACTGCGGATTTATCACTGACCGCACGACCAGACATGGCCCATCCGAGACCCACGATGGTGCAAGTCTTGACGTGACCGACAACTGTGCTCGATACGGGACCCGTTTGTGCCACAATGTAGAATTGAGAAAGATTGACCAGTGAAGCAAACACTGTGGACTAATAAGGGTAAGCTGAAATTTCACGAGTTGAGGGTGGGCAGAGGAGGCCTACTACGATAACAAGCACTCGTGTGCTCAGTCGAGTTGGCACATACATGGCGGTTGGAAAGTCATCGATAAGTGGAATAAAGAAGAGGAGAAAGAAGCAGGCCATTGGCGCTTGAAGATAGAGAAGTTGCATGCTGTTCATGTTGAGTTTACGATGATAGCCCGCAATCCAGACGGTGTAAAGAGAGGAAGCAAAGATGCCTGAAAACGCAAATATAATTCCCAACTTAGAGGTGGTCTTGATGGCTTGGTCGTCCACTGGAATGGAATCGAAGTATGTAACCAAACCGACCCCTACGCAGGCGGGGATTAGGGAGAGAGTAGCTCCTCTGGGAAGACTGCTGCCGTATAAGAGGAAGTTCATGATGGCGACCGTTGGTGTCAGCAGTATTCGTGCAATTTGGTAGAATGTGACGGTTGAGTAGGCCAAGGATAGATTCGGCAGAATGACGTTGAAGCACATTGCGGTACCCAGAGGAATTAGGTGCAGCCTAGGAGCACGGCGAGGCACGAAGAGGCCAAATGGTGATCGAGAGAGAACAAAGAGGAGAAACCAAGTCATGAGGAAATGGATAAAAGCAAACGTAAGCTGAGATTGCTTCCACCGTGGCTCCGAGAATATGGCCTTGTTGGTGAAGACCTGTGGCATTTGTTAGAAGGTATCCATGCTAGTGTGTATTTTGGAGATGACTTACTATGCCGACCGTCGCCAGAGTGTTGACAACCATCCATGCGATGGCTTGGAGAGGATCGGCCCTAGTTTTGGGCTCTGTGGTCACGTCAAGAGACAAGAAGGGAGGCTCAGAGGTCGCATCTTCGGTGGCTCCTCTGCTTCTGTTTTCCTCGAGGTCGTGCATTTGCATTGCTTATTGATTGTGAGCGCTTTACGTTTGGTCGATTACTTGGGGAGATGAGAGAAGATAGATGCGGAGCTGTATTAATACGGCGATAGCGGCTGGAGATTTACAGAGTTGGATGTCTGCAGAATCGAATTTCTCAACAGGATGCTGTTGTCTGAAGCAGATAGAGAATTCAATCATTGGTGAGCTCAACAAATATTGGGAAGCAGCAGGAGTTGGAAGGAACTCACTACTGACCGCACCTTACTTGTATTGAGTATCGCCGGGGGGTGTATCGGCTTTCACGACTTTAGTTAGGAGCTCCTCTACTACACCAATTGCAAATCATCAATGGTCTCACTATACAAGAAAATTGAATTGAAGATTATAATCGAATGAAAGACGTCTTTGTCTCGTGGTGGAATATACCTCTGCTAATATAACATGAAAATAATAGGCTCCTGATAGTATCTTTATCACGTATGCTTCCCCCTCTTGAATATCTAGATGCTTGATTACAGGTACTGGATGACATCAGCATTAATACGCAATCGCTAGCGGACCTCTAATTGGCAAATTCTTCTCTCTGTTGCCCGGGATGGCCCCAGTTACAAAAGCGAGGTTCACTCCTTGTCGAAAAAGGAGGCAGTGGGTAGAGCCGCCGTGATGGAACAGCCCAATCTCCTCTCCCTTTTCAACACTGGCAGGAAGAGATTTGGCGTCGAACTTCTGCAAGATCTCACAAGACGAGACGTCAGCCATGCCGATATACATGGCTGCCATGAGGCCAATTGGCTTCGGAGCCTCGATGAAGAAGATGGCTCGCGTGGCAATGTGACTGATGTAGCTCTGGACGCGATTAGGAGAAGCTGGATCAGGGCCCTCGGAAGATGTAAAGCCCTTGGTGACAGGCTCTGAGAAGTAGGTGCCATCAACAACTTCGGTATGGACAACTTTCCCAGACACAGGCGAGCTCCATCTGTGATATGACGTGGCGCTCAGAAACGCCTGATACACGGTGCCGCCGACAAATTGCTCGGCGAATCTGTGTCCATGAAGCATCTCGCTGACTGAGTATGCTTGGCCTTTGAGCCAAAACGAGTCGTACTCTTGGGCATTTGACTGCAAGGCAAAGGGCTTGGACTCGCAAGAATTTGCTATCCACTCTGGCTGCCCCGGAAAAGCGACTGGGCGAATTTGATCAATATTCTTGAACTTGCGAACGAAGAAGTCGTCCCAAGATTTAAAACCCCAGTGTTTGGGATCTGCTTGTGGATCACACTGGAAGATCTGCTGGAATGTCAACTCCTGGCCAGTAAGATTGGTGTCGTTTTCGATGTTCATTAGCGAATCTTGGCTGAGCCAGCCATCTTCACCGGTCGTAATGACATGTTGGGATTTTGCAGTCATGAGAACTTCGGATTTCCAGGTATTGAGGATGTATTTGAGCTTTGAATTGACTTCGGGCTTGAGGAAGAAAGCATAGCCGCTGGCTGTGGCCATTGGCCAATCCAGGATGGCGTTGAATGGGAATCCAATTAAACCAGCATCGTATTCGAGCTTTTTCCAAGAGGGAGCCTTGTTATTCATGACAAAATCGAACATCTCGAGCATTTCGTGGTATGATTTGATTTGCTTGTTCCCAATAGGATCCTCATTGTAGGGAGCCCTGTCTGGGACTTCGTCAAACATGCCTGAAGCCAGCATTCGAAGTTCAGCAGTGCTTTCAATCAGCTCCTTTAGTTGCTGTACCGGCTCACTCAAGAGCAGTGAACTTATAGAAGCATCGTGCTTGTGTTTGTTGACTTCGGCGACTAGATCTCGCAACCAGCTGATAAGAAGCTTCGGATTCTGGGGCAACCAGCCGCCAACCCGGTTAGACTTTTGCCGAGGAGCTGTAAGAGCACCCGACGGTGTCATGGGGATGTTAGAGAGCGGTTTCTCTTTTCTTTCTGCATTGATATGGACATGCATGATTTTTGCTTGATAATATATGTAGGCGTTGCTAGATGCTTAAATGAACAAGATAGAATGTTATTTTGACCTGATATTTATAGAACCGATTCTTTGTCTGAGTCTATCTATTGACTAAGCCCGTCAATCTGACTGATGCCAAAGTTGCCTTGCATATTTTAGTTGCTATGATGTGTGTTACCTGCATTCTCAGACATTCAGTCGTCATATCTCCACTCGGTGTGCTCAGGAGCTCCCTTGAATACCCAAGCGAAGTCTATAATATCAATAGCTTGCAATCGACCAATTTGGTGTTTCACGGGTAATTCAGCTCATTGCCATGGTAGCACCAATATTGAGCACCGGCCGGGTTCGATCCCGAGAATTCTGAGTGGCTGCTCAAGTAGCACATTCGTGTGTGTGACAGCGGCTCACAAATTAGTTGATTAATCTTGCATTCTGATGAACCTGCATAGACACCAAAATTATGACCGATCCGATGCTGGCAATATTGCAAACCGGCTTCAATCGGCAGAGAAATGTCTCCTGGTAACGAAATCAGACAGTTGGGCGGCGGCAGCAGCGATTGGCTTGATGGTTGGCCTGTGGCATCAACCGCATGCGTGGATTCCCAGCTGCTGAACTGCACACTTCTTGTAGTTAGCAGCATTTTCATTGGCATGGCAGAAAAATGCGAATCATCGTCCTCATTGGTTGTAGAGAGTGTTTAATGGTCGTGTCTAGTTGCTATCGTGATCTAATCTTGACGTCTGTTTGGGGGATTTATTCCGATACTACGTGCATCCGATGAGTGCAGGCTGGGGCTGAAGTGAAACACCTGGTGGTAGGTAGCAGTACACTGCATTACATCAGCTTCGGTGAGACCCGCCACCAATGTATTATTGTCCTACTACAGGTAAGTTATCACCACTTAATACTAAATACTAAGGTAATTTTACCTATCTGTGGAAAGGCATTGATCGTGTCGTCAGCAAACCAAAGTCCGTTGCTAAAGAAAGGTTCAGCTCGATTTATTTTTCCCGTCTCAGCGTAGCTGTCTTGTATATATGACAGGCATCATGTAATCAACCCGTTTACCCCCCTGGCTATTCTGAGGCTGACCTGACCAGGTTCATTGGCTATACGAAATTACTGCAACGATACGCGGCCCCAAATACGCAGTACGATCTAAATAGACACCCCGGTCGTCGAGTTGCTTAAATGCTAAAATTCTGCCATCACATGGAAAGATGCTGCGGGACGGGATTCAAGCTTCGGCCAAGGACCCTCATTACATAGCACTAGAAGGACGGGATCTTGCGCCTAGCCGCGCCAATACAGTTGATGGAATCGCTGCGTGTAGGCCAATGTGACGAGTCCTGGTGTGACTCCTGTCGATCCACGGCTGCCACAGTGCTAACGCCGTTCTGGCAACTTTGCCCATTAGAGGGAGTTCCAGGTTCTTTAGTACTAAGTGTTTTGATTAAGCAGTTGAGTGGCTATGGCAGTACGAGGCGCAATAACAGAAGCGGCAGCGGTACATTGAAGAAGCTGCGGGTAATCAATGCAGCAGCCAGCCGAGACCGGGTCGACTTCCAATGAATGGCTCAAATATTGCCCGGATTAATATGCTTTCGTACCTGAGAGAGCATGACGTACTCAGGTACAAACAGGGTCGAGGCAAGGTCGGTACGTACCTTTTCTCTCTGCCTTGTGGGAACGGAACGAAACGGGACCCTGGTGTGGCAATTTCTGCACCTGGTTACTTTAAGAGTACTTGTAGAAGATCGTGGTTTAAAGTGTGTAGCTCCGTAAACTTCAGGTATCTTCCAGGGTTCGACAGGCCGGTCTGACAGAAGAAACAACGCTGAGCTAGTCCCGTTCCAGACAAGGCGTGGGTGAGACGTTCCCCCTCCACATCGCAATTAAAAGCAGCCAAATCAATCACGAGCATGGCTGGGTGATCGTCTGCAAAGAGTGGATTCCGGCTGGCGCTGGCTTGAGACAAAGCAAAATAAAGCCTTGCCCATGCGCTGCTGTGCCCGAGACTCGTGCGACGACGACGGACTGATGGAACGAAGCTCTGCGGATTGCGCCGTCATCACCGCTGCTACCGCTGCCACCTTCGAATCCGTCTGTACGAGTATTTGCCCTGTCCTGCCGCCGCTCCGTTCCGCGCAGATGCGATTGCGATCCTGAGAGCGCCCAGAGTCCAGAGTCCAGAATACATGCGCCTTGCCTCTGCCCGGCCCTAGTACCAACAGCTAGAGCTACTGGAATCGCGTGAAGCGCTGAGAGTGTGTCAGCCAATTTCGAGCGTTAGCAGACAATCAACGCGGCTCACGGAACCAAACCAAACAAACCTGGTACAACGGCCAGACGTTCGTTGGGGCCTGCGCAATATAAACCGCCGCTTGCGCCTGCCCTGTCCGTAGGATACCTGTAACTGGATCCAGACCATTCACCTTCGCTTTTTGCATCTGAGGAAACTGCGCTCCGGGACATGAAACCGTTGATCAAAGCCCTACAACCGAGCCTCTCCCGCTGCCTCTGTCTCTCCCACTCAACACCAATGTTGTCGCCATCATCCTCTCCGGCGGCATCGTATCCTGCCTCAACCACCTCTTCCTACTCTTCTTCGCCCTCTTCACACTCGTCAGACGCCGCGCTGGCATCGCCGTTTCAGCGCAACGCCCACAGCCGAAACCAATCGCCGGGCCAAGCCAGAGCCATGGATCCGGCCAGGAACCCTGATTCACTCATGGCCACCGCGATTCACCAGCCCTACTGGAGACCCATGGTCAAGACCTCCTTGGCCAACGGTATGCATGCGCCCCGATCTGGCACCCATCCCGCTCCTATCCGTCCATGTCCAAGTTTGGTAACTGATCCATGACGCTGAAAAAAAGGCACCATGAACGGCCATCGCAGCTACTTTCAAGAGCCTGACATTTGGCAGCAGGCCCCCGTCCTCACGGGAACCACCGAGTTCGAGCCTCGCTCAGATGTCAGAAATATCATGATTACCGGCGGCGCAGGCTTCATGTAGGTTTCAGATTCTCAGACAGCCCTTCAGCTCCCTCTTTAGCCATTCCAATGGCCATGCACGCATGACTAACATTTGCATCACACAAGCGCTTCCTGGGTTGTTCGCCATCTCACTTTGACATACCCCCACGCTTACAACATTGTGTCGTTTGACAAGCTCGATTACTGTTCTGCTCTCAACAACACCAGAGCCCTCAACGACAAGCGCAACTTTACGTTTTATCATGGCGACTTGACCAACCCCTCCGAAGTCCTCGATTGCATGGAGCGCTATCACATCGATACCGTGATGCACTTTGCCGCTCAGTCGCATGTGGATCTGAGTTTTGGCAATTCGTACAGCTTTACCCACGCAAACGTCTATGGCACCCATGTTCTTTTGGAGAGCGCCAAGAAAGCTCGCATTAAGAGATTTATCCATGTATCAACAGACGAGGTTTATGGCGAAGTTGGCCACGGCGAAGACGAACTGCAGGAGTCCAGCATCCTAGCTCCAACCAATCCTTACGCTGCAAGCAAAGCTGCCGCCGAAATGATGGTCCATTCATATCACAAGAGCTTCAAGCTCCCGACCATTATTGTTCGCAGTAATAACGTCTATGGTCCTCACCAATATCCTGAGAGTGAGTGTTTTTTTATTGTTCTCGACATGACTCGATTCTAACTAATTTAACTAGAAATTATACCCAAATTCATCTCCCTACTCAACCGAGGCCACCCTGTAGTTCTCCATGGGGATGGCAGCCCAACCCGGAGATACCTTTTTGCTGCAGACGCCGCGGATGCGTTTGATACGATACTTCACAAAGGCCAGATCGGCCATGTGTACAACGTTGGCTCTGCCGACGAAATCTCGAACCTCGAGTTATGTGGCAAGATCTTATCCGCCATGGAGATTGCCCATGACACTCCAGAGCAGTTCCGAAAATGGGTCAAGTACACTCATGATCGGCCGTTCAACGATTGCAGGTATGCTGTCGACTGGTCAAAGCTGCGCAATTTAGGCTGGGAGCAAAAGACCACGTTTGAAGAGGGCCTGCAGATGACGGTAGAATGGTACCGGCGCTTTGGCGAGCAATGGTGGGGAGACATTAGTCACGTCCTCACTCCGTTTCCCATTGTTAGCGAAGGCGAAGTTGTACCCGACGTTGAGCATCTCGCCAAGGATGATCCTCCAACACCCGTCGAAGATTACCCCCTAAATGGCATTTCTCATAAAGCGAGCTGATTTTTTTTTTTTTATCTTTCTCCTGTCGCAAACTAAACGACTCACTTACAGCCGCACAATGTACGGTTATTGATTTTTGTTACATGGTTTGGACGTCTCAACTATATCGATGAATTTGACACGAGATTAAAATGGAGTTTACGGATATCATGAGCATAAGAACGGCGCCCACAGCACCCATAGCAGAGATTATACCAGGGTTAGAAATACTTAAACAAACAGAAATAGACATTTTATATCAGCGTTACAAGCTATCCAAGTTCAGCATACAACAAAGGGTGGCTAGAAGCAGGTTTCGTCTTTTGAGCAATATGGATCTTGCTCATCATTAATCCATTTCATTTGTATGAACATTACGCCATTGAGCTACATCAAACCATTGAATAAAAAGAAACCTCTGGATAGAAAGAAAGATACTATTCACGCTCATGTTCTCAAATCATACATGTATCTGTCTTATTAACATGCGTCATATACAGCCTATCATGGCCTCGCTACGCTCAATCTACCAAAGTGTCATAACTCAATCATATACTCATACTTGCCAACAGATAAATCACGCACCAAGAACGCTCAACAACCTCCACCGCCGCATCCACCACCACCACCACCACCACCGCATCCGCCTCCGCCTCCGCCTCCTCCTGCGCATCCTCCTCCTCCTCCTATGCCACATGCCGCTCCCCCACCGGCCATTCCGGAAGCGCATGCTCCCTGACCCTGTGTAATTCTTGGTTAGCTTGTGACTAAACTGGGACTCAATGGAGCATATCGTTGAACTTACTGGATTGACAGAGCATCCACCAGGGCCTCCACAGCCTCCCGCGGCGATATTCCCGTTTCCACAAGTTCCCGCGGCGCAGTTGGCCCAGGCTCCATCTCCCGCGGCGATGTAGCACGGATCCCAGCCGTAGTACAAGCCTGGAGCGAAGTAGATGGGATACATGAACGGGCCATACACTAAAGGAGAAGGGGGAGTTTAATGTCAGTATTTGGTTGTTTATTTCAAGCGGACATGAGGGTGTGTTCTTTCTTACTGTAGTAGTTGTATCCCCAATGATCGTAATACTCATCCCTAGGCGGCAGAGCCCGTCCCTTCTTCTCTGCTCGCTTGGCGGCCTTTTGGTAGGCCTCGTTGAGCCTCCGGTTCTGCCGGGCGCGGATGTAGGCCGTGAATTTGGCGCGCTCGGGGGTCTCGAGGGTTCTGACCGAATTATGCGCCGAGATATGCGCCGAGTTGTCCGGAGGGCAGAGCTTGGCGGTGCCGGAGTCGTGGAAGGTGTCGGCGAGCTTTTGGCTGGAGGAGACGTTGAACATTTTCCCGATTTTGGAGCCCTGGGAGACACGGATGGCTGGAGGAGTTTGTTCATTAGTTTCCTTTCTTGTGATGGAGGTGATTAGATGGATGGTGGGGGAGGAGGGAGCTTACACTCGCAGTACCAGCATGTGCACTCGCTGTATACTTCTTTAAAAAGTTCTTGATATGTCTTGGTAGTCCACTCAAATGCGTCGCTTAGTTCACCCTCCTCAATCTTGTCGTCGTGGTCGATAAACTTCAACGTCTCCTTTACAGTGAAAGTGTAGTAATCCTGGGGACTCAGTTGGTGGGTATGCCAAGCCAGATCTACATCTAATGTAGGAACGGCCATCTTGAAAGGATTCTTTTTGATAATCTGCATGAAACGGTTGTACTTTGTGATGAGGCGGCCCATGGTGGCCTTGGCGGACGGGCTGTGCAGCCAGTCAAGCTTGACCATTTTCTCGACGAAGACGCCTTGGCGCATGACGGCGCCGCACAGATCGAGCGCGAAGGGGGAGAAGTTCTCCCAGTAGCGGCTCATCATCTTGCGGGTGGTGATCTTGGCGTCGCGGCGTATAAGTTGGAGTCCCACGCGGCGCGTGGAGCCGTCGATTCGACGGACTGCTTCGTCGCTGCGGATGGTCTTCTCGATGAGATCTCGCACGTCAGCCATTGACGGGGAGGATTTGGGGCTTTGCGATTTTGGATCGAGGAGCTCTACGATCTTGATGCGCAGCTCATGCCGGATCATGCGGTTTGGGAACATGCGAGTAAAGTTTGGAACGACCAATGGGTTAGGTGTGAGTGCCGGCTGGCCGGATGAAATGTCGAGCAGTGTACCGGGCATTGGGACATCTTTGCCAAGCAAAAGAGTAGTATCATGAATAAATTTGGAGAGGGACAGGATTTCCTTGTTGATGGCTTTGTCGCAGGATGGGCACTGGTGTGAGAAGTTGCCGTCGCCATATCCGCTTCCCAGAATGCCAACCGGGCTATATTCAAGAAGTGTTAGCTGAAAAGGACTGTTCTGGGTGAATTCAAAAAAGTGAAACTTACATAGACGAATCTGCATCTTCGACGGCTCCGCAGGTGGTCCAAGGTACTTGCATGTCCACCTTGCACCACGGGCACTTGAGGGTCTTGACCATGGGATCTGCCGAGTTGTTCCATTGACGCCCCGTCCGAAGCCAGTTACTCTTTGCCACTTCACTGGGGGCTTCTTCAAAATTAACGGTGATGCCCTCAGATACTGCCTTCCATGGCATGCCCGAGGTCCAGTATTCGACCAGGCCGGCGCGCATAGTGTCTTCGAGGAAGGCTCTGGGGTTCAACATATGCGCATGCATAACCATGAGGACGTCTGGAGATTTGTATTAGTCAAAGGTTATCCATGAACACAGTGGAGGGTCATCTTCCGAGCCGTAAAGATAACTTACCCAACGGTGGAATCGAGTCTCTGGTCCAACCCAGTGGTTTGCCACTGGTTGAAAAGGCGACATACTTGGGGCTATCTGGCGTCGACATGTCTTCTTCGGTCAACATGGTCTTGGTTTGGGCCATTGCATTCCACCATGCCTCATATCTGTCTACTGCTCGTGCAAGAAAGATGGCCCATCGCTTTTCGCGTAGACGACTAAGAGCGAGCTTTTCTTTGTCACCTTCACCAAGCTTATCTAGCTGAACTCCGGGAGGCAGAGCCGCGCCATGAAGGATCTCGCTGTCCCATGTGGCACGACTGTCGAAGATGCCAAAGAGGCCATCAGTATAACCAACATCTTCTTTGAGAGTGTCGATGGCGTGGAGAAGCTTCAAGTGAGCGAGAGTGGTGTCAACATTAGGGCCACCAGTTGTTGGGCCGGAGGAGAGAGAGAGATTTGCAAAGGCGGTTGTAACGTCGATGTTTTGAGATGGATCAGTGGCATCTAGAACATCTTCCGTTGCCGTGGTATAGCTTGGCGGCGCTTCGCCATCAGGCGGCGCCTGGCCGTTAGACGCCTCTTTGGTCATGATCTAATAAAACAAAAGGGTATAAGTTGGTTTTTGATACGAGGAATGAGAGACTGGTGATGCTGTTGATGGAGGATGCCAGAGCTATATATTGTCGATTATGCTCTGGATGATGATCACAGGATGTGCACAGCCAGTGGTGACGTCGTCTTATAAGATTGTAGAACAAACGGAGTACATGTACTCCGTTCACAAAGCACAAACCAACAGCCTCGCGTGTAAGGCAAAAGAGAATCCTTCAGGAACACACGTGATGGCCCCAAATGACGATGAGGCGAGACAGATCAAATAGATCTTGCCAAGGCGCGGTCGGTGTCCTTGGACGGATAAATGTGCCGCCACATGGTGATCGGACTTGGAGAAAGTGCCCCAAACGGGGAGAGTCGCGCAAGTACTTGACGACATGGCGCTTGTAAGAGAGAGGCGCAGCGCATGTACCTTTTGTTAGCGCGAAGGCATCGATCCGATCCCTGCGGTCCGTGGAGGTACCTGTGCTAAAGCATTACGGGCGTAATCGAGTCTAGAGTGACAAAACTCCATAAATACGTGTACATGTAACGTCCATGTACTTGGTGATCCTCCACCTATTCGAGAATTATGTATCAGATGCACGGAGCAACTCTTTGTTGGCAGCATCAAAATAAAATACACATTGCATGATGCTTAAATCCATTGGACCAGTCGAGGCCCGAGTTGGACCAATAATGCTCTTAGTGCAATGAGGGGATTTCCGCGAGCTGAACCACACCGCTGCAAGAGATTGTGGCTATGTAAGTGACCTCTCGCCTCATTCAGGCATCAAACGTCGGTCCTGCTTCTTTGAGCATTCTCATGGGACCATGAGCGCTTTATGTACCTTCCTCCACCTTATCTAACAAAGGGGATGAACTACACAACATGCGGAAGTCGTCCAAGATCGACAGAATCAAGGATAAGACGAAAAGGGTGAAGGGGCTATTCTCTCTTAGAAGCAAAGATGAAGATGGGGCTACAAACTCTTCCGCCACACAGCAGGCCGAAGAGTTGAAGAACTCTCATAGTAGGATTCATCAGGATGATTCTCTCATAACTTTAACATCAAGATTAATTATTGCGGGGTATCAGGTCTTTCTGTTCTTCTGCCCTTGTCCAACACATCACCAAACACAGCCACATTGGGCGATGACGACGAGTATCAAAACACTCCCATTGGTGAACTCTGGAACCTCGCGTACAAGAAACTACAACAAGAAGACGGGGCACTCATTGAAGAATATGAGGCGAGACTCCGCGAAAGCGTCACTGCCGCACTGGGATCGGCTTTAGCCGCGGAGGAGAACAAGGGGAGGTGGATGAACATCATGCTACGATGTAAGATGGAACAAGTCCAGAAGAACATTTGGAAGTTTTCCTTTCGTAGCTCTGAGATTCAGCCGGCTGAAGTTGTCCAGCCCATCTTGGGCGTTGTCAAACTGGCCAATGACTTTCTCACCACAGCTTTAGCTTCCAACCCCTATGCATCATTGGCGTGGGCTGGCGTCAGCGCATTGCTGTCGGTACGTTTGAGCGTGACCTACGGATTCTCCGTTATGGAGTAGGTTGACTGAATCAGGTGCTTAGCTGTTTTTGAATCCCATGGATCAAGCTGCATCCCTCGCCAAGGGGTTGGAGTACATCTCATTGCTCATCGTCCAGGGTCGAATGAGAGAAGATC